CCACTCCTTCTCTTGTTTTCTCGAAATTCCAAAATCTCTTGGCCTGCGACCTCGCATCGACAGCCTGACAGCCTAGCCGTTTTCTCTTGAAAAATTGCAAATTGCCAATTCCACAGTTACGGCCGGAGGTGGGAACTGGCTTTCAGGCAGCCCGGCAAGTCCGTCTACTACAGGTAATGTGCTGCTTATACAACAGTCAGCCTAGAGCTCTTTGGAATTATATGTTTGAGTGAGGCGCTGATACGTGAGTTCAACAATGTCGACTCGATACTCGGCTCTCCTTAACAAACTGTCGTCGACGCCGGATTCGATATGAAGTCACGTCCTCCAGTCCTACAATGTCAGCTCATATGTTTTCACCAGGCGTGTTTGACATCCTGGATGAACATCACTAGTCAAAATCGCCAATGGGTAGGGGCCCAGGGGTGTGGCGTCCGCAAACGGGGCCGAGTCTGGGCTGCACCCGGATTGTAATTCCCTTTGTTGTGTACGCCAGGCGCAAGCAAACAGATATAAGATCATGGACTCCGATGTACAGTATCGCCAATCTCACAGCATGGCTTTTCTCTCCACGGAAGTTGACACCGGCTGGCTAGCGGTTAAGTACCCCAGGGTTTGCACGCACGGGGTGACAGGCAAACGAGAGAGCCACGACGGCGCCGAACGCGAACAAACAGTAAACGGACCCGGCCTGGATAACGGGTCTCGTATGTACGACGTGCCCAGTCTGCCTTCTTCGGTGCCCGTGGGACAATGGGCCGCACGACGTCGAATGCTCAGATTACTGGATGCATCCAACACTCGGTTCTGGATCTTGGGTCGAACTGTCCTTTGACGACTGCAATGGAGCGGCATGGATTTGAGGAGCGCCCCGAGGACAAGGCCGGAATGCCATGGTGCAGACTTTGGAGACCGAGTATTGTCGGATGTGAATTACCACAACTGTGACCGACAATGGATGATCTGGATCACCAGTTGGTATGGAACCAGCTACCCGGTAGCCGGTTGATGATACAGCATACCAGTACGTCATTTCCGTAGGCTTGGCCCAGCTCATAAAGCTTGCAATCGACAATTCGCATTCTTGCTCAGACGACCGCCGTCAGTGGTGCCTCCGTGGGTTTCAGACAGATTGGGCGGAACCGGTAGGAATGAGAAGGACGGGTTCCGATCCCGGTTCACGGTTCATGGTGTCGTTTCCAGCAATGAGAACATACCTACGCTATCCGGTAACAGCCACATTATGCCGCCGGTCTCATGAGTTTGCAACTGACCGTCACTGGAGTTCCCGACATCGAACTTCTCACACAAAACCAGTGAAGTACTCCAACTTCACGTGACTGCGCGATCGAATCGATGACGTCCTCGGTGGACTAGTGTTGTGCATCAACATTACACGTCGTCTGGACTGCGCGCATCACTCGAGGGCATGGCGCTGACATTATGAAAGTCGAGCGGAGTGACAACGAGCGCAACGAACATCAGATCCAGAGAAACGAAAGTCGAAAACGCGAACCCGAATCCACGGACTGAATGGAACAAGGGACAGAATCCGACCAACAATCGTCATCCAAGATTTGGCTAAGATTGAGATGGAAGCTTGCCGCGAACGTGCCTTCCCAACACGTGCAGTAACGTCACGATCAACCAGCCAAGTGGGCCATGGTCCAAGTGCCCTCTGTTTCCTTCCAAAGTTGCGTTCTTCCAGCCACTTGGAAGGTCAAATTTGGCAGTCTTGACCCACATCCAAAGTTGCGCAAGACGTGCTGTTGGTGACGCACGAGCCAGGAGAAGGTCAGAGTCCCCAGCTCAAGCAGCTTCGACCAAGCTCCCCTCTTGGCGCTGCGAGACTGCATGCAGCTTCTTCTGCCCGTCCCCTTGTCTCGTGCAGCGCCCGTCCCCCTAACACGCAGGCGGAGCAACCCCGTCTTTTCTCCATTATGGAAGCGTCCAGCACCGCCCAACAACCGGGGCGTTCAACCCCAGGCTGAGTGAAACGGAACTTTTCGCTCTCAACAATCTTTTGGACAAGGACGCTCACCGTTCCTCTCTTTTGGGGTTATCTGATCTTACTACGATGGACATCACCAACTTTCCACCACGCCGTTGGTGATGTTGTTCTGATGCTGTGGTGTCATGGGGCCCCAATTCCTCAGCTGGGAAAGAGCCTTTCACTTCAACCACGAAGCTGGCAGGTGTACACATATGGCTGTTCAGTTATGCACCATGGAAATCCAGTTCGTAAAATGTCTCCAGTAAAAAGGAAATGTGGAAGCTCAAAACTCTCCTTCCCTTGCCTATCCGCCCTCTCAGAGTCTCACGACGGAGTCTCACCTTCTCTTTTTCCCCGAGTGACCTCGCAACTGCTAGCATCATCCTCTCTGCCACCCCCCAAAAAAGCTTTTGAGGTTCTTCTCCGCACGCGTTCCCCCTTTCTTCCCGCTGCGAGCCGCTGCCTCTAGCGCTACTTAGGTGTACTCGGCATGTAACACTACCAAATGTACCGTCATAGTAGCGTAGCTAGAGGCAGGTACCTGCTGAGCTATAAATCCCCAAGTCCAGAGACCAGTGGGAACCAGGGTACGTAACGCGGTACGTATTTTTTGGCTGGCCCGTGGCCGGTGTTAGTTGGAGCTTCCCCCAGTTCCCCAGTCAGAGTTCCCCCAACTGGAGGTGTCTGCTTCCACTTCTCTCTTTTGCTTTGCCGCCCACCACCACCCACCACTCCAGCCTTCTCTCCCCCAGTTCTTTTTCTCTCCCTCTCCTCTTTTCCTCTCTTTCTCCATTTCCACTACTTTTTACACGCGCTTCTACCATTTTCCTGCCTCGGTCGCGACTTTGCCAATCTCTCCGATATCGCCTACCTACCTGATTGACAAGTTCTCAAGCCATTGGGCGTTGAATCACAATGTCTGCTACCCGCAAGAGAAAGGCTGAAGAGAAGCCCGAGGAGCTCGTCTCCCTCCCTGAGGATTCTGACGGTGAGGAGGAGGAGGAGTAAGTACTACCCGCTGTTTTTACTTTCAGCGTCATCTTTTCCCTTCTTCCTGGCAGTTCTTCGATGTGCCTCGGCAACAAGAACACGTATTGGTGAGCTTTGTGGCTTTTGCGCATTGCGGCGCGAATGCTTTTTCGTGTTGTTAGCTGAATCGCCAATTATGTATTGGTGTGGACTGTGGTCAGCCGACCCTTCAAGAGGCGGCGCCATCGCCTACGATGGGAAAACAAAAACAAGCAAAAACCATACATCCGCCTCTGATTTTTTTCTTCAGCCCAAGCTGTAGATAGCTAACAATTGGCCCACCACAGGTATGTCTCCACCGGAGATGAGGAAGACGACGTCGATGACGACGAAGAGGATGAGGAGTACGACGGCGAGGAAGGAGGCGAAGAGGAAGAGGAAGAGGAAGAGGAGACCACAGGTAAGCCAAAGCCATCATAAAGCCATCATCCATCCCAGCTCGGCAGCTCAGTTTCACCCTGCTACCTAGCTTAGCCAAGCTACCTTAGCCCGCAGCATAACTAACTGAAATTGACTATCCAGACAAAGCCCCTCCCAAGAAGAAGCTAAAGACGGCACCTGCCGAAGACGAGGAGGAAGAGGAACAAGACGAGGAGGAGGAGGGTGACGAAGAGGATGAGGATGTGGAGGAGGAGGAGATCTCCGAAGACGAGGAAGAAGAAGACGATGCCGAGGCCGAAGAGGGCAGCCCCAAGAAGGCACAGCGCTCCGCTTCCAAGGCCGTGGACGAGGATGATGACGAGGAGGAGGTAGATGCCGCCAAGGCTGCTGCTGGCGGCGATGATGAGGAGTAAGGGTGATGATGCGATTCTTCACTTCCCCTACCCCTCCGTCTCATGGCCACGGACGGCCTTCTTTGGCTTGTCTGTCTGATGTTCTTCCCCATTGTCATTGCTTGAGTTACTTGGGCTGATCTAATCGCGCTGGGAGTCTTCTTGGATTTGGTGCTTTCTTGGATATGGATTTGATAGGCGCCTGCTTAGAGATGAAAAACACGAATGATGGTTACTTCTTGGGTTTGGTTGACCGATGAACGTGAAGTGCATATCAATCGCGAGAAGATACTGCCGGGGCTAAGGTAGGTATGTGGTGCGACATCAAAACATCTCAAACATGACATCTACTTATAGGACTATACATAGCTCAAATTGGATCCGCTCCATGCGTTCACTGGACCTGTCGTCACATCGAACATGTCCAGGAACAAAAAACCCAACTCTTGCAGTGTCCAATAGGTAGCTGAACCGAACAGGCGCGTTGAACCGGTCCCGACCCCGGCCCCCCACATACATACGTAAGGTACCGAACGAATAAATGGTGTGCATGACACTGAACACTCCCTCTGATTGACCACTGGACTATTTTGATTCGTCTCTGTATGCGCATCGGGAATCGGGGCATTAGAGGGCAGTCCGAGGTCCAAAGCTGGATAGAATGCCGGGAGGTACGTATACTTCGTCTTGAGTTTCGCAAGCTGAGGCGTGTTGGGTTGAAGAACTTCGTTTTTCCGGGTTGCTTCATTTGCCCACACTGCAAGAAGTCTTGATAAAGTCAAAACAGAAGATGTCACTCGTCTTTTCCAGAAGCTGGAATGCCCTTGAATATCCAGTACTTGGCTTTATTTGGTCCACTTTTGATGACCTTTGCCTTATGTTAAGAAGCGGACACGATTTTCAGTAGTTGCTTATGAGGTTTCATTTCAATTGCAATCTGGCAGTTGATGTGTTTCTTGTTACTCCAATAAGTTGCAAGACCCTCTGTTACTTCGTTACGTACCACTGGACAAATCCTTTCCTTCGCTCTCTCCTTTTCTTTTTGTATATAATCCCGTTATCCCCCCAAGCAATGTTGCTTTCCCAGTAGTTCTGTTGCTGTTCCAAGAAAGCCACTCCCTTTTTGTGTGCCGAACACTTCAGTACTCTCGCCGACCATGGGTGTATCATGCCCAATCCAACCAGCTGTCCGGTAACGCCTTTTCTTTTTTCCTTACTCTTCTTTTCAACTGTCTTTTCACCACTTCCCGACTCACTCCCTGCCTAGATACCCCCTATGGCTAACCCCTCACCTCGCCGAGTCCACCATCACTGGCCTTCCCTATTTCGCATTCCCATACTCATCCCACATCTTCCTCAACTGCTTCCTCTCCGCCGATAGTCGCTTATGCTCGTTCTCCAACGTCTGGATGTACAACCTTGCGCGGTCAAGGACTTCCGACTTGCTGACTCTGCGTTCCTTTTCCGGAATCCCTGGATCAACCATGTCAACACTTTCTCTCAGTGGCTGGGGCTGCTTTGTGTTGTTGGCTTCGAACCCTTGTTCACTGGGAAGGGCCGTCGAGGGAGGAAGGACGTCCAGAAGCGCTTCGAAGTGGGCGTTCAGTCGATTGCGGTACTTTTGTTCTACCTTGTTGTGTTTGACACGGGCGATTTCCTGCCGGGGACTCGCTGTATGTGCTGTGTCGAGGTCCAAGTCATGTCCAGTGACGGAATGGCTCCTGTTGCTGTTGTTGTCGAGCGTGGTGGTATAGTCCATCACCATGTCCTTGTCGCCGTCATAGGTCCCGGCTTCCCATGCTTGCTCCGCATATGAAGCTCTTCTACTCACCACTTTTTTCGAGTCGACCCCCTTGTGTGATTGTTGAACTGGTTGTTGTTGCTGCTTCCTTTTCTTGTTGCTCTTGTTGTCTTCCTTTCGCCCCTTTTCTTTGCCCTTTGGGTTCATCAAACTTCCAGCGACATCTTCCTGCACCCATAATAGCGAGGACGGGCGGTTAGCCGTCAAGCTTCGATTAGCAGCAGCTGAGAGTTCCATGGTGGTTGACGATGGGCTATGTGCTGACTCTGCGTCTGCAAACTTGCTGCTAACCACTTGCCCGTCATCTGTCTGTGCCAGTCGATGTCGTCTCTTTCTCAGCTTCTCCTTTTTCATGGCAGCTCCTGACACCCCTGTTGATGCTACCTGGCTTCGCTGATATGCGTTTGCATAGGTAGCCGTTATCTCCTGATCGATGTATTTGTCTTCCTCATTGTAATCTCCACCTAACACAGGCTTCAAGATGTCGTGTTGCGACTGCAAAGGTAGTCCCGTGGTGGTTGGGCTTTCGTACTGCAATTCGTCGGCCACGTAAGGGGGCCATGCAGCGTGTATTTGATTGTAAGTCGGCCATGTATCGGAAAGGAACGAACTGGTATCTGTTGAATAAGCTGTAACAGGGGAGGCGGGAGAGCTCAGTAGATAAGCTGATTGAGGTGCAATCGGTATCGAGCCGGAGACAGCGAGTGCTGAGGTGGACAGTGTCAGCCCTACGGAGCTAGTTTTATCCGAGAAGCTGCTTGAGCGGAGAGAGTGTGGTATATAGTGATCCGCATATACGCCATGAGATCCGAACGGGGTGTGTTGTACTGGCGCAGAGCTGGTTGTTAAAACCGTGTAGTTGTTTGTTTGCGATTGCAGAGTAACCGCGGGGGTTGAGAAGTCAGAATGAGTGAGATGTTGGTAGTCTGAAGAAACATAGCCGGAGATATATGGGTCACGAGGGTGATTGTATGGTATGCTTGGATGGGTCGATGGCTGTAATATTGTCAGTTGACGTACTTTGAAGGTTGTCAGAAAATGAAGTGTGAGCTGCTGGCAGTGGTTCGATTGTGTTCTTGGCTTAGTGGCAGCGGGTAGCTTTGGGGACGATGGCAGATCATATGTGAGTATCCCGGCAATATCAGGCCATGATATCGGAAAACATGCCACTCTGGGTCACGACTATCACATTTCTTCGGCGATAAGTTTCTGACAGACATGGGCAAGCTGATCCCCTGTGGTACAGGGCTGTGTTCAAGTAAAACTGATGTAAAAGGAGCACGAAAAGAGAGAAACCGTATGAGAGATCAATACTTACTTGTATATCATCGTAAGGTTGCCGATGGTCACTGTCCGAACGACGCATTGTTAAGGGGTGAGTAACTGGTTATTGCCTCGGGCATGGGACTTGAGTAATGCCAGGATCAAGGAAGGACACTCCCCGGCTCTGGAGACATGTTCTCTGCTACTTATAGCTCCGGATAGCTGTTCTGTTTCACAACGAGAAGGAGCCATGATGTTGACTGCCGTTTTTCTGAGGAGGTGTTTGCAAGGATAGGGCGTTGTCTGGTTCGTAGGTACTGGAGGCAACTACGTTGCAAGTTTGCCAACGGGGCGAGACGCCATCCAAGGATTGGGACACCTGACGAGGCTATCCGGAAGGGATGGGGGAGTTACTGTACCATTGTGCCCAGCCTGAGAGAGGACGAGAATAGCCCATTCCGGAATTTCAGGGGATCCCATTCGGAAAGGACAGTATGCATGGGTTTCTGTCTCAATAACTGACTGACAATAGACAGGGGGCGGCTATGCCCGGCTCCGCGCTTGTTGGCTGCTTGAGTTTCCTGTATGCGGTAGGTTCGATATGTGTGATGGGTTTCGAGGTTGTCGTTTCGATGATCAAAGGATCAGTCGTCGTTCTCGTTGAACTTGAGACATGGTCCTTTCCTTGGAGCCGCATATCCATCGATCGCGAGTTCCCGAAGTCTCTGTATCCAATGGTGCGCCTTGAAGCCATCAAAATTTCCTTCTATTGATTATTCTCCGTTAGCCCGATTCTAAAAACGGTCACCCATTCACCCGGGTACTAGTGCCCTCCATCCTAGTGCACGGTAGAGGAGTTACATTGCTTCCGAACCTACCGCACAGTGTTGCGTTCCATGGTTTGTGCTATTTTGTTCTTGGACGTTGAGCTGTCATTGGCCTGCCCAGTGTAGACTTCGGGACGTGTCATTCGATTTCACCTTCAGAGTCACGCCATACGGTAAGAACCGTGGCGGACATCGGCGAGTGTGGCGTAGAGTGTTGGTCTGGAAATGCATAGTTGCAAATAATATGGCTTCAAGGCTGTTTGGGGGCCAGGAACAACATCTTCAGCCCCTGAAGATCAGGGAAGGACGAACATTGGCTGGAATAAAGTCCGCATGTGTTGATAAGCCACTTTAGCTGGTTCTCGGTGCCAAATACCACGGTCATAGACTTTGCTATGCGCCATGTCATCGAGATCCAGCGCTGTCTTTAGAGTCGTAGTGTTTGTACAAACAAATACATACCTAGTTTTTTTTCTCCTGTCAGTGATTGTTTCTCAGATCCAGGAGTGTTGGATATCTCCACCGATGTTCATGGAGGTCGGTATAAGCTTCGCAACATCAAATCGTACACAAGTGTCGTCTCTCTCTCGCTATCAGATAAAGACACTGCAGTTCTAAAAGTTTGAACTTGCGTTAGTCCTCCGATCGTTGCTGCATCGGGCTAACAATAACGGTGATACATGTCGAGTGAAGCAACAGACACATGGCAGACTCCTCGGTGCCACATAGCACAGCATAAACACATACCAGTAAAGCTAAAGAGTGGCCGTTGGTGGCTCTTGATTGTTTTGGAGTTTGGCTTGTGGGTTGGAAAAGTAGTCTCTGATGGGATGACTGCCGGTACTTACAACGCGCCAAATGTTCGACATCTTTCTCTCCTGTCTCTTCGTTGCCGATTATGGAACAATGTTGGATAAGGCAGATCCAACCAAGTATGCCCAGTCTATTTTCGAGAGGGGTCGGGACGGGAGAGTGTCCCTTGCGCTTTCCGGTGAAGTGTCTCCAGAGGGATGCTATTGTGTGTAATAGACGCGGTTGGCTTGTGACTTGTGATGCAGCGGTTGAAACGCATCGTCGATACGCTTCTCCCAGGGGAAAATGCCGTCCAGACTGGAGCTGACGAACTACTGCAGGTCTGGAAACAAACATGTGACTCGGGAAGCGGTTGTGAACCTGTCATTGATCGAGATGCTCGTCGGGTGGTCGGGTGGCTGCATTCAAGTCTTGGAGTTCTATTAGCAAGGCTCGCAGTTTATGCGCGGGATGGAGATTCGGATGCTGTACTCGCCGGTTCTTCCTCCCGCCACGCCCACTTTCCATCTTCGGTGGAACATCTGTGACCGCATTCCAGGTTTCGACAATGTGCGAGTGCTGGATTATTCGCCGCGGATGCTGCAGCTTGACGATTTGGGATAGAAGGCGCCGGCGAGAAGGCGTAAGATGACCACTAGAAGTTGGAAACTGGGAATACTTGATGAGAAGGAAGAGAAGTGTGACTCGGACTTCAAGTTTGAAGTCGAGCTTGAACCCCGGTGGCGCGCTGCCGCGCTGTGTCCAAGGACCGACCAGGCTGCAGGCACTCACTTGTTAGTTCCTTCTTGTGCAGGCTCTGGTCGTTCCTGCGAAGTCAAGGTACCGCACGCGAGTGTAAGGGAGAGGGTCGTGGTGAGAAAGCTCTCTCAAAACGAAGGAGCGATGGGAGAGTTATCGGAAGGAAGAATATGGTCCAAAATGGAAGTGGAAGGAAGCACCCGTACTCTTCGGGATGTTCGTTATGACTAGGCAAGTACCTACTCCTCTTTCTTTCGTCAACGATAAGCAGTTTGGCACGCACATTTACACAAACCGACAGCGCAGTACAATGTCAAGACAGTTGCTCACATTACAGAGGTTATTCACGATTTACTTGTGTGCAACATGTACCCCGAATGTTATGAATTCAATGAGCCTAGCGGATCATCCAATGTCCCAAGCCTCCTGACCAAAACCAAGGTACCCAAAATGGACGCCAGATTGAGTCCCATCCTCCAGTGTTGTGATTGTATGTTCCTTCCACATTGGAGACCTTTGTGTCCAAGTAGGGCAACCGTCACCGTTGGAAAGACCCTTTCATCCCAACCATTGCTTCATCCCAATACTCCCAACACTCCCCCCACCTCCCCCATTCCCCACCTAAAACAGCTTATAAGTCTCAATAGCCTCATCAAAGCTCTCAAAGATCGGGACAGTAAGACTCTTAGCAAAGTCCCGGAACAGCTCCGGGATCTTAGAAACAATAGCCTCGCTCATCTCCTCAGTCGCCTTCTTCTCAAGCTTGAGGTTGAGCAGGATGGTCGGGCTCAACAAAAGCTTGTCGAACTTGGGCTTGCTGGCGATGATGGCGGTAATGGTCTGGTTGACCGAGGTGGCGAGCGTGGACGTCTTTTGGCCGACGCCCAGGGCGCCGAGGGTGTCGAGTTCCTCGGAGGCTTCCGCAGTCTTGGTGCCGCGGTTGATGTTGGCGAGCAAGGAGGTGCTCTCGCTGACGATGGGGATCACGGTCAGGAGCTTGCCGTTCCACGTGTCGACGTAGTTCTTGAGCTTGAGCGTCGACAGGTTGATGGTGTCCAGGGCGGTTTGGATGGAGGCGGCGTCGGCGGCGACGGTGGAGGCCAGGATGGCGACCGGGGCGAGGAGGGTGGTGAACTTCATTTTGAAGGTTTGAGAGGAAGTTGTTGGCGAGAAGTGAAGATAGTGGAGTGAGTGGATAAGAGGAGGAGTTTGGAGAGCTCGCGAAGGTGACACCGGTCGGGTCTGGAACACTGGAACACTGGGGAGGATGTTGTAGAGTGAAGAGATCGACGAGGACTCAGCTTCTCCTGGGAAAAAACTGGAGATGGACCTGTCCCTAGTTATGCTCGCCTTTCACAAGCAACCTAGTCCTCTCATCCTGGAAGATGACAAGATCGTCGCCGAGGCAGACTCTCGTTATGCCCAAGTAGGCATCGTGAGTTCTTGCTTACCCCGCCTATGATCAACCTGAATGCTACTTGACCTTTCCATTTTGCGGGGGAGACCAGATCTTTCCGTGCCGGGAAGACAGTTTGATCGTAGCATCGTGCCCTCAGGAACAGGGTTCAACGCGGAGGTGTGATTGAAGGATGGAGGTGCGAAGCAATGATTTTCTGCAGGCAACGCATGTCAGTCATGGATAACATGGCTTTGGCAGTCAGATCGACCACAGGTGTATTGGTCCATGTGGTATGGCCTCGTCGGCGGTGAATCCCATTTCAAGTTTGCAGCTCGAGATTGCAGGCCTTGAGCAGCGGTTGGGACGACGTTGGGAGGAGGACAGCATCTTCAGGGGTAACTAACCGTTGAGGGTAAGGTGCAATGCGGGGGACAGGGACGTTGACGGCTGATTGGGAGAAAACCTTGCCAAGTCTGGGGAAGATGTTGGTCGATCCCTCGGCGATTTCGTTCAGATGGGTAGCATTTGTGGTTACTATCAGGCAGCATGTGAATGGGATCGACGCCCCCGAATGCTTTTACGGAGGCAGTAGGAGGGTGTTGGGGATGGTGAGCCCCAACATAAATACGAATGAAGGAGGCAAAACTCCATGTCGCCAGAGAAGCTGAGGATGCCTGGCAACACAATTCGCTTGTTTTAGTCGACCTCGAGTAAAAAGTTCTCGCAACTCTGAAAGTTGAAAAGAGCCGACTTGAACATGAGTGTTGGAAAGCTCGACTGAAGAGACAGATTAGGTCCAAGTGTTACGTGTTACGGTACCTCGGCATCCATCATTGAACAATGGGAATACGGGCCGTGCCTTGAGAATAGGCATGTGTGAACCTTGTTGGGCTTGAAGAGAGGCTCAGGGCCGCCAACGACCCATGTCGTGTGCTTTGAAGGCAACAGTACTGCATTTTATATTGTGATGTAAGACATTATCCAATCCCCTAAGCGCTTCGAGACCCATAGTAGACCACATGTTTCCGTTTCATTAAGGACCTCAATGTCCATCCGACGCACCCCAGTGTCTCTGAAAGCGATGCTGTGCCGTCTTGAATGTCTCCGAACAATGAATATTCCATCAAGACGGACCTCCTTCGCATGAGAAGTGGAATATGCCCTCACTCATGCGTCTCCTTGGGCTCTCATAACCGTCTATCAGCTCATTAAATATTGGCTATACCACTTGGGGGCGTCAGCCGCGTCGTGAACACAAAGGTATGTTGAACCTCCGCTTAAGTCGTCAAGTTGGCGCGTGGAGGTAGACAAGTGTCTCATGAAGTTTACGCATAGTAGCCCTGCGGAGGTACAGCAGGTTGATGTTGAGAGCCCGATGGGAATGCTGAAGGTTGTTGCGCAACAGGGGCGTAATGACCGCCATACATCATGTTTTGCTGAGGAGGTATCGGATGCTGTCCAGCTACCAGGTTCTGAGGTATTTGGTCCATCGGCATTGGTACAGGTACTGGGACTCGGACGTAGGTGATTCTCCGGGCCTTGTTTGTCGCATTGACGGTGTGTGTCTCAACGCAGGCGCGAACAAAGAGGAAAAAGTGAATGATCCATAGGATGATGGAGAACGCAAACAAGGTTCGCATGAGACCTCTTAGGAGGTTAGTTATAGCAGTTTCATCTTCATCGTATTCTTCCGTAAAGTCGACGGCGAAGACGCCACCAATGCCAGCACCCAAGGAAGCCACAAGGACGATGATCAGTTGGACACCGACATGAGCTCCGGGATGAATGCCTCGACGTTCTTTGGAGGCATATAATGCTAGGAACTCGGCCACGGTCCATAAAATTGCTAGCCCGGCCTAGAGAGCATTAGTTAGCACATGGTGATGTACAGAGATACGGTGCCGAATCAGTATCGCGAATACGGGTAGAACATACTGCTGAGGCATCGACAGCAAAAATGATGTCTACTGCCCACGGATCCCCCCATTGCTCGGCATAGGTGCCCAGTGCCAGGCCAATTCCAAAGATGATGGCAGAGCACACAAGAGATGCGGTTTGGAAAGCGAGTTTCACAACGTGCCATCTCTTGCTGTAGGCAATTTCCGAACCAGGGATCCGCTGAGGAAAAGGTTGATATGTGCCAGTGCCATATCCAAACGGTACAGGCGCCTGTTGCTGCTGGAAAACCGCACCATTCTTTTCCTGATGAGGCAGGAGTGGCGCTCCTTGCATGGCTGTGATTCCATCATTATCGGATCGTTCCTGTGCAGCCCGCGTGCTGCTGGACGGTTCGGCTGCTGTCATTTTGTTCGTTTTTGTTCGACCGATTTTTGGGTATCGTTATCAAAATATTAGTGGCGATTCAATCGACCGGTGATTAAGCACGAAAAAAGCGATCAGCGTGACGACGACACAAATAGTGTTGGCGAGAGAAGGTCGATAATTAAACGAGAGAATATGCGCAAAGTTCACATGAAGTTGTGAAGAACGAGCGACAGTCGACAAACCGGTGGTGGCGTGCCAAAGAAAGAAAAAGGGAGGAACGAGATTTTCAAGATTGCAATGCAAAGGGCCAGACGCAGGCTCCCATTGACTCTGAAGGTCCAACGCCGCAAACTTCAGGGTCTCTTTTACGATCCTATCGTATACCCGTGCCTCGCTCCCACTTTTTGGGACTCGCCAAACTCGTAGCGGTTTAGCGGCGTCTTGGCGTCTGGATATGGCGAATCAGGCGGCGTGGCTGCCTAAGCCCCTTGCCGGCATTGTTGGTTCACGGCGACGGGCACTTGTACCCCGGCCCGAGCTTTCTCGACAGACAAAGAGTCCTAGGGATGGGACTTGATGGTAAACCGGGTCATAAAGAGATATTACGGGTCAGTATGGAAGCATAAACCATTTGACACTGACAACTTGCTCGCTCACCTCTTTTCATTATCTTCTTTATTCGCCGTAGGTACATCTATGTGGAAAATATGGTGAGAAGTACATGTCATAATCACAAGTCCAATTAATAAGGCTGAAAGCAAAGATAGCATCGCTGTTCGAGAAGGGAATTATGTTATAGTCAAACGTGGCTATTCGCGCTGCAAAACCACCACTAAGCCCATCAGTCCGAGCATGACGGTCTTGAGCCATGGGTGCTCGGATAAAAGAATGGTAACGTAGCCAACAAAAGGAATGTAGGCAAAGACGCTCCTGTTTAAGGCAATGTTAGCAAATAATCGCAACGACATACAAGGCCAAAATCATCATACCCGATAATATCTTTCCTAACCAGGTAATCCTGTCCACTTGCGTAGAGCTCTGTGTCGTCCGAGACGTTATTATCTCCCTTTGTGAGCAACTTCGCTTCGGGTCTTCGAGGCAGGGAGACCTATGGTCAGCGTATGTCCGGGACAGCGCAAGGGTGTAGCAGATGGGAAAACGAACCCCTTTCCAAACTTCCTAACTATCCTGTGCACGATGGGGATATCCTTGCCCTTCACATTGTACACGACAATCTCTCCAACGCTGGTTTCGGCCACGACATTGCGGTTCCACAAGAACAAGAGATCGCCGCGCTGGAAAGCCGGCTCCATGCTACCGGACAGGACGACGACAATCGGGGACGGGGAATCTGTGATGACCGAAAGACCTTTCCACATCTGCGCGAACGAAGCTTGTTAGCATGCCATTGATGAAGCAATTCGGAGGCAAGTCGCATAGCAGAGGGCAGCTAGAGCAAAAACACACCATAAATGCGGTTGACAGGATCAGGCCAAAGTTCATAAGTTGGACGGCAGCTTGCCGCGGGTTTGCGAGGCCTGACAACATGGCGACGGCGGAAGAGCAGAAGCGATGCCCAAGTTCGGTATGTATACTGCAGGATGTCTGTTGTTGTGTGGTTTGACGCGGCGCCGTCAAGGTTCCTGCGCAAGTTCGGAGTAGCTGCTTCCTTCAATGGGTCGGGTGTTGTTGCTACAGGCACTGGCGCCGTTGTAGTTGACGATTGACATCAGAGCCAGGAACAGCGGGAGCGGACACGGTGACAAGAAAGCCGCGAAATGGCAGCTTCTAATTGGTGGCTGTGGTCAGAAGAGACCCACTCGGTTCCATCTCGAACGGCCCCACAAGGCATCAAGGTGCCTGCCCTGCACTTCGAGGTTCCTCTTCCTCTTGGCAACAACCTCAACTTCAACCTCAACAACCTCCTCTCCGTCTCTTCTCTCAGCCCATGCGTATTATAATGCGAAGACGCCGAACCATATGAAAACTGGGTCGCCAACCGTTGAAATCGATGTCTTTGACTTGAACCACCGGACACGACATACATCGCTCGGCAGTGCCATCGTCATGCTTCCCAGTGGAAGCACTTGGTGAAGTGAGAGAGATCGAAATCCAACCAAGAGATCATGACTGCTACTCTTTTGCCTATCTAAGCATCTGAGAGTCAAAATGCTACTTCCGCGCTTCCTCGAGGATGCCTCTAAGGGATTCGGATTCAAAGGCAAGTAGTCAAGTGTACGATCTGTACGTCGCTGCCTCCATGTTGATGGCCTTTGATTCGGAAGGAGTAGGCAGTGTCAATGAGACTGACAGAGGACGCGCTTCTTTGCCTTGGTTATTGTGATTTCCTCTGAGCATTCGTCTTTTGATTCGTCATCCATCATAAGTGGTCGGCGTTGTTCGCTCGCCTGTGCCTCTGATATTACTGAATTTTACCCCTGACGACCAGTCCTCCCTTGCTCGTCAACATGTCGACCGGCAACGAGGTAACGGAACGGAGCTCTCTCCTGGAGCGTGATCTCTCACGACCAAATGGAGTTGTCCAGGACTATGTACGTTACAAGGCTACTCATCTATCGCGCACAACGTCTTGGATCCTGCTGACCGCTTACATAGCCAATCTTCCTTCGCGTATGCCATGCACCATGGGGTTTCATCAACCAGACCACTCTTGTCGTCATTAGAGGCCTGATTCTAATCTACCTCACCATACTCGCGCCCATGCTACTTGACTACAAACTCTACAAGCGGCAAGATGGCGACTCTCCCTTGCGCATTATCTTCCAGTTCTCGACCATCACCTTTATTCTGTTGTGGCTCTACCACTTGTTTACCTTTGTATGTCCCTTGTCTTATCGGCCGGCAGTCTTGCCTTTTGGTACTAATTTTCGACGTCCCCGCTTAGTGCTGGAGCTATACGCACCTCTATTATCCCGATCTCGATGATGAAGATAACACCTGGGAGACGGCTCTACTACGAAAGATGTCACCGCCTGAGCAAACAATCACCTCTCGCAACCGATTCTACTTCAGTTTGTATTACACAGTTTCCCACGTATTTACCTTTATAAATACCTTCATATTCTTGGCCGTTATAGTGCCGAAGGGTCACGGCGACCTACCCAGAGACAGGCAAAGGGGTGGCGGCGGAGACGACGCCGGGAGTCTCGAGGGTATGTTTCAATCGAGATCAGACACTCTTTTGAAAAGTGCACTAACGAGACTAGCCGGTGATTTCTTTGGCCATGGATGGTTTGAACCTTTCTGTGTCCTCAACCTATGGGGTTATACATCACTCCTCGCCCTCTTCGAGATCATGTCGCTGAACAGCATCAAACGCCAGATGGTAGGTTTTCGAGTTTCTTGAGCAGGTCTTGATATCATGACAGGAAGACTGATGATTTCTATCAGCCTGTGCACACCCACATCATTGGCTTGGTATTTCTGTTGTGTGCCTACCTCGGTTGGGCTGCGTTTGGAAAACTCTCCATCGGCCGTGCTCCTTACTTCTGGCTGGACCCCGAGATTGTTCCGTACAAACTCATATTTGGATACTGCGCTTTGTTTGTGGCTTTGGGGCCTGCCTGTAAGTCAGATCTGCTTCCCCGGCTGGGTGACAAGACCCTCGCGCTGACCTCAATCGCTTTGATAGTCTTTGCTTTAATGTATGGTCTCATTGGCCTGCGTGAAGAACTGGCAGAGAAATATGGCAGCCCAAGTCAAGCCAGTACCCCAGATGGCTCGCAGCAGGGAGACCAAGAGTGAGATGGATGATTGAACGGTGTTTCTAAGAGAGGTGGCTTTCTACAGAACACGGTTGTGCGAGATGACGAACCTTTACATTGCCCTTCCGCTCTTTATTCCCTATTAACCCTGTTCCATCGTCACTTTAACCGATACTGGATCATGCTGATTTCCCTCGGTGATGCTGTCCCTCTACTCGACGATTGCAGAGGCGGTACCTAGAAGTCACGTATACAGACCTAGAAAAGCATGAAGGTTTTATTTGACTGACATTAATCCTCCTGTGATCGAATTAACAACCTCTTCAAACAGAAGACATCGCATACATATCATCGGAGTCTCTGGTTGTGGACTGACAAACTCCCAAACCCCATGCCCCTGCTGCCACGCAGCTGTAGCGGAGCCGCGGAGCCCGGGCTTTGTTTCACGCCCCCACTATCAGACCCCACCCAGTCTCCCTAGCGTCCCATCACCGTGGATATGTGCGGGGTCAAGATGACGGCCCCTTGGTCCGGCTGAGAATTGGTGAGATCGATCTGTATCTGCGCATTGTTGTGAGAGGGATGCCAACGACCAGCAACGTTGGCATGCCCCAAACAAACAGACATGAAGAGAAGCCCTGCCTTGACCTCAACGAAAATTCGAGAAGGACTGGAGTCAGGAGTGACCAAGAATCGGTGCTGCGCGATTGCCAGTGCCAATGGGAGGGATTGGACAAAACAATCCTCTTCGGTCATTGGATGAACCATTCAAGCTCAGGCCAGGAAAGTGACGGAGGCCCCCTCGTCTGTTGACGTCGATGGACAGCTCAGCATTCAGTCGCTGGGTCTTCACCATTGAATCTATCCCACGAATCCATCGCAAGGCAAAGCAAACTGCCTACGCCACACTGCAGAGGGAGAGGAAGAAGTCGAAGCATGCAACCATCACCGGAAGCGCCATCGTGCACACCCTCACCATGCACCAAGGCAGGCTGCAACATGCAGTCAGTGCAACCAACCGCACGTCGTCTGAGCGCGGTGAATGGACGATAAGTCGCTTTCCAGAACATGGCCCCTAGGTGTCTTTGAATAACGATTCACGGTCCTGACGGTTCTGGGTTTGTTGGACGTTCAATATAACCCCTGCCGATACAACCAAGGCTGATGGGTATCAACGTACAACAACCGCCGTCCCCGCCCTGCTTTTGTTGGTTTCCCATCAATCCGGCATCACGCCTTCACATTGGCCGTGAGGCTGTCAACGGTATAAGTATGCCGCCAACTCCTCCCTTACCACACTTCTTTTCCTGCTTCTTACTCCCTGTCCCCCCATCTCCCCCCAACAACACAACCAAAGGGCTGCAAAGTGTTTGCTGGTGTTGTCTCGAGGTTCATTCGGTAGAGATAGCACCGCCCGGGCCCTGTCAATCCTTCTTTTGTGCTTTCCTCCCTCCTTCCTTCCCTCTTTTTTCTTTTCTCCGGTCCTTCATCTGTTTCGTCGCTCTCTTGGAAGCTTTCTCCTGGATATCCCGTCAACACCGCCACCATTCTCCGATTCATCTTCCCCAAGACCGCCACCATGTTCAAGCGCTCGTTCCGATCCCGCGATGCGGGCAGCTCCCAGAGGGAGCCTGCCCAAATATCAACCAGTACGGATTCGCAACATCGGGTGGACAAGTCTGCAAGGCTCACCAAGAAATCGAAACGGGATCTCCAGAAGCTGTCGAACCTCAAGCAGTCGCTCACAGGTGAGAACTCTTCGCGCCCACAACAGTCAACGCAAGCGAAGCCAGCCGAGAAGCCACTCGCCATCACCCCCTCTCCCATCATTACCATCACCGTGGGTGGCGAGGGACGGCTGTTTGCTGCGCATGAGGATATCCTATGCCAGGCTCCTCTCTTCGAAAGAATGCTACGCGGCGCCCATCCCAATGCGCAATCCAAGAGGATCTTGCTCGAGGATGAAGAGCCGGAGATATTTAGCGCCATCCTCGAATACCTCTACAAGGGCGACTACTACCCTCGTCTGCTACACAACCAGCAGCAGGACTCTTGGGAGCTCGAGGACTCTCTCTCCATCCCCGCCAGTCGGGCCGCGCCCCTCACACCCCCGATAGGCAACCACTCACCACAATTCGGAGGTGGCCGCGCAGGTCAGGTCCCCTCTCCGTCTGTCGAGCGGACCGTGTTTCTCTCCAGCATCAACCAACATTTGCTTCGTGACACGGTAGTCTACTGCGCCGCAGAACGCTACGGGCTGGAGGAGCTCAAGAGGCTGGCGCTGCGAAAGCAAGGGCTGCAGACCGGTATCAACGTCGGCACCATCCTTCGCAGCGCTCAGTACTGCTACGCGCACACGCCCGACTCCGACAGTCGCCTGCGCGCCCATTACCTGGCACTCATCATCCGGTGCCGCAAGACCTTCAAGCGCAGCGGCACCATGCAGGCCGAGATGGAGAAGTGCGGCAGCAGCAACGTGTACGGACAAGGCAGTGGGAAACTCTTCTTCGACCTGTTCGTTGCCATGTGTAACCACCTCGACGACGTCATTGACGCGAGCAATGCGACGCGGACGCCCAAGACAATCTAGAGGGCTGGCCCTACGCTTGGTGTACGATTAGGTTTTCGGGTTTCTTTCACTAGTCACGTTGCTGTTCTGGACGATTTACTTTCACCATCTCACGATACCCAACCATAATTTTTGCCTTCTTGTTTCTTCCTGCGTTGCTTTTCTACTGACGGAGTTCGGGATCGATATTGAACGACAACCTTTGAGGGAGGATGCTTTGGTCATTCCCCTTGTCGCAAACAACACTGGCTTACAACAACGGACAACAAACGCAACTCAGACTGATACCACATCGGGGAGGCATTAACTTGTTTTTTCGACATGCGTATACGGCGCTCGCAACTCAATCCTTCTTTTCCTTTGTCTATCGCTCGGACGGACGATGACATGCACATACCTTATGGATGAATCCTCTGGTTGGGTGATCAAACAGCGAATTTCGAAATGGCAGCCTGCATGGCTGCTGACTTGGGTAATTTGATCTTACTTGGGAGAGGCTTGTTAGCTGCACGAGCAAAGAGTCACTCACCCATTCACGGGTCGGTCGCTTTGACTAGCAGACTGGCCAAGACACCTTCATGATGATGTATTGGAATGACTCTTATGATGATAACGAACACAGCTAGGGAAGAACAATGGTAATACTCAAATTCCATAGCTGCGTTAACTAGCTGGCAGGCCCTCTCCTCGCTTGGAGGACTATGTAATGGAAAACCTCAACCACCTCCCACCTCTTTTCCCGTCCCTCTTCGCCAAACTATCAGTGACTTTCCATCCGCTCAATGTCAACCTTAACACCCGGACCCCACCCCTAGCCTTCTTACTCCTCCCACTTAACCTCCCACCCCCTAACCTTCACCACCAACTCCTTCTCCTCCCCATCCTTAACCTCCTTCTCCGGCCTCGCCGCCATAGCCACCACCTCCAGATCCCACTCCCCGTCTAGCCCATAAACCCAACAAATCTCCCTCAACGCCGTCCTGCTCTTTTCCTCTCCCGTCTGCTCATCCACCACCACACGATAAACCCAAATGCTCTTTCCATGCTCATCCTCCGATTTTTCCACCAAGATAGTCGTCCACTGCTCTGTCTCCGCTCCTGGGAGAGAAGAAAGAAGGGGAGTAACGCTCCAATCAGACCAAGTATCCGTGGCGACGGTGCTCAGTTGAGGCTGAGATTGGTAGAACTCTATGCCGGTTTTGATCCATTTTGGTGGGATTCCTGAGTCTGAAGACTCGGAGCGCCGGCGAAAGGCAAGAAGAATGCCCGCTTGGTCGTAGCGCTCGCGCCAGGGAAAGGAGAAGGAGGCGCAGGCGGAGAGGAAGGAGGTTAGAGGGCCGGTGGAGCGGGTGGAGGGGGGGATGGCGGTTGGGGCTGCGGTTGGTTAGTGATGAGTTGTTATTCAGTATGGGAGTTAGAGTGTTTGACGGTAGGTACCATTGCAGATGTTAGTCGTGGGTGGTTTACGCCAAATGTCGGTGCCGGGGGCGGCGCGGATGGTGAAGATGTCGGTTGTGTTGGTGGACATTTTGTTTTGAGTGTGTGATGAGATGATGGGAAGTGGTGATGTTGAAGTGAGTGGACGATGTTGATGATGTGAGACTTATGTTCACTTTGGAATCACCTTCTCTGATCGATATGTGTGGAATCTTTTATACCGGTAAAAAAGGTACCAGCAGAGGTGACTCAACTATTTTGATGCCAGCTTCACAGTTTCAATTACGCAAGATGTTGTAAGGAGATGGGGGACACGTTGGCTTGACTGGGTTACAGTGAGGGGCTTCGCGAGTTCACGTTGGGTCAGACTCAGCTACTCCGTGCATGAAAACCTCTGTCATTGGTATATGTGTTTTTCTTGGCTTTTGTAGTCTTTCGTATTTCTGTCTAGACGACGTTCGAGGACGAAATGGAGAAGTAAGAGGAAGGTACAGCGGCCCGTCTATCCTAAGAGTGAGGTGGAAGCAGCATTCGGTCCAGACCGTGTTGGTACGCTCCTGTCGCCTATCAACGAATGTCCATTTGCGGTTGCGATTGTGCGCGATGCAAGAGCGAAAGGAAAAGCAAAGATCGGACGACAGAAGGGTGAATGGAAAAGTGCAAGTGAATGGAAAAAAAATTGAACCAGAGCTCAAATCGAACTCACGGCCTCTCACTCGCGGGATCCACCGGGCACGGCTCACTTTGCAGTCTGTGCATTTGCGAGTTTTGAGTCTGCGTCTCACCCCGCTCGACCATCCGGACACAACTTTTTCAAACCGCTCATTCCATTTCGACCTCGCAACTTTCTCCGTCACCAGTATCACCACCCGGCCAGGAACTAGCCCATCTTTTCACCAATCGTCTTACACCCCTTTCATCACCCCTGGATACTCCTTTAAGGGGCCCGATATATGTCAACATCACCAACATCGCCTTTTTACCAACACCTTCAATTGCTGCTCCCCTGGGTCGTCCCCCTCCTTGAAAGCTTTCCAGGTGGGTGACGAGACCAGTGCCCCACTACAATTCACTTGGGATTCAGCAACGGCGTCGCTTTCAGCCCACGCTCAGCACCCGACTTCACCAGAACAACACTGGCCAGTATCAACCATCAGCTTTTCTCTTTGCACACATTTTCCTATTCCTCTCCAGGCATCGGTGCCCTTGCTTGGATACACTTTTGTGAGATAGACAGCATCACAAAAAGACGGCAACGGACAGGCAAACAGCAAACCAGCAGTCATGTCGTCAAAGCCAAAGCCCAAGAGGCCAAATGCGGTGCGCCGCATCATGGAGCGTGAAGAGAGCCGCGAGCGCCGTTTCAGGGAGGTTTCGGTAGCATCTAACGGAGGAGCCAGCAACACCACACCTGCACCTACAGCAGCACCGCCTAAGCCTAACCGACCCAAGTGCGCCAACCCGAAATGTCCAAAGCCCAATGTCGTCGACGGAACCTGCCAGACCTGCGGTATGGTCGCTGATGACAGCAACATTGTCTCCGAAATTACATTCGGTGAATCTTCTTCAGGTGCCGCCGTCGTTCACGGTACCCATGTCGCCTTTGATCAAGGCGGTATTCGCGGCGTTGGTGGTCTTGCATTCCGCCGTGTCGCTGGCGGTGGTGCTTCTGAGGCCCGTGAACGCAGTCTTCGCGAGGTCAAGGCTCTTATGCAACAGTACTCCTACCAGCTCAGAATCGGACAGAGCATCAGCGACATTGCCTTCCGCTACTACAAAGCCTGCTCACACGCCAACTTCGTTCAGGGTCGCCGTAAGCAAAATGTGGCCGCTATCTGCTTGTACGCCGCTTGCAGGGCGGAAAATAATCACAAGATCATGCTCATAGACTTGGCTGATCTCCTTCGTGCGGACGTTTTCGCTCTTGGTCGTGGCTACAAGGACTTCCTCAACCGGTTTCCCGAATTTCTCACAGGCCCTCGGCCCATCGTGATCGAGGATCTCATTTTCCGTTTTGCTTCCAAGCTTGAGTTTTTGCACGATACCAACAAAGTAGCCTTGTCCGCTGTCCGTATCGCGAAGCGCATGCAACACGACAACATTACCCACGGTCGTAGGCCTGCTGGTATCTGCGGTGCCGCCCTCATCATGGCTGCCAGAGCTCACAACTATCGACGTACTGTCAGAGAGGTTGTCTACATTGTCAAGGTCACAATGGCCACCATTCAGGAGCGTATGGACGAGTTCGCCAGCGTGCCTGCTGCCCAGATGACTGTACAAGACTTCCACGACAAGGATCCCTTGGAAGCGGGCCCAGCGCATGATCCTCCCTTTGTCTACAAGCAAACAGACGAGTGGAAGGCCAAGCACACCCGCCCCAAGAAGAGGAAGAGAAAGGACGCTGGAGATGGCAAGAAGAGGGGGGCCAAGAAGACCCGGACCAACGATGGATCCTCGGCCGCGCCCCAGACTATCGACAAAGATGGCTTCGTTGTCCCTCCAGTTCCCCGGAAAGAAGGAGACAGCGATCCTGATGTTGAGGCTGAGGCTCTCATTGTTACTGCAGTTGCTGGCGAAGAGCAACAGCTGAAGACATTGGTCGAGGAGTACGGTGAACTAGATGAGGAAGATGAGGATGAAGACGACGACGATTCCGATTCCGATTCCGACTCGGACGATGAAGAGGATGAGGTCGATCCCAGCAGCGAGGTCGCCTTCGCCAAGGCTCAAGGTGTCGACATTGCCGCTTCTGGAGCCTCAACCAGCAATGGCGAAACAGCCGAGAAAAAGAGCGACAAGAAGAAGAAGAAGGGGGGGAAGAAGCTCAGGAAAATCACGATGCCCATCACCCAGGAGTGGCAAACCGACGAGGCTCTTTTGGAGAAAGAAATGGAGGGCCATCTTCACGACCCCGAGTTCCTCAATGCCGCTCAGGCCGAAAAGGTTGCGACGGACAAGCGTGTTGAGACGGAGAAGAAGAAGAAGCTGGCAGATGCTCGGAAGAAAAAACTGGAGCTAGCTCAAAAGGCGAAGCAACAAGCCGCCAATTCTGCCTCTGCTTCTTCTGCCCCTGCACCCGCCTCTGCTCCTGCTTCTACCTCCGGCCCTACTGCCAACTCCACTCCTGCCCCTACCAGCACCGAGCAGCCTAACACCACCAAGGAGACCGACACCGTCATGGAGGACGCTGGTGCTCGCGAAGAACGTCAGGATGAACCGGTCACAGACCGCCTCAACCCGTCGTTCCCGATCCAGTACACGCGCCCCCAGTACGTCCCCAACAAAGCTCTGGACGACCCCATCGTGCATGAGCACGAGTTTGCCGACGACCCCGAAGTCAAGTACTGCCGCCTAGGCGAGGCCGAGGCCAAGATGAAGGAGCAGATCTGGGTTAATATTCACGTGGACTTCCTCCGGTCTAAGCAACAGAAGGTGTTTGACGCGAAGCTGGCCGAGAAGAACAAGGGCCCCAACTCAAACAAGCGCAAGAACAAGAAGAACCGTGTCGAGGACAACGGCGGCGTACCCGAGACGGCCGAGGAGGCGGCCGTCAACATGATGCGCAACCGCGGCATCAGTACCAAGCTTGATTACTCCAAGCTTGGACAGATTTTCGACTTGGATTTCAACGAGAAGGGACCCGGAAGTAATGAGGCGGATAGCGCGCTAGCTAGTGAGTCTGGCGATGCGACTGAGGACCACAGCAATGAGGGCGAGAGTTCCGGTGGCGCAGCTGCTGCGGCTGCTGACACTACTACTGCCGCTGGTGGAAAGACGCATGAGGATGCGGTGGAAGAGGAAGCGGAAGAGGAGGTGGAAGAGGCACCGGAGGAGGCATATGAGGAGTACAATGAGAATGAAGGCGGATATGATGAATATGACGAGGGAGGTGAGGAGGATATCAACCCCTTCGCCGATGACGACGAAGTGGATGATGACGAGGAGTACTGATTGGTTGGTGGTTTTTGGTCTCTTGCATGACAACGGAAGGATTCATTTGGAGCAAGCGAGCGTTTGGTTGTTATCTTGTGATTCTGATCTTAAAACCCCACACAGGTGTTATGTTATGTAATAAGTAGACGAGCATATCTAGACTCGAGAACACAAGTTCAAATTCACCGTTTCGGTTATTAGATCCGTTGGTGCTTTCTGTGCGTTTCGAGCGGCGGACGGATTAAGGTGAATGAATATTCCGCGATAATGCGCAAGTGGTGATTATATCTATGTCCGAAAATACATGTGATGATGGGTCGTGATTCCCTAGGTAGTTGTATCTTCCCTAACATGTCTAAACTGTTCCCACCCCTTCCTGCGATACTATTTTGGTGTTTCGGTCTTCATTTGATTCGACATTATATCGTCCTACACATAATCACTGCCAACAAAAACCATGTAAGCACCACCCACCACCCGTCACAAAATAATGTCCCATAACCGTAATCAAAAATCACCTACCTCACTCATAATCCCCCTCGAAGCCGACCCTCCTCCTCCTCCTCCTTGGAGCGTTTGTATCAAACTTTCCGCCTTTGCCCCTTCTCCTGCTCCCGCTCCCGCTCCCGCTCCCTCTTTACCCTCCTCGAAAGAAATGGCACCGTCACCGACTACCATGGCAGGGGAGTAGGCGCCCAAGTTGATGTTCAAAGGGAGAGGGAGAGCGGTGGTGACGGTGAGTGCCGTTAGTGTTGTGAGGAGGAAGAAGAGGCCACGGCTGGTGAGCATTTTTTTCGGGATGCTGCTAATCTTGGGAGCGGGTGGTATAGTAGTAAAGTAGGTAGATCAAAGGCGAGGGTAACCGGACCCGGAGAATGGAAGATTATGCGAGCGCAGCTCAGCAAGGGGGTGGAACAGTGAGTGGGATGAAGTCGTTAGCAGACGTGCCGGAGGATCGATGGAAGGCGAAGAAGAGATGCGATAGAAGAGATCTTCAGGGAAAGTGATGGTGATCGTCTTTATTATATGAGCTATAAGAGGTTCGAGAGGGAAGCTTTCCCCTTGATCGTCGAGTATGAAACGGCAAAGTGGCTGAGTGATTGATCATTGCTTTGTGTTTCTGCGGTCAAGAGGTTGGAGATATCCTACTGACTGGTATAGGTAGTGTATCATCAAAGCCTCATCCATCTTGGCTTTTGGGTCTCCGTCTCCCGCCTTTTGTTGCATGTAGTTCCAAGACTCACTTATCGAAGCCGTCAAGATACTTCCACCACGCTGTTGTTCTCCCATGTTTCGCTAATCGCCGCATGGTAGCCCCTACCTACCCAACGAAGAGAATGTAACAGATTGTGCCGGTCTGGATCGAAACCGTCACAGATCCAAAGAGGTTCTTCAGTTAAGGTTTGATACACTACCACGTCGCGGGACTCGCGCGCGGGCTGTCGTCTTAAGGGGTTACGCCTTGATGATTTCGAGACCGTGATCTTGTTGGGTTGAGACGAGTGCCAAGAAGTCAAGAGTGTCGTTCATCCCGTTGAGCCATCAATCCGAAGGATGCTACGCGCCCGCTTGACCTTGAAATCTGGATAGGTTCGGTGAATTGTCTCCGAACGGACCAGCGGACTCGGATGTCGGATGCAATCCACCTGTCCCCGCACTCCACGATGGCATGTTGTCAACGGGCTGTGGGGATATTGGAGGCAGTTGCGGAGATGGTTCGCTTCGCTGTGTGGGGTTCTGTCGGGCAGCCCTGCCGCTGTCGTCGCCGCCTATCATTAGCGAAGATTTAAGCATGAATAGTGGAGCAAGGCCTGGGCTTTTTTTCCCCTCACATGCTTTGCAATCTTTTCTCGTTCCCGTTCTACCCGTCATTTCCTCAACAACATCTGCGCAAACGTCAAGCCAAGATTCCCAACAACTTTTCTGCCAAATCTCCTCTCCACTCGAAGCAATCAACCGAGCAATCTATTCCAGCGATAACGACACCGATAACGACCAGTGGCAACATCGACACCAACACCAGTCCTTTTGGGCATGCCTGCGGTAGTGTAGTCACGACTCGTCTGTCTTCATCGTCATTCTTCCGTTCTATCTATAATGCATACGCATACAGACATTCAACCCGTTTTGGTCAAGACTGAACGTGTCAATCGATGTCCGATGGAGCTGTCTTGCTAGCATGCATTCGGAGTTTTGCTGATGCATACATCCCGTCACGTCCCCGGAATGCTTAGGCCCATCAAGTGGGGATCGTCCGAAGCTGGAGTTCGGCCTTTGGCTCTCTCCTCTCCTTCTGGGAGCGCCGATCATGACACAAGTTTGGTTCAAAGTTAGGGTGTCTTCAACAGGTGTACAGTACCTTCTCAGTTCACTATGCCTGGTCTTTGTGTTTATTGTTATCTCGACGTTGTGTCCTTTTGCTCACAATGAACCACCGGGTCACTCCGGATTCGGACACTTCATCGGACACTTCTCAAGTGTGAAAGAAAGGCCGACAGGGCACCATCATGGCAAGTGCCGCTATTATGCGCCTCTGATGAAATACTATCGGCAAAAAGGGTAACAGTCCATATCTCTGTTACTAGATCGTGAGCTAATGGCTGCAGCCGGATCGATGCAGCCCGGGTCGATACTTCAAAATCATCCATCTTCAGCGCTGAGGTGACCATACCCATCACGCCCGGACCACGAAAGGGGAAGTCCGCAATGCCACTGATGATGGCTGTTGAAGTGAGAGGCGTGAGAGGTTCAAGGGTTGGGAACACAAACTCATGGCGCCCTTGCCAATCCTCATGCTCATGTGACTACCTTGCAGACTTTCTCAACAGAAGATTACGATATGGTGGAAGAATGCAAAGCCTCGTTTCAGGGCAACTCTGTATCGCCAAATCGCATCTCGGCTTCTGGTATCAGGATAGCATCGCTGCGGGATCGCCGCACTAACAGGTGGAACCTACGCACCTCGGTGGATGCTGGATGCAGCTACTCTAGTGTACTGGGCAACTGGGGCGCCTCCAAGCTTGGATCTCGGCGACAACAGCACTCGGCTGGCCGGATCTGCCTCGGCCAATTGCTCGACTCCATCCATGATATAAAATCTCTGAAAACAAAATGTCGCCCCTCCTCCGTCATGCCGGCTCGTCGACGTTGCTCAAAGTTGTTTCCTGTTACATCTCTCTCGCCCGTCTCACTTGCCGTCCTTGGATAAAGCTCTCAACAGCGACCATTGCGACCTTGATACCCCACGCATTACTATCCCTTGGCAACCAAGAACCTTGTTGACCACCCCCCTTCGGAAGCTTATCCAACCTCAACATCACACACCTTATCGGCAGACACCCTTCACCCTCAAGTCGTCAAACAAAACCTTCAACGGTCGCCACGGCAAACAACATCGGCTCAGTCCTGCTCGTCTTCCACCTTTCTCAAAACACAACATCGTCCCCTTTGCTGCGCGGACCACCAACCTCGCCCACAAGCGAATCTATCATACATCATCGCCCAAGCCGAACCACCATGTCGCAAACAATGGAAAAGCCCACCGTCGTCGAGGCTGCCCCAATGCCGGCCAGCCATATCAAACCCACCAGCTTCTTCACCGCGCGTTCCCGAGCCTGCTGCAGATGCAACGAAGAAGGCTCATCTCACGACCAGCAGTGTGTCAAGGCAGAATGCACCCACGGTTACTGCACCGACTGCCCCCAGCTAGACTCGCGCGGAAGGGAGGTGATCCCGCACTCGTTCCCTTGCAACTGGGTCTGCAACACGTGCTCGGAGGTGCACAGCGTGCTGTCCATCCTCGTCAAGAACGTCGAATGCAAGTGCGAGAAGCCGACGCTACAGGCTATTTACGACCAATTCGGCCGCATCTTCCTGTACTTCCGCAACGACCCCGCTGTGGACGACTTGACCGATTCGGCTAAAGTCCAGGAGGCGGCCTGGAGGGTCTGGGAGGCGGGCGCCGAGCCGTGGTTGCCGCATGTTGTTGCTGCTGAGGAGGCGATTGCGAGGGCGAGTTCTAAGAAGGGTTGGAGTCAGTTATCGTAAGTTCTTGCTTGCATCTCCAGTATGTTCATCTGGTTGGATGGCTCAGCTAACCGTTTCGTGTCGACACCTCTAGTCAAGCTAGTTTCTCGAGTGAGGACACCCTCGACTTGGACATGTCCGAGGCGTCCGAGTCGGTCGTTAGCGACTCCTATTGAGTTCGGGAGCAGTCGTTATCAACTGTTCTCGGCTGGATCGTCAAGTGCTTTCAGCAGTGCTACCTTCTTTTGACAGCGACGTCATTGCTCGAAATTTCGATTACTTTCTCGGCATCGAACATCCGTCACGACTTCCGATTTCATCACTCTCACTTGCTTCTGAGGTCCCTTTGAGGACATTCATCATCATTCTTATCAAAATTTCCGGGGAGGAGCGTTGCATGGAAAAGCGGAGCTAAGGCGTTGGACTTCCCTTTTTTCTCTTTTACAGAATCTTTTGCTTTTGCTTTTACCTCATAACCAGCGGGCGTTAGGATCAGGAAGGTGGACGTTTTCTATTAAGGCCTGGTTTTGGACCTAGTACTTTTCGGTATTATTCATATCAGGATCATGAATTATGATACCCTCGTTTCAGCACACTAGGAGACGAAGGAATTGAATTATATATCTTGACAACGACTGGCTTTAATTTTTCTGAAAGCGACCCACATTAACCCTCAACCACACACACCAAAAACATGAAGCCCATTTCTGGACTCCCATATCACGAAACGTATAACAACTGCCGCTCCGCCAGTCCTGGTGTTGCCGCGCACCGAGAAAAAGGAAAAGAGGAGGTGAACCAAACATCGTAAAAAAAAAAAAAAAAAACTCGAATTAGAAAATAACCGGTCTTGGACGAGCTGGGAATCGAACCCAGGACCTTTCGCATACAGGTGAGTATGCTAAGCGAACGCTCTACCAACTGAGCCACACGCCCGGAATGTGGAAGATGAGGATGATGGGTTGACCCCATAAGGCCAGAGAAAAGGCTTTGTTTTCCTCAAATCGGCATTTGCAAGACATAGAGCTTTTTCATGTTCCTTCACTATGCAATCTGGGCTGTGCCTAGTTTGAGACCTTGCAACTTTAGCAGCCTGTCCACACGGCTCTTCTGATTCATGTCGTTTGTGGCACTATTCTTCTTGTGTGTTTGTCCCTCCAAGCAGCGTCGTTCTATATGCCTTACCCTCGTTGTACAACAGGGTTTACTTCCCCCACCTTGCTCCGGGAGTACAAAACGGGTTGTCCTTTGTACCAGAGTCTATCCAGAGTTTGACCAGTTAGTTAGGGTGGGAAGAAGAGCTACACAAGGCGTGTGGAGTGGTCAGTCAGTACCAGGACATGTGCTTCGAGAAGGAGAAGGAGAAAGTCAGTATGAGTAAGTTTGGTGGTAGGTGAAGGAAGTACGAAAATGGAAAGAAAGTCTTAGATGAACCCGGCTGTGGCACGTTTCACAATCGTGAAATGCCCTGTGGAGGGTTGTGTAGTGCATTCGAAGAATGGGGTATGTAGGTGTTTCTCATATGACGATACTACAGCTGGCAATTCCTCTTGAAACGGTTTAGTTTTTTCTTCTGGAAGGTGATAGCTGAATCTGACTTGTAGGTAGGTAGGAAAACTGAGAGTGTAACGATGCCTGCCGGCCAGTCAGCATTGGAACCGTTCTTTCGCTCAAAGATCGATTAAGTTTACACACACATCGTCAGTTAGTATACCACTTGAGGTCACACTGTGAGGGAATCTCGATACCTCACGAAATATCTAAGCTGCGCTTTTGCCTGTCCGAATTGATAATCATCATGATGTTAATAGCCAGCTGGCTTATCCACTCAAAACATGAATGGCACGTAAATACAGTAATGGTCAAAAAATACTGTCACCCCCCACCCCCATGCATTTACATCAACCTTCCGCCTGCCATTTCCTTTGCATCTACCTTTTCTTCAACCCTTTGCAACTCCGTCACTTTCCGGCCAAAATGGAAGATCTTGGTAGGATTCTGACCGGATATTTGTAGACTTTAATATAGTACTAGAAGAGAGTAACTAGAGCTAACTGTTGGGCTATAACTGTAGCCAGAAGTTAAGAGGCTTTAGATAATAAGATTTAATGAAAGCATTAAAATTATTACTTGAAATTCCAAACGCTTTTAACACCACCAGATCTTGAAAGCACTTCTCAAAAAAGGGTATAATGAAAGATTATATGGATTTATATACGCTAGAGTTAATAAAAAGTATAAAGGAGCTCCCAAAAGAATTTGGTTACTTTTAGAAATTTGGGTTGCATCATCCCAAAATTGGTGTAAAATTATCAAATGTATAATGCATCCATAATATTGTGACGAACGGCAGTCTGATCTGCCTAAATGAGATAGCTGAAGGAAGTAAACTATCAGGTGCAGTTCGGTGAAGCCAAAAGGTTCACAACAAGTATCGTTATACGTGTCTCTGATGACGATGGTCTATTGACTACTGTCGAACTATCTGACAATCTGAGTTCTCCAGTCGTCCCTTTATACTCTGGTGATTCTAGTTACATGTGTCTGGCTCATTGACCGTGAACTGGCTCATGAGCCTTCAGACGTCTCATGAGCTTCTTCTCGGCTCATGAGCTCTTGACTGTCTCATGAGCCTGTCTTGGCAGATGTGAGCCCTCCTTGCTCCGATCCTGGCTCTTATTCCTGGGAAGGTTACACCACCCAGCCTTCACGTGGTTGTTGTGTTCCCGGTGGCTTGGTTGGCCCGTGTCATCACTTAAAGTTCGTAACAAATATCTCCAAACATCAATGATATCGAATGCGTTTAGTGCAAAATGGAGTTAAGGGTAAGAAAAGACCATTTAAATTATTATTTATTAATAAAAAACGAAGAGAAAAGCTCCGTGGTTTTAGAGATATTCTTCAACATTTGAGCGAGAATCTCTCTTGTCTTTATTGATAGCAAAATGAACTCAATGCCAAAGCGTTGCGAAGCTGCTAGAAAAAAGAAAGACTGGTACATTAAATACTAGAATAGACCTCTACCTTCCATTTGCAATTCAAAGCATTAAAAAATATCCAGTTTTGGTGGCGGAATGCACTTTTGAAACTTGGTGATAAATGTGGTACATTTGACATAGGTGGGGGGTGACAGTATTTTTTGACCATGAGTTTAGTAGGTCAGTCAGTCAAACACAATAAACGGCCAAGACGGACGGCTATGGCATAGCCGGGCCAGTCGGACAACCACACTGCCGGTATGTAGATAGCCTTGGTAGGCCAGGATCGGATATCGAAGGTGTCTCGCAGGATACCGATGTAAGCCAAGATAGTACCAAGACACCAAGCTTCCACACACAGCCAATCGATGCAAAGTGGCGCACATGGCCACATGTCTTGTAAAAGCTTGAATTTATTCTCTTGATTTCTTGGTAAACCCTGAATTCGAGCAACTTCCACCTTTTCCTTTTCCTCTATTTTTTTTAGTCGTCTATGGTATGATTTATACGGATTTCCTATGATCTACACCATGACCGCAATTGCATGCACTGTTTCGAGACTGTCTACAACTTTCGCACCGGGACGGATCAGATCACGGAACACGGATATACACCAGGCCTACAACACTCTGGACCACCTTTTTCATACAAAAAAAAACGACCGGGAACGATTATCGCACTTGAAATTCCAAACACAAGTGGCCTCCAATGCGATGTCTACCATAAGCCGGTAACGAAGGGGCGGAAGGAAAATTCGAGTTTATGCGTATTAGACGACACCAAAGGAGGATCGACCTGGGCCCGTTCCCTAGACTCACATCACACTCTCCAGCCCAGCCCAGCATTGCGATTGCCTTTGATTACGTGGTACTCGACACTCTGTTGGGGTCAATTACGGACATCGCCGGGTTGCTCCTTCCCCAGACTGACAGTCGGAGGGCATACAAGAGGGCCCGAAGCGGGAGGCAGGGACGACCGAGCAGTTCCCCAGGCAAGAACTTGGTTGGTATCAGGACTTCGGATAATCTTTGAGACGACGATAATCTTTGAGACGACGGACCAGCCGACAAGTTGAGACCTGTAAAGGTTGTACGGCGCTCTCAAACCCTTCATGGAACCTTTCCGAAGACGGACAAGACGAGGGATCGATCAAACATGTACGTTGTGATTGCACTTCCATATGGACATCAGGTTGTAGTCTTCCATCTATACGCTCTCTTCATTGTCATCTATAACCCAAACTCTTTCAACTAGTCATCCAGAAACGCCGATATCTCAAAAACAAACAGCCTCCATTTTATATTTTCCGTTGTCGCTGTCAACACCAAACCATCCAAAGGGCCCCTACCTATTCCGCATGCGCCATGATAAAAAACCACAAAAGGGATATAACGTCAAGAATCGTAAACATGAACAAAGAAGAAATCGCGAAGGAATCGCTCCGTAACACCAGGCTCCGCTAACCATGCAACCCGCCCATCCAAATCTTGGTTTTCTTCCTTTTTATTTCCTTTTCCTTTCCCCCACGGTGAGGGTGTCACGCCTCAAACACCTCCACCCGCTTCCCAATAGCCACCCCGCTATCCGGCACTCCGCTGACAGGCTCTGGCGCCTGAAGCCACTTGAGGTTGCTGGCCTCCACGATGCCCTGGTACCAGATGTTGGCCATCTTGCGATACCCGACATCGGTAGGGTGGGTGATATCGAACATGTCGGCGGGGATCGGGCCCTTGGTCGAGTCGTGCATGTCCACCAGGACCACCCGCTTGCCCGCGTCCCTCATCCGCTGCGCCAACCCCCTGAACTGGTCGTTGATGATCACCACGCGCTCCTCATTGGCCGGTTTCATGTTAATGATGAGCGTGCTGAGGATAACCACGGCGCGCGGACTGGCGGCAAAGACTTCGTCGATCATGGCGCCCATCCTGTCGCCCGCTGTCGAAATGTTGAGGTTCCCTGTTGCGTCGTTGGTGCCGGCGTTGATGAGGACCACGTTGGGCTTGTACGCGGGCACGGCGGTGCGGGCTTTCGCGTGGACCTCGTGGATCCTGTAGCCCGGCCATCCCTCGACATCGTTGTCCTGCATGCTGCCGTGCTGACGCGAACCAACCATGTTCACTGGGTTGCCGAGCTTGACGATGGCGTTGCGAAGTGCGTCACGGTACCCGTTGCCGTCGGTCGATGCCTGGCCGTATGTGATGGAGGCACCAAGGGGCATGATGCGAAGCGCAACCCCGTTGCTGAGGGCAGCAACGGCCTTGCCGCCATTGCCGAAGTTGTCGGTCGTTACGCCCTGGTTGGCCAAGGGGGTGGCCAAGGCTGAAAGCAGACTGTTAGCTTGAGAGCTTGTGGCAGAATTGGGGGGTATGGAAACACTCACCCATTAAGAGGGCCTTCAACGATGGAATAATCATCTTGAGGTTTGGGGAATGAGAGTGATCGAAGTGGTTCGAGTTGCTACTGGTACAGTATCGTCGGAATATGTATTGGCGCCAATGCCCAGCCGTTCAACTCGGGGACTAGGGGATATAAATGGCCTCCCGAAATCGAAGTCGTGCCGTCTCTTTGATGTCCCGGGTGATGCGTCAACAAAGAGTTGGAGACAAAGGCGACAGTCAGGCACCAGACAAGGGATGGGTCGCGGTCGAGGTGAGGAGAACACGATCCAATAGTCTGGATGAATACTGGTAACACTTGTAGTTGATATTGCTGTGTGATGTGATGCTGGGGACCGACAGGCTAAAGTAAGACGGCGTCCGGGTCGTAGCACGGAGGCGGTATGTGATACTATGGGGGGAGGGTGAAGGGAGGGTTGGGTAACGTTCACTCGAAGAGAGGTCGAAGGGTCCAAACAAAGGGACAGGGAAACGGCAGGATATATCAGGAAGCAGGAGGGAAGGCCGAGTTCATGGGGACCGGGGACGGGAAACCTCACGATGGCTTTGCCCGATCAGCCTTGGGGCCTGATTGGCTCGCGTGCCCGTACTTTAAATATTGTACCTCAAATATTTGTGTATAAGCCAAGGCCTTGTTGTAGAACCTACTTTCCCTCTTTAAGCTAGTAAAATCTACCCTTATGGATCCTTAAAAAGGTTATGTTTTGTATAGAGTGGATACGTACTTCTTTTATCCTACTCTGTTTGTACTTTTATAATGAGGAGTTGAAGGTGCGTAAGTAAGGGCGCGCGAGTCCTTATAAGGTATGGCTACTAGTTATTGTGTATTAGAAGGGGTTTAAATACTTCTATTTATATATTTACCCCCCTATACGAGCGGAGTAGGGTAAAAGGGTTATGTAAAGTATTTTTGAGGTGTTTTGCGTGCTTGTAACCTCTTAGAAAATAAGTATAATCTATTAGAAGGTGGATAAAGGTAGGTAATTTAATAGTAATTTATAGTGTTAGTATAGGAGAAGTTAAGTATTGACCGCGGAGCTATCGGTTATATTATGTAATTATACGACCGTTTATATATATTACTGCTATTAAGAGTCGTGTTTTTAATTGATAGTAATATTTTATATAAGAGATGAAGTAGAATAATTTATTGTAATAATACGAGTTAGCCGCTATGGTAGAAGATAACGAATATATTTGGGTAGAGGAGGAGGAGGGGGAGGTAGAAGCTTACTGAAAGAAAGTTTTATTCTTCTTTGCTATATCCGTTATCGTTATTATTACTATTTCGATAGGAGGGCGAAAAGGTTTCAACTTTAAAATTATAAATGAAGGCGGCTTAGAAGCGAGTATAGTTAAGGTTAAAGGCCTATTGAGAGGGTAGGAGAGACGGTTCTATAAGTTTTTTTATATAATAAAAATTAAATTTATCGCTTTAGTAAAGTGGATGTAAAAGAGAGGTAGTATATAAGATATTACATATTAAATCGTTGAGTTTAAATTAATAGTTTTTGTTTAAGTTATTACGTTTAATAAAATTTAGTAGTAAATAATTTACTACTCTTTAATAGTTTAATCGACGGTCTCGAATATTATTAACCAAATAATATTAATCTTTGTTAAATTTTATACCGAATTTATTATTCAATTAAATAATAATTATATAGCGCTAAACATTGAGTTTATCGCAGGCAATTAACGGTTTAGTAGTACTATTAGTACTATTAACAGTATTTATATTTACACTAAGGTAAGGATAAATGAATAAAACCGTTAGTATAATAGGAAGGGATTTATTTTTTAGAATGTATTTACTATTATTTAATTTGATAATTCCTTTTCGTACGTACTTACTAACGTAGAGGGGTTGATATAAAATGCAAAATTATTTTGTATTACTTTATTGAACGGATTTAAAATCCCCATTAAGGGATTTTATTCAGCCAATGTAGGCTTTAATTAATGGAGGGATATTTTGATTCCGTTCCTGATTATACGATACTATCTCTTAGATTAGAGGGAGGCTCCTAATAATAAATAACCCAAAATAAAGAAGGAATTATATAATTTAAAATATAGTATAAATTGTATATTAGTTGAGTAGGCGTTCGGGTAATTAAAACGGATGGTGAAGTTGATACGAGAATTAATATTAAAGTATTTTATTGAAATATAGATCGACTTCGTATATACTATTACGGGTCTATATAATTTTATTTATTATTAGCGTTATTAATTAATAAAAGAGGGAGAGGAAGTATTTATTCGGTTATTAGTATTAATAAAATAGCGCGTTAATAAGTTCTATTTCGATAACCCTATCGCTATGCGCATTCAAATTGTAAATGGGTTTTGGAGGTTCTAGTAATAATATTTGAAAAAGAAGAGACGGTCGAGAAGGTAAAAGAGGGTAAAAGAAAGTAAGTTTGAATTAATCTATTAATAAACTAAAAATATGTAAAGTATTAATTATTAGTACTTTTAAATTTCGAAATTTCAATTATTAGACAGTAAATGTAAGTATAGGTAGTATACGTTAGGGAGTGTTAGAATTATAGAAGGGTTGTAATATTAGATAGTTATATTAAGACGGGAGCTAAAGAACGTTAAAATTTTCTAGCTAATATAATACGCTATATTAGGAGTGTACGGACCGGCGGTAGAGTAAATATTTATAAATAATTTGGGGAAGTGGCTCCTATAGACTTTAATTATATATTTGATAATGATTAATATATTAAAATCCGATATTTTAAATTTAATAAAGTTTTTGGGATTTCTAGCATTTCTAAATATAAGTAAGCAACTTTCTCTATTTTACTCTATTCTATTCTATTTTATTTATTATTTTTATTATCCCGCGCCCTTTCTTACGCCCTCTCTTTCTTCCTCTCCTTTCTAACTGCTTTAATTAATTATTTTAATTTAATAGGTTTAAATTTATTTTCTATTGTATTCTATAAGACCGACTCTTCCTTATTCAATTTTTAGGATATATTAACGACTATTTTTAATAATAATTCCTTCGCGAAGTTAGATTGGAAGTTTAAAACCGCCGTCTACATATCGATTATATTAATAAGTTTCGCATTATTAATCGATTTAACCGTATTATTAATAAACTTCGTAATTAGGATATTATTTTATTTAATGGATATTTTCTTAGTAGGTTACGTTATTTCGGTATAAATTAGAATTTTAAACACTCCCCCCCTTCTTTCGGATTTATCGTTACTATCTTTATTATTTTAAAAATTGGGGTTAGCGGCCTTTTATGATTTAATTCGCTTTACTATCCGCTTTAACCGCGCTTTTTCTACTTTAATTACTTTCTTTTCCGCGGCAATTAATATACTTTACGTACCCCGCTTCCTCTTCGATTATGAGTTTCCATTATTATATCGATTATAATTTATATTAATTAAATAAGAGATTTAATTATTTTCTTATCTACGGAAATATTTATTAAGAGGGTATAGTTATCGTTATTATTAAGGATATACACGCTCGTTTTGATTTATAAACCCTTACTATTAAACTTTTTAGTAAAGAGTTCCTAATAGGCGTTAAAGTATTGAATTTTACTAATTTTATAGTCAAAAGATATATTAATACGACTTTCGACTATCTACTTTATATATTTAATATACGTTTTAAAGCGAATAAATGCGCTTTAATATATTTCTCAAGTAATTTCCCTATTCTTATCTTTATATTCTTATACCTATTCGCTTAATACTTCTATTTAGATTTTATACTAATCGTGTTTAAACCCCTTACCCTCCTTAGTCGTTATTAGAAAGCCGCTGGTATAAGAGGTTTTAGTATGGCGGATAAATTAGTAATATACTTCCAAAATCTAATTATAATAACTAATCGATAGAGTCGAAGGCGGGGTTTACTTCTTTAATATGGGTTATTAGTTAACTACTTCTTTATTATTAAATAATTACAACTACTTCTATATTTTATATACTATTTCTATTATATTATTATTATTATTATTATTATTATTATTATTATTATTATTATTATTATTATTATTATTATTATTATTATTATTATTATTATTATTATTATTATTATTATTATTATTATTATTATTATTATTATTATTATTATTATTATTATTATATTATTATTATTATTATTATTATTATTATTATTATTATTATTATTATTATTATTATTATTATTATTATTATTATTATTATTATATTATTATTATTATTATTATTATTATTATTATTATTATTATTATTATTATTATTATTATTATTATTATTATTATTATTGAGGTAAATAGGCCTCGCCTAAGTTTTAAGCGGCTAGCTAGCATCCTTAGGCGAGGGCTTAATTATATTAAAGAAGATAGGGGTACTAAGGAAGTTATATCCCGTATAGTTATTGATGAGGTTTTATACTATACATTAATAGGGAGGCGGGCGAATTATTGGGGTATATAGTTTAACCGTATCAAGTATAATATTTATAATAATTATAGTAACTACCCGGGAAGTTAGTAAAAATAGGTAGGAGTTGCATTATCTTATACTACAACTATTAGGAATCTATATACTAGAAACTCCTATATTAGGGATTCCCTAATTATAGTCATTAGGATTTATATTAATAATAGTATTATTGAGAATATTAAAACGGTTTATACTAAAAACTATATTAAATATAATTATCCTTAGCAGGCTACTAGCTATTTTAATACTAATTTATTATAACTCATTATTAATATCGATATATAGTATTTTATACTTTATAGCGGTTAAGAGCTTTATATCTACAATAAGGTAGTAGAGCTTCAATATTAGAAAATATTATAACTCTTCTCTCTATGGTGGTGTAGTCCTATATTGTGTTCTATACTGTAGCTAGAGCTACCCTAGAAGATTAACCTATTAGGGTTAAGAGGGTTTCATTGGTTCTACATACTAAAATTTCGGTACGAGCGCCAACCCCCTGCAATTGGCACTCTACACAGTAGGGTACGAAAGTCAATTTGAAGCACGATATTTGAGGTACGGGCACGCGAGCCGATCAGGCCCTTGAGCCGATCAGGCCCTTGACCCGTTGTCACCTCATTTTGGCTAGAGAGGCTATTATGTCACATACAGTGCGCCCGGGTAAGAAAAAGCGGGTATAGGAAGGAAAAAAGAAAGTGAAAAAGTAGGTAAGAAAAAGAGGGCCTTCCAGTCCATCACCAACGCAAGTGCCTAGCACCGTGCGGTTGCAATCTGTCGGTCTGGGCCGAGACCGTGAGAGAATACCCCCGGCCATGATACCCTACCGTCCCATGGAGCAACGGCCGCAGCAGCTAGTGCGTTAACAGTTGCTGACACGATGGGACTGGCCGGAGTCCAGCCCATTTCCGGAGAAGCGGCGGTTGCTAGACACCTGAGCTAGGGAGAGAGCTGAGAAACGTGTACCAGGCGGGAGGGAATGAAACTCTGCCAAGCGGGAACGCGGTGTTGAGTTGTGTGTGGTGAGCCTGGAGGTGTTTGGTAGTGTAGTGCCGAAGCTTGACATTTTCTCGTGTCTGCCCGACGGAGCCCACAGAGTTTCCCACTCGGGAAGTCACGATGTCTAACAACGGTCGCCGAGGTCGAAACAAGCGAAGCCGAGGGAGGAGAAACGAGGGAGTGAGACCATCTTGGCAGGATGAACCGAAGCGCCCCTGGTAACCAAACAGAAACAAATCGAGACTCGAGCGCCCTTTCCTGGGGCACTCCTTGTCGCAGGCTGGGCTACGTACCGATAGCAAGCAATAGCGCCGGCTGCTATATCTGCTAGCGTGAGATAAGACTTGGGCGGATTTTAGGCGTGGATCATACCAAGCTTCTTAACAGCGGCTAGCTTGAAGCTTACCAAGAGCTATTACCCCATTTTGGCCCGTCATACCTGTGCCGCGTTGTGCCTGAGAATCTGAATAAAAGAAGCTTTATGACGTGCCACTCGCTACACAACGTGCACCACAACGAGAGATGCATCATACCGCGGTGATCCCTTACTTTTGCCAGTTAATATCGACGATGCGCATCTGATCCTCACGATTGCAACCGTCATTGATTGTCTTTTGACATCCTCCGTCTTACGGCATTTCGTCAGTTGGTTCATCTGATGCGCAAAGGATCCAAAGGGTTCAAAGTTGAGTTCAAGTCGTCGTTCTAGACCGCTCAGCGACAATGAGGTGCTCGCAGGTCCAATGCATGCACTTGGGTTCCATTTGACACCTCCAGCCGTCAATTTGGCTTTGTGGCTGCAGGCTTGATTGGAATAACCAGCCAACCAGCGGCCGGATAATCTACGCCGCGGCACATGAACAGTGCTGAGTGAGATGCTCATCATTTCCTTTCTCCTTCTTTTCTGTTGTTCATTGGAAGCTCTTACGATTCATTACTTCCATAGGAATCCAACCCGTCAACCTTATTGCCCTTTTATTTCCTTCACCGATTCCCAATATGGACGCCGACCGCAGGCATCAGCTTGGAGGAGCTGTTGGGATCCGCCCAAGTACACAGTGGCCTTCTACTGTGAAGTTAGGGGCCCTTCTAGCCCTACGCAGCGGGGCTGCGCCTCAAGGTATCCAGCACGGCGTCAGACTAGAGATCCATTGACTTTTCACCATGCCAGCACAACAAACAACTCGTGTTCCCGTCACATTTCCCATGGCTTTGTTGTCTTTCGGTCCGGACTTTGATTAACCACCAAACACCTCTTGTAGAGGTTGAGGTCGCGATTGGAAGACATTACCATCGCCCATCGCGACGCGCCCGGTGAGAGTGCTCTCGTTGGCCGCCCAATCAGAGCCGTCAATTAGCCCTCATGTTTCTCCCCGTGGTCGTCCGATGATCCGGGGCATCTGAAGTGGGGTGCTCGGCATCTCGCCAGAGTCTTGGGCGGGCCTTGACCCTCAACAAGCTTCAAGGTGCCGACCGCCCGGTACCCATCTGGGCCATCACCTACACGTGTACTGCTCGCTGGCTGAAAATCTTTCACGAGTATGACCAGGAACATACCCCCAGTGAACACGATCTTTCACGACAATGTGCCCCCTACGTTTTCCCACAGCAGTCCGCCGGAAAAGAACGCCCAAAGCTTCGGGGGGGCCATGCTCGATACAACCTCGTAGCACAATTCAAGCCCATTCGGGGCACAATAATCGGTTCAGCATAGCCCGCTAGGAACCAACAGCATAAAGGGGAAATTAAGCACCATACCCAGAGGTGTAATTTTGCTGCCTACCTAGGGGTTCCGGATACGGATTCCACTGAAAACGAAGCCGTACCTAACCTTTCGCCTATAGGCAACATTGCAGCGAGACGAAGACGGACTTGCGACATAACCGAAACACAGATTGAGTGAATCGTTACAATACTCGCTTCACGCTATGTACCGAGGAACCTTGCATACAAACCTCCATACGAATTGGGGCGGACGTAGGAACAAAGCCTTACTTAGCGAATACGATGTACATACAAATTGTACGATAAATGGATGCACTTTGTGGCCACTTCGCCAGTGCCGTGAATGCCTAGGAGATGGAGTAATGGACACCATGTCAACGGAAGGGTTGTAAAAACTCCATCGGGCTCACTCAGTCACCCAGCAGAGAAACAAGCAAACGCCCAGAGATCTCTGTCAGTCTCGGCCATAGCCAACCCTGCCTACCACGCGCTGTCGCGATGCAACTTTGAACTTTTCCAGGGTTGAAGCGAAGGGGTTTCCTGTTTCGGAATCTCACCCAGCCAAGACATGCCGAGAAGGGGCAATGGTAGGGTGTTGGTTACAGTTGTTGTTTTGAGGTTGCGGACGTTTGAAACTGGAGAAATCTTCAAAAATGGTTGCTGCCAGAAACCATGAAACAGATTTTTGGTCTCGTCTTTGTTGGTGTTGTTGTCACAAGGAAGTGAGAATGGCAGATGTCCTCCCCTGAGACTTCTAACTTCACTACACCCAACAAACCCAACAAAAAAAAACATCACAGAAACAAGAAGAACCAAAAAGGAATACAAACATGAAGATCATGGCAAAAGGCGAAATAGCATTAATGCGAAAAAAGGAATGAGAGAAAAAAAAAAGAATGTTTGAGACTCGGATACCGGGAGTCGAACCCGGGGCTGTTGAGAGAGCAGTCACTCCTGCGAAGTGAGAGTCAACGATGTTACCGCTACACCATACCCGATTGAGCGGATAAGGTCCGATTATTGTTGAAGGTGCACTGATAGCATCTGGTTATAAGCATGCCTGAAATTCAGCCTTGGCAGCCTCGGACATTTGTACAACCCCCACGACTCTGGTTCCGACAGCCACTCGTCCTGAGAGCCACTTCAACGAGGACAGTCTAAATGATGTTTAGTCTTCTTCTTCTTCCCATAAAAGAAAGATCGTTCTTGATCAATGATTCTCTTTAGGCAAATTCACCAACAAAGTTACCAACCCGACAGCGAGAACACAAAAACCATCAGTACAAACCCAACGAGAACAGTCAACAACCTAACCTTTATGACCCAGCCTCTCTGCTGCTCCCTTTTCGCCTTCTGTTGTGATGTAGTACATATCTAGCGGCCGCCTGCCAAGCTTAAAAAAGTTAACGGTATACACACAGATCACCATCCTGACAACATTTAAAAATATTCACATTTAAAATGATCTGATGCCATCTTTCTTTCACCCTTCGTCCTTCCCGGTGCCGGATCGGAGTGAATGAGTGACTGACTGAGCTTTCTCCCGAAGCCAGGAGAGGAGGAGACCAGAAAAAAGTCCGGTCCAAGGAGAACTTACTCCGTCCCCTGCCCCATACATTTCCATTCCGAATCACAGTCACAGCCCTAGAGGTACACTAGGTAGGCGCACAGGTGCTCAGGCACACAAAACACCACGTTTCCCACTTCCTACGTACCTTTGTACCGCGTAGCCCTTGGGAAGCCCGTTTTCAGGATCTGGTAGAAGTTGTGGTGGGCTTTTCAAGAGATAAAGCTGGCAGATCCCTACCCGATCCCGAAAACGGATTTCTGAAGATTATACGGTAGTACCCGCGGCTGCAACAGACACTGGTTGGAGCCTTTGAAAGAGGACCGTTGGTGCGGTGCGGTGCACGTGGAAACAGGGAACCAAGAAGACTGCCTTGTTCCTTGCCTGGTGCCTGGTGCCTGGTGCCTGGCATTAGCGTGAGTGGTGTTGATGTTGGTGTTGGATGAATGATGTGCTTCTGCTACATATCTAGCTGGGTATCTTGATGTAGGATCATATGTACGGTCTAACAATACTAAGAAGTCACTATGAAGGACTCTGCATTAGTTAAATGAGCAAATGTCAGGTACGATCTGTTTCTTGCTTGACAGCCTACCCTGGCGGGAACCTTGTGAGGTCTTCGTTGTTGGTTGGTTGGCTGGTTGGTTGACAGTGAGCATCCATCCCTTTCTTCCTCGTTGGGTTGGGTGTCAGTGTCAGTCTGTACCTGCGCTAGCGGTGCTTGCTTTTCGTCATCGTTATTTTGTTGGTTCGTACCATAAGTAGCGTATCCATATTGCGTCCAATAACCATCATGAAAGGAGATTGACAGGTGGATATCCGCCCGGGTAACATCGCCGTCAATGCCCACGATGTTGAAGGAAGATGGTGTTTCATAACATGATCTATGAGATCAAGAAATGATTGCTGTGTATGTACGAAAGGGTATCTCGATGCGTTGTATCCAAGAGAAGAAATCCAAAAACCAAACTGTTTCTCCACCCTTCCAACGCAGACGCGCAGAGAGCGTCTGACCTCGAAAGCCTATTTCGCAGTCTGCACACTCTCCACTACCACCCGCTCATCCTGTCTCTCGCAGTCCGTTGCCGAACTCTCCTCAAACCTGTTCTTCTCCTTATCCTCCTCTTCCTCCGACGTATCCTCAGGCTCAGGCCCATCACCCTCATGCCCAACCCTACTCATCCCCTTTAACGCCTCCCTAACGGTTTGCTCCCTCTCCAGAGCCTGCCAAAGTTCCACATCCCACTCCTCCACGTTCCTGCCCTCACCACCCGCTTCATCCCAAGCCCACATGGGCCCTGCTCCCCTCGCGGCTCCTCCTCTCCCAAGTGCGATGAGACCCTTCCATGTTTCCCACTGCATCCATTTCCTCCATCCCAGCCTCCATAGACCGGAGATGATCAAGTTCCGCTTTATTGATTTGTAGCCGAGCTCGACAGAGGTGAGGAGGCCGACGGCGGCGAAAAGAGTGACCCACCAGGCTGGATCGGGCCCGAACGAGGAGAAGAAGCCACCGCGGACTGCGTAGGGCCAGACACCCGGGGCGTAGGCGCCGGCAAGGAAAATTTGCCAGACCCACCAGCCTGCGAAGGTGATGCCGAAGGCGCCGAGGATTATGCCGGTCTTGTGGTGGGTGTCGATTATGCTGTTGTTGGTTAACGGATTAGTCTCGCGTTTCAAAGAAAAGTGTGAAAGGAGGGAGGGGAAAGAACGTACAGCAACTTCAAGTTAATCCAGACAATGGCCACCGTAAAGACCAAATTGCCCACAGCAAACAACCCATTATCCTTCACCGCAATCCCACCGTAGAGTCCCCAACACACCCACCAGACCACCACACCCTGCGCAACAGCCGCCACCATCCAACCCAGATATTTCCGCAGATTCAATCCGCCGTCCCTCTGGCCCCAAACATACAGCTCCGGCACGGCCATCAGAGTCTCCGGGCTCAAATCCTGTTCCCACACTCCCGGGACAATCACGCACAAACTGGTGAAAAGCACGTTCAGCACCGTCAGACTCCATGATTCGTAGAGACTGGTGCCCGTGTATCCGGTGTAGCGCTGGTACAGCTCGGTAGGCAGATAGAAGAACATCTCCTTCCAGAACGTGGCAACGATAAACTTGGCGGTGCGAGCGTAATTCAATCTCCCGTGTACCAACAGGAGACGGGAGAGGAAGCGGAACTGTGCAACGGCATAGTCGGCTACTCGAGCGGCTTGTAGACCTTCTCGGCCCGAGATGCCTACGCCGACGTGGGCGGCTGAGAGCATGGCTAGGTCATTAGCACCGTCGCCTATGGCAAGGGTGAGGGGTGGAGTCCGTTTGGGTGTGGCCAGGTAGGAGAAAAAGCTCTTCTTTTTGGTGGTCGTGGTCATGGATACCGGTTGATGCGAGTGGTTGCGGATGGCGGTGACGAGCAAGGCTTTCTGGGCGGGGGAGGCGCGACAGCAGATCACTGAGTCAATCGTCGGGATGAGGCTGTAGAAGAGTTCTTTGGCGTTCCCGTGTGCTCCCGGCTCATCAAGAGCGGCAAGGGTATGGCCATCAATTACTACCACGGTGTGGTTGGGAATTGCAGTAGGCATGGTTTCAGCCCGGATGTTCATCTCGTCGACGATGTCCATGATTTGACCTTCTAGGTTTCCTTTGACGGCGTCGAGGATGTAAATATCGGAAGTAGGACGGCAAAGTCGAGCCGAGTGGGCGATGTTGATGGCCGTTTCGCGCTTGTCGCCAGTGAGCATCCAAATCTTGATGTTAGCTCGTCGGAGACGCTCGATTGTCTCTGGGACACCCTTCTGAAGTTTGTCTTCAATAGCCGTAGCACCGATGAGATCTAGCGTCTGCTCAACTACTTCACCGGCCGCTTCGATGCGTTCTTGACGATCCACTAGACTCGTTTCTGCATCATGGTATAGCTTCTTCCATGTCTTGTACTCAGACTCGGACAAGAACCGACCGGCGAAAAGAAGCGTGCGAAGTCCCTCGGTTGCGAAATCATCAATGTGTTTGAAGCACCGAGTGAAGATAGCACCTTCGTCGCACACAGAAGGATCGTCAAGGAATGCGAACCTGTCTGGCACTGAGGCCAGTACAGCATCTTCATAAGGCACATCATGGGATGCTGTGCGGACAGTAATATGGGGCCTGAGGCGATCTTCTGGTGCGGATAACGACATTCTACCCACCTCAAACGACTTACTGCGATTGGTGATCGGCCGCTTGCTAGGTCCAGCAATGCTGTTCTGTCTTGCGAGATTGATGCTGCGGCGGATTGTAAGACTTGGCCGACCGCCAAAACTGTTGCGTGGTTCTCGAGCCTCACTTCTGCGTTGCATTTCATGCTCAACCTCCAAGCTCTTGCGCACCTCGTTGGCCTTTTGAATTGCCAGCTGTGCCATTCTGAGCCGTGGAAGGATGACAGAGTCGGCGCCTTTGGTGATCAACCATATCCTTTCATCAGGACACCGCACAATAATGGACATGCGCTTTCGCTTGCTGCTGAACTCAATGACATCGAGGATTTGGTAGGTGCGCTCCACCTCTCTGCCGTCACCGCGCGATATACGGAGCGTGACTGTCTGGGACGACCGTTGAACTACAAGAAACCCAAGCTCTTGAGCAGCTTTGACAAGAGCAAGCTCATCAGGCGAAGCGGCCTGGAACTCAATCTCCCCGTCTCTTATTTCTGGCAAGCAGGTATGGCAAAGGGCGATAGCAAGAATGTACTGAACTGCCCTCCTCGAGAAAGGAGCATTTGGGCGCAACCTTATGTACTCAAGTAGGTCCTCAGTCGTGACCTCTGGTTGGACATGGTCAGGTTGACCAGTCGACCGCCATTGTGAGGATGACCGGCGCGGGTTCGGTGAACGGACTGACACAACGGTCGTTGTCTTTGTTAACGCGTTGTCGTATTCAGGGGTCGGTTCCATCATAATTTTGGTCTCTTTCTCCTTCGTTTTCGTCTGAGTGAGGCCCTGTTCTTCCTGCTCCTTCAGAATGTCCATCTCGTGCAACCAAGTCGTTCCGGCAATGCTCATCTTTCGGAACTTCATGACATTCTCAGTCAAAGTCCCAGTCTTATCCGAAAAGACGTAACCGATCTGCCCCAGATTCTCGAGAATGGTGTTGGTGTTGCACTTGGCCGGCGTATCGGACACCTTGTCATACATCTCCAGGTCGGAATTGAGCATCCACATCTGTCCGAGTTTGACAATCTCCAAGCTAACGTATAGTGCTAACGGGATGATGTTGTTAAACTGAATAAAAAAGCCAATAATGATATCCTCGAACTCCACTCCCAGATGCTTCAAATACCATGCTTTGTGCTCATAGGCATCTCTCCAGATCAAATAGCCCATTGAGCAACCGACGGAGAGAGCGATAACCACTACAACAAGGCTGATTACAATCTTGTTGGAGATCTTTTCCATGGCCGGCTTCTTTGCCTTGGGGTGTCGGTTGGCGTTTCGTCGGAGTTTGCACTCTTCTCCCGTGTTGATGACCAACCCGATGGCACATCTTGTGTTGCGTAGCGTGCAGCCCCTGTACACCACTTCATTCAATGTCAAGGGTAACGTTTCGCCATCGACGGTTACTCTTCCGTCAAACCGATAGAGATCCGGATTGGGATCCTCCACCACTAACTCGGCCTGGCAGTTGGCAATGCCTTGTATGGTGTTGCAACGCTGCAGAGCCTTGGACACTTGCTTGTTCTTGAGATTCGTCTCTCCGTCTAGGGCCATTGTTTCGATGTAGGCCATACCATTTTCGCCGTCGGCGTACAGCAGCACGATATCTGCGGGAACATCCTCGTCGCGGGAGAGCTTGATGACATCGCCGACTTTCAAATCCTTCCATTGGGTGGCGTGCCATTGATATTCAGAGTCTGGGATGACCTCTTCCACCGCCAATGTATCCTTCTCTTTTGCTTTTCGTAACCCAAACCCAGTCCGCCAGTCCTGTCGGCTGTCAACATGGCCTGTTGGTCGGAGGACGGTCGCGCTTCTTGCATTTTCCACCTTATCGAGTCGATGGCGTTTCCAGTCATCGTATCCCTCCTTGACGACGGTAAGAAAAATGAAGAACAATAGGGGAATGATGGTGGTGAAGTTTCCGGTGGTACTGACGCCTGGGATGGTTTGGGGGACACCGACGCAGAGGAAGTAGAAATTGGCTAGGCGCGAGAACTGGAAAAATAGCTGCTTCGGAAGGAAATCGTAAACGGTGTAGCGGGATGTCCGAATCGTGTTTGGTATATATGCGCTCCCTCGCCGTTCGTCGATCAGGGGTTTGTCATGATGGGGTCGTAATGGGACATGTCGGCCGTCCTTTGAAGGTGGCAGTTCCTTTTCTTGGAATATGAGCTCGAGGACGTATTTCCGATATAGCTGTTGTGTCGAGGCCTTGATGGTCCTGGTGACTGTTGTTGCCGAGGTGCCAGTTTTCCGCAAAGGGGCTAGAATGCCGGCTTTACTGAAGGTGTTGATGCCCTTTTCCAACGAAGCACTGTCGACACTGGCGCCTCCCTCCTCGGCCGTGCTCCTGGTTAAGCTCCTCATGATGGTGCTTCTCCAATGGGCCTGGCATTCATGGCGTCGCTTGTCGGGATATGGAAACGGTGGTGATTAGATTGCGCCAGCGCATGTGTTGAATGTCTCTACGCAGTACGTGTAGATGTCACGGTCATCGACTTCGGTGGATTGGCGGGACGATCAGTTCATTACTGGGGCTCAGCTACGGTGTATCATCGGCGGGTTTGGCTGCTATCGTTAATCGTTACGGCGATGGTCGTCAGCTTCCCGGCTTTTTCTGTGGAGCTGCGCGGGCCCAGGGAAGAACCCGAGAAAATCTCTGGAGAGCGGCCCCGGATGGAAGTGCTCAGTCCAAGGGTCTAGTTTAGTAGCGGGCGAGGTCAGACTGAATGCATCGAAAGAAAGCAAGTGCTGGATCGAAACGAGCGACGATTCGGCAAGAAGCGAGCGACTGATAGTTGCGATGGAAGGTAGTGGTTTCTGCCGGAACGGACGGAAATTGAGAATTATGACGAAGGGAAGGAACAGAGGTGGGACGAAGATGACAGCCCAGGCAAGGCGCCAAGATGGACATCGAATCCTGAATCCTGCTTTCGGATCCTTGTCCCTTTCGCGGAAAGCGTGGCTCCAGCGCCCCTCGTCCAGGACAAAAAAGCTGAGACCTTTTACAAAATGGCTAGGTACGGATCGGAAAGGCATTAACAAGATTCAATATGGCATATCAAATTTTCAAAATAACATATGCAAGGTAAGATCACGCTTTGGTTGTGGAACGAAACGGATCAATTAGATATATAAACGCCTAGGAAAGTTGACCAGAGGTCTCGAGCTAACAACCAAACCAGTATTGTACACTACTGTATGCCAAATCTTAACGGGTGATCGGCAAGAACGGTCTCAGCTTTTCTGTCCCGGGCGAGCGCCCCTTCCGTGGTAGTGGATACGGGAAATCTGGGAACGCCAACAGGATGACCCCCGCTCTGCCAGGGGCAATGGTGCCGCTCGGCCCCACATTTCGGAGTTTGTCATTTGTTTCCGTCCCGAGTCCGACTTCCCCGGTCTCAACCTATTCAACCTTTGTGGAATGTGACACTGCATTTACAGATACACGACGGAGACAAATTGCCTTGTTCGCCAACGACCCGCTGGGTTGGGTCTTTGGTCAAACTCTCCCGTCTCGTGAAACCTCAACTGCCGTTTAGGAGGCGCATTGCCGGGAAACTGCGTACCTCCTGAGCCCGTCAAACACTTCACGAAACAACCGTTTACCGACTTCTCCTCCTCCCCCGATCATCCTCCCTCTCAACAACCGCCTCATCTCTCTCCCACAAAAGATACGCCGCTGTCGCAACCGGTCCTCCGAGCACGAACCAACCCAACGCCTTGCCGAATCGCTTTCCACCACCGACTCCAGCAGCCCAATATTGGTACGCAGCCCAAGTGAGCAGCGCAAAGTTACCACTGTGAACATCCCACTGCAAAAAGTGCTTCGCCAACGGTGCTAACCACGCCATCCGGATATGCTCCAAACTCGCCGCATCGATAGATGGCGGATCCCACAGCGCCCTAGGGACAGCCGAACCAATGCTCACCTCCTTCAACATCGCCGAAAGCCACGGGTACGAGGCAGCCAAGTTTGCTGGTAAAGCAGTGGGCGGCGTCAGCGCAATGGCCAGGAAGCCCAACTGAGCCACCACGCAGAGGGTCATGGTAAACTTGTACACTGGGCTTGCGCCGGCCAGTTTCCTCCCAGTAGTAACTCTGTTGCTGTTCCCCTCCGCACCAGCACCGGAAGAACCGAACAAGCTCTTGAGGAAGAACATCAAGTTGGTCTGCAGAATAGGAAACACCTGCCAGGTAGCCATCCAGTTCTGATGCTCAGCTTGCGGGATGACCTGAGGGCTTGGTAATCCCATCATGAATGCCGGAACAAGGAAGGCCAGTGTGATGCACACCGGCAGCAGAGCCATTTCCCCCTCGTCGACGGCCAGCGCGTCGACATCGTTGCTACTTGCTACGGGCGATGTAAACAAGTAGATGATGAAGTAAATCGGGCCAGCGATGGTGTATGACACTAATTGCATGCCCATGCCCCAAAACCCAGTCCTGTAAGAACCGTCAGCCATCACTATCCACGCTTCTTCATTTCTTCCCCTTTTAACACAACTCATCCAAAACCCCATCACCAGCAGTCACCAAACCAGCAAAGGTAAAAACAACTCACCAACCAACCACCCTCCCCTGATTCCCCCTCCTACCCCCTTCCAAACTCACCAACCCCCAAGCACCCGCAAACTGCACCACAGACATCCAGAGCGGCATATCCACCTCCCACGTCCTTCCCCCCTTCATTCCCCCCTTTCCCTTTATCAAGCCCTCCAGCCACGGCCCCTCCCACGTCCCCTCCCCTAGCTCCGGTCCACCAGCATCCAACCAAGCAGCAAAAAACGTCACCAGCGTAACCATAACCTTATCCACCGCCTTCACCCCCGTGAACTCCTGCTTCGGCTCATAACCCACCACGGCCGACGGGTCAGTCTTGATTTTTGTAAGAGCAGCAAAGAACCCATTGCTAAACCCGGTGATCATCCCCCCATAAGCGCCAGTCGAAAAAAAGAGGAGAATCAGAAAAATGGCGATGGATTTGCCGGCGAAGCCTAGGACCCCCGAGGAACGCCGCGTTTGGAGTTGGGCTATGATTGAGGTGCGGCGGGGGCGGGTGTCGGGGGATGGACTTGGTCGGGGGGTTCCTCTTCCGCCGTGGGTGCTGCCCCAGGTGCTTGTTGGGGCTAGGCCGGCTGAGGGGGGAGGGGATGGGGATGGGGATTTGTTTTTCTTGATCCCCATTTTTGAATGATGTGAAATAGAAGGGAAATGTCTGAAAGGTAAAGAGAAGAGTTGAAGAGAGAAGTTCGAGTATGATGCTGTTGTATATGTAGAGCCCAACTAAGTTCCGAGGTCAGTCCAACCTCTAGAACTAGCTTGGCAAGGTGTTGGTCAGTCGGAGACCCACTTTGTTTTGGGCCCTTGTTCTAGGACCGACCACGTCTTGAATAGTATCCATCATCATCAAGTTTACATCAATTATTTGAAATGATTGGCCCAAATAATTCGTTGCGAATGATCAATGAAGTAACAATGATGCCAGATAGATGCCTTTGGTTTTCCATGGCCAAAGAGCCCAATGTCATTGTCTCAAACTTATCAGGTTGAAGTTTGAACTGCACAGGCAAGGGTTAGGGCTCATCATTGAAGTTAACGAGAATCATCCAAATGACCAAGAAAAACATCGCAGTTTAGAAAGTTCATTGAAGAACTTCATGTTGTTAATCGCTAGTTGGTATTATGTTAATCAATCGCTGTTCCCAAGACTTCCCCCTTCATGACCAAATCGCTGATCCGGAGTAAAACATCCGAAAACAAATACAAGGTGTACAGTCCAATACTGGTTTGTTTGTTAACTCGAGACCTCAGGTCAACTTCCCTAGGCCTTTTTACATTCAATTGATTCGTTTCGTTCCATGATCAAAGCGTTATCTCACCTTGAATATGCTATTTCCGAAGTTCAATATGCTATATTGAATTTTATTAATGCCTTTTCGATCCGTACTTAGACATTCAATTAGTCCTTATGAGGTTTGGGACATCTCAGGATAGATCTCGTCTAATATACTAGGAGTACCAAGCTAACAAACAAACCAGCATTGAACTGTATGCAACACAAACCAACCAAGGCACCAAAGTGCGCCGCCCGTCATTGTCATGACTACTTCTTCTTCGACTTTTCGTTACCCTCATTCTTTGACTGGCCGTTTTTCCTCATCGACCAGCACGATCTTCTTGCCCTCCGGATCCAACGTAAACTTCTTCGTCACCACCACCTCATGTCTCTCCATGAACCTTCCTCCCATGTAACCCGGTTCCTCCCTCTTCATCAACCGTCTCAACATATCCATCGTATTTTGCGGGAACGGTTCTCCAGGCAACTGATGTACGATTCTAAAGACAGAATTGTCTGATTCCTCCTTTGCCCCTCTGCGCTTCAGGTGCGCAATAACACTGACGATTCTCTGAATCCTTTTGACGAAGGGTAGTAGTTGGGGGTGCATATCTGGTGGGAATGGCGGCGGAGCCTCGGAGCCGGGGGGTATGGGCGCCTCGGTAGCAAGAGTCTCGGCTTCGATGTTGTATAACCGGACTGTGTGCACAAGCGCCTCCACGCAGATGTGGAAGGGCGTCAGGTCGAGACAGCCACGGAGGATGCCATGGTTGGGGTCCGCTCCGTGGGTGAGCAAGATGTGCATCGTCTCCCAGTGTCCGTTCATGGCGGCGTCGGTTAGGTAACTGAAGGACGGCTTTACGGGCATGAAGCCCCTTTGGACTTGGAAATGAGGATGCCTTGCAAGGGGGTGACGTTTGAGAATTGCTTTTACGACATCGGTGTGTCCCTCGTGACAGGCCTAAGTAAGTGTACAGGAGGTTAGTGGCCGGGACGGTTAGGACTACCTGCAAATATACGCAACTTACGGTTTCAAGGGCAGAGAATCCAAAAAGATGTGGCGTGTAACGGTTCCGAGCACCCTTTTTGGGAAGAGATGGATCCATTGAGTGTTGATTGCTGGTATCGGTATCGGCAAACCCTAAAGGTGCACCCTGAAGCTTAATAAGCTCACGGACGACAAATTGGGCGATCCTGGTTCCGGGAGGCGGGCGAAGAAAGTCATCTGGGACTGCGAATTGCTCTTGCAATGATCTGGTGGTCTCTGAAGGACACCGGAATGACTCGTGTGGATCGGCCGATGTACAATCCATCAGAGCTTCGACCAGTTTTTTGTAACCACCCGCTGCAGCCTCCGCCAAGGGCGTTAGAAGACACCCATTGACAGCGTTCGCGGAACAACCTCTGGTGATAAGGAGGCCTGCGGATCCCCAGTCGCCGTTGCTACAAGCGAGATGAAGTAGCGTCGGTTTGGTGCTGAGACAGTGAAGTCTTCCAGTGACGTCGATATCGTTGTCAGCGAGCAATTGAGAGACCAAAGGCAACGCTGATTTTTTACTATGAGTCAAGGCCAAGGCCAGCATCGCTTCTCGAGTGAAGACGCCGCTGGATGTCCTAACCACGCTTGGGAAATAGTCCCGCAGTCGAAGTTCTATATTCCTTCCTCCGAGGTAGAACAGACACGACATGTTCTCCGGGTGGCTTGTTTTGATGAGCTGCTTGACAATCGAGCAGAGCCTGGAATCATCAAAGGCATAACCAACGTCGGAACCAAAGATACCTAGGAGTAAGCACATTTTTCGGTGTCCTGGCTTCTTGGAGTCCCCATTCTTATCGAGACGAAGGGCTACCTCGGCCGCGTATTGCCAACAGCCACGCGATATATTTGCTTCAGTACTGTTTTCGAGAATTGTCGACATGGCCAAGTAATCTGAAGGGTTGTTACGCTCGAGAACTCGCCTCAACAAACCGATCAAGTGAGTTCGTTCATATTGATGGGGAGATCGAGGTGATAATCTTCCCACACGTGTACCGTAGCGTAGTAGCAATATAATGATCTGCTCGATTTCTGGCACCGCAATCATGCCACTGATCACCTCCAGGGCGGTGATTTGACCGATTCGACTGGGAAGGTTTGGGTCCGCCCCGGCTTCCAGAAGCGCCTATGAACCAAGTTAATACATGCTCATTAGGAAGCGGAGCACTGAGATGTAATGGTGATGTAAACCTACTTCAACGGCCCCAAATCCACCGCGCAGCGCGGCCTTGCACAACGGTGTCATTCCAAACGCATCTGGCTTGTCAACAACAGCGCCTCCCTCCGAGAGAAGTATTCGAATCTCGGCCACGAGCCCTCTATCGGCTGCTCTTGCCAAAGCGGTGTCACCAGCTAGACTCACAGGTTCGTTAACCTTGCCATTGTGCTGGATGAATACTCTGATGAAGTTCTGCCGTTCGATTTCCCAGCGTGCCTTGCCGCCTGGCCGCCACACAACGCCCGCCTGCTTAGCTTGTTTATACTTGGCTCCCAAGGCAGTGTACACGTATGGGGCGTTTGTTTGTCGGTGTTCGGGCAATACGCCTTCTTGGAGATGTTGCTGACGTTCCTGCTCTGTCGGGTCTCGACGTTGAAGGTTTGCTCCAAATTGCACGAATTCGGTAGCTACCGTAAAATTACCCAATGCGCACGCCATCAGAAGGGGCGACATGGCCATACTACCCCATGGAGTATCTAGTGGAACCCCAAGGTCCATCAGACAGAGACATATTTCGCGAACATATTCACGACGCGGACACAGCGCGAGGTAGTGCATCGCAGTGTGGAGACGAGCATCGGTTGCCCTGGGGTCTGGCGGACGACCTACGTCTGCCTCATGCCCGGGGGTTAACAGAGGACCGTGGTTCAGCTCACGGTATCGTTTCGCGAGACGCTGTACGACCTTTAGACAGCCGTTCGCAGTGGCACTTTGGAGTGCAGTAATACGAGGACCACCGTCACACAACACCAAGGGCGCACCCCGGTCGATAAGGAGCAGAGCGACCTCTTCATTCTTACTGTTTTGGAGCATTGTTCAGAACGGGCAAAACGAGGAGCATGCCAAACCGCAAGGGCTCGAGACTTACCTGCATATTGCGTAGTGAAGAGGATACCATGCCGGGACATTGGGAAAATCGTGGCCCTCGAAGCCCTCGAAGATGCTTTGCAAGCCAATGCAGTTGCAGAACCGGTACGACGATATGTCCTGCTCTGCCCCAACGTCCAAGAGATACGTGACAAGATCAAGATGACCATGGTAAGATGCGCGAGCAAGCGGAGTAGCAAAGACCGGCCGGCGGAGATCTTGAAAAATGGGCCTGTTGACGAGTCTGTGATTTTCTATCTCCTCGTGGCAATGTGACAGCGCGGTTTTCATAACCAAACAGCTGCCATTATCGGCGGCCCAGCGCACAGCCTCGTACTTGCCGGTGATATTGTATAGTTTGTCAGTCAAGACATCGTGACAAGATCTGGAGACACGGATCAGAGAGGCCAAGTCTCTGAAATCGAGACGTTCTCCAATGTCCAGGAGAAGTTCGGCCGGCAAGGTGTCGAGGTTGAGCGCGGCCATGTTGTTGACCACTGGGGCGGCGGCCAGAGTCTAAGTGAGCAGCGAAGGGAGCCGTTTGAATAGCCTCAATAGGTTGTGTATCCCAGGGCCCACCGGCGTTCAGCAACCACAGTTAGTGGAAGCTGGAAGTCGAAGGTAGGGCCACTTGGTCCAATACTGTGTTGCGGGTTGTACTCTGGAATCCAGGCGTCAGAAATGGATCAAGCCGTAAAACAGCCGAGGAAAAGAATAGACTTCGATAATGGAGTGGGACATTAAATGATAGTGATAGACGGGGATAATATTCGTTGACAATGATGTTGAGTGGATGTATTGTTTGGTTTGTGGTGAACCCGTTTGGGTGCAATTGTATCTCCAGGCCTACTATCCCTAACCCTTATGCTTGTCTCATTCGTCACGTGTGGGGAGCTTTACGTAATCAAGAGCTCCAGCTTGGCGGGCAGCTTCATTGCTGCTGGCGCTAACAAGCGAATGAAGAACACCTGTTTGGCTGTGCTGATTGGGCTAACAGCTAACACCCTGAAACATATGGATATGCCCCGCTAGCCTGTTAGTAGTTACAGGTGCCCCATGCTATGTGCCTCTGGAGCTCCTGTCCAAGGTACAACCTGAATCCAGGACAGGTCAGCTACCTTACGGCTGCGGCTTGGTACAACTCTCCTCGAGCGTCGTCATTCCGCGCCTCTGAACAACATCCCGACATTTACTACAACTTGCTGCGCCATCACCGTTCCTGTCACCAGCACAAGACCAATGCCCGCATGGTCCCGCGCTTTCTAGCCACCTCGAACACGACAACCGTTGACTCAAAACACGACGTCAAAGATATACGCCAACACGCATCGTAGAGAGCTACAATCAGCAAACAAGCGACATGTCGACCCCCGCGCCGCCTGAGGACCAGGCCCGCCTCCTCGAAGATGCCTTGATTGCCGTGCGCCAGCAAAGCACCCTCATGCGCAAATGTCTCGACACCCCCGGCAAGCTCATGGATGCTCTCAAGTGCTGGTATGTCCCCGAAGGAGCGTGTCACGATATGGCCCGATATGCGCTGGTGCTGACCGTCGACCACCCTCGACAACTTATAGCTCCACCCTTGTCTCGGAGCTTCGAACCAGCAGTCTGGGCCCCAAACAGTACTACGAGCTGTACATGGCTGTCTTCGATGCTCTCCGATACCTCTCCGTCCACTTGCGCGAGAACCACCCCGTTAATCACCTCGCCGACCTCTACGAACTCGTCCAGTATGCCGGCAACATCATACCCCGCCTTTATCTCATGATCACGGTCGGCACCGCCTACATGTCCATCGAGGGCGCCCCCGTCAAGGAGCTAATGAAGGACATGATGGACATGAGCCGCGGTGTCCAGCATCCCGTTCGCGGTTTGTTTCTGCGTTACTACCTCTCCGGACAGGCACGCGACTACCTCCCGACTGGCGACTCCGAGGGCCCGGAAGGCAACCTGCAAGACTCGATCAACTTCATCCTGACCAACTTCGTGGAAATGAACAAGCTCTGGGTCCGGCTACAACATCAAGGACACTCGAGAGAGAGAGACCAGCGGACGCAGGAGAGGAAAGAGCTGCAATTGCTCGTGGGAAACAACATTGTCCGTCTAAGCCAGCTGGTGGATCTGCCGACATACAAAAATGGCATTCTGGCTCCCCTGCTGGAGCAGGTTGTGCAGTGTCGGGATGTACTGGCGCAGGAATATCTGCTTGAGGTCATCACTCAGGTATTCCCTGACGAGTTCCATCTTCACACCCTTGATCAGTTCCTCGCCGCTGTGTCCAGGTTAAATCCCCACGTCAATGTAAAGGGAATCGTCATTGGCCTGATGGACAGACTATCAGACTACGCCGAACGAGAGGCGCAGAATGAAGAAGACGAAGATAGGGGCAAGTTGGAGGAAGAGGCGCTCACGCAACTGCTCGAAAGGGTGAAACTCGCGAAATCGGCTGCGGAAACCGAAGAAACGAGCGCGCCGACTCCCGAAGCCCCTGAAAATGGGGACCATGCAGAAGCTGAGGTGGGCTCGACCGATGAAACTTTGAACGCCGAACCTTCAGTAGCAGAGACCGAGGCTACCGTGACCAATGGAGATGAACCCGAACCAACCAAGAAGCATAGGGGCATTCCCGAGAACGTGCCTCTATACGAAATCTTTTTCGGACAGGTCAAGAACCTCGTGCAAGCGCAACATCTTCCGATCCAGGACACGATCGCGCTGTGTGTATCCCTCACGAACCTAGCACTCAATATCTATCCCGAAAGGCTAGACTATGTCGACCAGATCCTCGACTACGCCCACTTAAAGGTAAAAGAACACGCCAACAGTGCCGATCTGCATTCGCCACCAGCGCAGCAGAGTATTCTGGCCTTGCTTCAGGCACCCCTCAAGCGCTATGTGTCCATATTTACGGCACTCGCCCTGCCTACATACGTTCCTCTGTTCCAGTCACAAACGTACCCTACACGGAGGGCCGTCGCTGGTGAAGTGGCCAGACACTTAATCAAGAACCAAACCCACATCACTACCACGGCCAACCTCGAGAATGTCCTGGAGGTGCTCAAGGTGCTCATCAAAGAAGGATCGCAAGCGCCGTCTGGCTACCCCGGTGTCGTTCAGCAGCGCGGCCGTGCCTTGGAGACAGACGAGACTTTGGAGGAACAGGGCTGGCTGGCCCGCCTTGTCCACCTCCTCCAGTCCGAGGATAACGACACCCAATTCCGCCTCCTGCAGATGACAAGGAAGGCCTACGCCGAGGGCAACGAGCGGATCCGGACCACAACGCCACCGCTCATTACCGCCGGCCTCAAGCTCGCCCGACGCTACAAGGCTCGCGAACACTACGACGACAACTGGCAGTCGCAGTGCTCCGCGCTCTTCAAGTTCCTCCACTCGGCCATCTCGACCCTTTACACGCGCGTCAACGGCGCCGGTGCCGCCGAGCTGTCGCTGCGCCTCTTTTGCTCCTGCGGCCAGATGGCCGACAAGACCGAGTTCGAGGAGGTGGCCTACGAGTTCTTTGCGCAGGCGTTCACGGTATACGAGGAGGCCATCAGTGACTCCAAGGCGCAGTTCCAGGCTGTCTGCGCGATCGCCAGTGCCCTGCACCGCACACGCAACTTTGGAAAGGAGAACTACGACACGCTCATCACCAAGTGCGCGCAGCACGCCAGCAAGCTGCTGAGGAAGCCGGATCAGTGCCGGGCTGTCTACCTGGCTAGTCATCTGTGGTGGGCGACTCCGATTGCTAGTAACGGGGAGACTGAGGAGACCGAGGTTAGTCAAGCACTTTTTTCCCCTCTCACGGTTTTGCAATGTTTCACACAGGCTCTAAAATGTTATACGATAGCTTTACCGTGATGGTAAGCGTGTTCTCGAATGCCTTCAGCGCGCTCTCCGTGTTGCCGATTCTTGCATGGAGACTGCCACCTCGATCGAGTTGTTCGTCGAGATCCTGGACAGATACGTCTACTACTTTGATCAGAAGAATGAATCGGTAAGTCACCAGCCCCCTTCCAACCCCGTTCGCTTTTGTTATCATGTCGTCTAACTTTTTTTTTTTTTTGCTTGTAGGTTACCACCAAGTACCTCAACGGCCTGATCGAGCTTATACACTCCAACCTAGCCGGTAACCAGCAAGACTCGGCCTCGGTCGAGACCAGCCGGAAGCACTTCATGCAGACTTTGGAGATCATCAGGAGCAAGGAGTACGAAGGCATCGTGCTTACTCCCAAGTAAAGCAGCAGCAGCAGATCTTTCAGGTGTTGTGTTGTAACAAAAAGCTAACGGCGGACGGAACGAGATGTGACGAGATGAGACCAGATGAGACCAGATGAGCGATGATGATGCAGTTACAAGACGATGGAACAGGACAGGACAGGAAACCAAACACTCCCATGATACGATAGCCATAACCAACCACCGTACTTAGATATGTAATGACAGACAGCAAGGCGTTGAGAGCGCAGTTCAGTGAAGACGCTTGGGGATTGAATAAGCTCCGTGAATGTTGATGACCAACCCGGCGTTGCTAAAATGCTTCTTGCATCGTGTATTTCTGCGTGTCTACAGTGCTGGTAGATCATAGCCACACAAATAGGCCGAATAGAAAAACCAAACAACTAGAGAAGCAACCCGACAACTGCGCCATGCATGCAAAACATCGAAGGTATGTACAGGACACAAAGGAGATAGATCGCTTGGGAGAATACATGAAAGACCACCACACTATTCTAGCACCCCATTCAATTTCTCTCGATAAGTTCTCTTGACCAAACGAACCACCTCTCCATTGTGACCAGATATGGGACAAATACACTTAGAAGGGATGAATAGATATATACGCAGCCACAACGGTGCTTCTATATGTTAAAATATGTACCCAAAACAAAGACAAAGTGACAAAAACAAGAAACGCTTCAGGACAAAGTAGATAATGGAACACAGACAACCCCCCACCCGCAGTAAGTGAGTGTCTTTTCTTCTCTTCTCTTTCTCTTCCTCTTCTGACTATACTCCAAGAGTCCCCTCGGCCAAGTTCGCCGCCGCCCGTTTGATAATGTCGGCAACCTTGGCGATGGTGCGGTTGGCCAGACCCCAGTCTCCCGAGTCGACGGTGTCGCGGATCGAAGGGAAGTAGGCCTCGTCGTAGCCGGACCAGAGTTGGGGGCCGAATAGAACGTGTTTGAATTGGGTGCGGTTTGGGATCTGGGTGTGTTTGGACGAGTTAGCACCTTGAAAATCTTGGGAGGGAATGGGTGAATGATAGGAGAGCAAAGTAGGATGGAGTAGAACAAGGGGAACGATCAAGGGAGAAAGGAGAGGGAAAACTTACACCCTGAGGATCCAACAGATCCGTCTCAAACCACGCCATCTTCGAATTGAACTCGCACCTCCTCCTGCCCCACCCGGAAGGCTCCCACCCACCGGTTGCAATCACACTCGACTGCCACTCATGCTCCCACGCCACAAACCGACGCACGGCATCCATGACCTCATTGCTGGCCTTTATCATGCTGTCGAGCGACGCCGCAAGTTCCTTGGGCATGGCATCCTTCTTTGCGTTCTTGGCCTGATCCTCAACCCACCTGACGATCTCCCCAGTCCAGTCGCGAATCTTCTCGGCATAGTGCGGCATGTCAAACGGCAAGACGGGACGATCGACCAGCTCGTACAGGAGAAGAGCGACGACCTGTCCCAGCATCGTGTGGTGAACAAAGTCCGGGTCGCCAACCTGCTCCATCCACTCGAACGTGTCGTAGCTGGAGTGGTAGGGGTGGCCCTTGCCGTCGAAGTGCAGGTCAATGGAGGACGTGCCGACAATGTCCTGGAAGGCAACATAGTCCGAGCCCGCGCCGAGGCCCTCGAGGTCATTGGCGTTTCTGCGCTCCCAGAGCTCTTTCAGCGTGGCGTTCTCATAGGGATCCCTGACTATTTCGAGAATTTGCATCAGGAGACCCTTGAACACGGGCGAGCCGGCTACGTGCAGGGTGTTGCCCGTTACTGCGGTGTCGAGGTTGATGTACGCAAGCGCGTCTTTGCGTAACATATCGTCGTTCTGCTCAACGAATTCGGTCGAGCCGATGAGGTTGTACTCCTCTGCGTCCCATGACATAAACTGGATAGTCCTGAGCGGGCGCCAGCCCATTTTTAACAACTCGCCAAAGACGCGGGCCAGCTCGAGCATGATGGCGGTGCCCGAATGGGGATCAGCGGCGCCCAAAGTCCATGCGTCACGATGGTTACCGATGATGACCTTCTTCTCTTCCTGCTCGATACCCAGAATGCTTCCATAAACGTTCCAGATGGCCTGCTTCTCGTTTTCGTCTTGGTCGTTCATGAGCCGGACAATGGGCGAGCTCTCGTGGTCGCCTGTCCACCACTCGTCAACATCAGGAACACCGCCCACCCAGTCTTCCGGCACACGGTGGCCCTTGCCCTTGAGATGCTGCAAAAGCACCTTGGCGTCACGCCAGGCAAGGGGGAGAGAGGGGATCTTGACCAGTCCCTTCGTCTGTTCCTTCTTCATTCTTGGCATTTTTTCCTTGCTGCCCCAGCCCGGGGTTAACACGTCGCCGACGACCCACGACATGAGACTGACGCTGCCACGTTGGACTCCATCGGCGGGCATGAAAGGCCCCTTCGGGGCAGTGTCGCCCTTCTTGAAGCCGTCATCGAGTGGGTCCGAATAGATGAGACAACCTGCGAAACCTGCGAGCTCAGCAGCCTTGACCTTCAGAGCGCGATCCGCGTGGGGGCCGTAGTAGCGAACAAGCGCGATGGCGCCGGTGGTCTGGATCCCAAGGTCCTTGATACGCTGGAAATCCTCGCGCGAGCCGTAGTTGGCGTAGATGAGCCGGCCACGAACCTCACCCGTTTTCGAGTGACCGTGAAAAGCCCACGTCTGGTGTCCGGCCAAGCCCGTTGCCCGGTCATTCTCCTCCAGCTTCGCAGACCATATAGCCTTGCCTTTTCCGTTGTTCGCCTTGTCGTCCATGATTTCCACCGCACGCCCGTCGGCTTTGGGGTAATTGAGATATACGTGATAAGTGTCACGCGAAACGTCCTCGAGGCCGTATTTACGGAAGAGCAACTCAATATCCTCCATCAGGGCGTAGTCGCCTTCGGTACCAGCTAGGTGAGAGTACGAGGTAAAATGCTGGAGATTGTCCTTGATCTGATTGGAACTGATGTTGGATTCCAAATATTCCCGGATATCGTTGGGATTGAACATTCCCGAGCCGAGACGGCGCGACATGTTCCCGAACACATCGGAGACAAATATCAAGTAAACAAAGCCGAGAAGGAGAAACAGGGCGAGGAGGCGCGCAACCATCAGGAAAAGGGCGGTGCTGCCGAATGTTGGGAAGGCGAATCGACTTCCAGCGCTTGGTTGTTCTTCGTTATTACTGTTATTCGTGTCATCGTTGGCGGCTGGCGTCGTGGCGGATTCCAGACTGGCGTTCGCATCGTGTCTCCTGAATCGGGGTAGTGATATTTGTGGTAACCTCCACCCCCACTTCCATCGTGGTAGTGAGAACCTCCCTATGCGCTTGCCCCATATACTTTGCGAACGGTGGCTGGAGTCGTCTATTTCCATCTCTTGCATCTCGCGTCGGACGTGATCCGCCTCGGAATCGCTATCGTCGTCGGATGAGCCCCACGGCTCTCCTTCGTCGTCTGTCTCGACCGTGGGTGGCCGGTAGCCTTGCGGTGGACGGGTTCGGTCATTGTTACTCGATGATGATGCCGTTCCGCCGAGCAGGGAGTGGCCTTCTGTATGGTCTGTGGCGTCGAGAGGGGAGTGTGGGGCTTCGAAGACGGTATGGCTGCCGGCGCCGGAAGCGATGGCCTCGTCGTATGTAGGTATGGGGGGTGCGGGCTCGTAGCGGAACTGGCTCTTGTCCGGCGCCATTATGAAGGCCGGCGAAGGATCGCGATGGGGTTGAGGGCGGCGGTGGTTCGCATGCGACCCGGTCGGTTCGGAATCTGAGGATAGCGGAATGGGAGTCTAGACGGGGAGTTTCGATGGCCCAAGTCTGGGGAAGGGGGGGAACGAGGGGCCGAGAGGTGGATCTGATCGAAATTAGATTGCCGGAGACTTGGAAAGGGGTTCCAGAATGAGTGTGGGCGTAGGGTAGATCACCCCGTCTTCGTTGAAGGGTGGTGGGCAAAGGAGTGTGATGTAGACACAGAAGTCTAGGTCGAGGTGCCCCGGGATGGCGATAGTGCCCGGTGTCCTGTTCCGGCAAGACACAAGAACGATGTCGCTTGTGGTAGGTCAACTAACGTCCGAGTCCAGCTGTATCGGAGATCGAGCGAGACGAAGCTGTTGAGGGTGGTAAAGTTGTATAATACCGAGTCCCAAGTGACGACTAGGGGAACGGAACGATAGATAGATACGATACAAATGAAGCCGGCAAGGTTGGGTAAATTGCATGCGGGTATCGATGTTGCTGTGACTATCTAGGTGGCTGCCCCTGTGGACACCTGCCTGGCTCGGGTCTCTGTTGCGCAATGTTGGGACCACACAATGGCTGATTGCAGCGGCCTCACAGGGGGTGCTTGGCTCCTTGATTCTCTTGGCGGCGTGGCCCCTGTGCAACACCGCTGTCTCCAGTCCTCCCACGCCGACCAGGCCGAGCAAAGGTCGTTCATCTTGTGCTTAGTCATTTACATGCACCGCCACATGTGGCACAATCACTCCAAATTTGGCTGAACCCCTGAGGCGCATGATCGGCAGCCTTAGTCAGGATACCCTTGCCTGGCATGCATATGTCGGCTTGAGCCTCATCAACGTCAATCCATGAGCAGTCCACTTATGACAAGCAGCATCAATCCACTTTTGACTTCAATCAATCTTCTACGTTCTAAAGCATGGCAGTACCGGTCAGACACTCAACGCCAATATACTCAAAGCACTAAATATTGGGAATTTTGGCACAAGGGTGCTTTGAACACTGTTTGAACTAGCCAAATACTGACCCTCTTTCGGAATCCCTCCAACAGAAGAAAAACTGCTGTTCCGAGATTCGGCCATTCACACAAACACGCGAGCCGGGCGCATGGCCGATAGTGGACGTCAGCTTCCAGTTGACCTTGATGGAGGAAAATCATCTCTTTGTTGCCCTCTGGGACGACAATTGGAGGGGAAATTGTCTCTTTTCTTCTCACAGTCGTACCTTACGAAGGCCCTATAAGATACTCGTGGCACCACTACCTAGTCAGCAGTCATAGAGATATTGCATCCATCACGAGCATGATAACCGGATATACTCATACGAACCAGATACGCTCAACCTCTGCCCAATTCTGGACCTAGGGGAGAGTAGCAAAATCTAGCGCAGGATTGCAAGACATGCCGGCAATCGCACCAATATCTGCCGCCCAAGCGTCCCACGCATCCGTGCAGCCACGTTGACAAGCGAGTGATCAGTTGGTTTGGCATAGCGTTATAACGGTTTGGATTCTGGTTCGAATGAGCACAGGCGATACTTCGGTCCCCCTTGATATGATATCTTTTTTTCTTTACCCATGCGTGAAGGTGCCAGCCGTTCTCCTAGTACGTTAAAGGCGCTCAATATCCTGTGCTCTACAGCCATGGCCGTCTAGCTAATGCGTCCTCCCTGAGTGACAAGGCCTCCAGGTAAATACATATCCACAAAGCTTATGTCCGTTACACGTTTGTGGCTTGCGTTGTCGCGTGGTGAATTATCTACGACGAGCCTTTCAGTTGAAGGAGTTTCCACTCTGATTTTCTTTTGTCTTTCTGTCAGGTTTGCCGCAATTCATCCCATCTGAGAAAATGTTCAAGCCACATGAGTGTCAGTGAAGGAACCTCGGGCGTCACAGTCACTCCCAACAGCTCTTGCTTTAGGACCTTCAAGAGCTCCCGCCAAGCTCTGCCTCTCCTTTTTTTTTTCCCCCGAGCACGCACAAACTTCCAAACAAGATCTTTCCCCGCGCCACCAACGTCGCGAGTGACACACCACAGTATTCAGTCGAGTACTTGCACGCGACTCTTGCTTTCGCGATTTAGATCTACCCTCAACCACTCCTCATCCTCAACATCGCCAGCGCTTACCAGCCAGCGCGTCTTTTCTGGTCTTTTCACGATCAGATTCCCGGTCGACTCATTTGCCCTGCAGCCCAAGCCAACTTCGTAAGTCCCATTGATCCAACAACCTCTCCATTTCTAAAACGACCTTTCGAGCCCGGTTTATCGACAAGACTTGGCTTTCCCTTGTCACCGGGCACGCAGCTGAGCCGACAAAGATTGTTTCCTCCCTCTTCCTTCATTGCTACCTTTCACTTGACCCCGCGCAACTTACCTCTTTATTTGCCCATACGCTAGGGGCATTTTCAGTCCTCACTTTTCTCAAATGGAGGTGCTAACAGTCTCACTCACAGAAATATGCCCGGTCCAATTCGTGGTACCGGTAGCAACGGAAATGGCGGCAGCAACCGTCATCAACCCTACTATTTCGGTCCTTCGAGCATCACGCTGCCTCTACGTCCTCGCCGTAATGAAACTCCCCCCGTTGCCCGCTCCGCCCCTCCTGCCCCGCCCAAGCCCGCCGCAAAGCGTTTCAGCAAACTCAAGGATTTTATGCCGAAGGCCGGTATGAAGTTCAAGGCCAGACCCACTGTTACCGCGCGAATGAGGCGTGACAAGGCAATTTGGCTCGCCATGATGGATATCGTGCCCTTTTTCAAGGCCAGACATTTGCAAGCGTCCTTGACAGAAATCATGGACATTGCCACCGAGACGGTCATCAGAAGAAAGCCTCCTGTCGATTTTGTGGAGTGCCTTAGCGAGGGAGATGGGCTCATCACTGTCGAGGCCACGTTGCAGACGCTCCGGATTGTTCGGGAGAATCATCCTCTCTCCAGAAGATTGAGCCCGGCTACGTTCGCGGAGTTGTTCATCGAGATTGTGAAGGCCCGCGACGCCTACTTCGCGCATCACAGAGAGCGCGGAACCAACCCGCAGACAGTCGATGCTCATTCAAAATTGGCGCAGGCGGTGGACAGATTCCTTGCGGTGGCGTGGTTCTGGGACGGAATGGAAATTTTTGTCAAGATGGAATCTGAGCATATGGAACTTGAAGCCAGGGCCATCGACAACGAAGATACCACAGAGGAGCAAGAAGTGCTCCACCCAGACGATGAGGGCACCGTCGCTGCCGGTACTGCCACAGTTTCTTCGCTGGTCGCAGGCTTCAATGGCTGTAGTGTGTGGACTTTGAGTACCGAAAAGTACGAAGACGACGTGGATCCTATCACTGACGAGGAGGAAGATGAAGTGATGGGCGGTACACAGGTCTCTTGAGTCAAACGATCATGTTCTTGAAAGCTCAGTGCGAGAAGGAAACTGCGCGTGGGCAATTGAGATTGGAGACATGCGATGTATTGGGGCGACAGATGCATTGGTCTTTCGGCAGGAAAGCAGTTTGTAACGCGTGGAAGCTGTATCCCACCATTTGCAGAATATTAGCTAGGTCTGGCACGCCTTTTGTGACAGTCGGAAGGTGCATCCCACTGAAGTTTTCCCCAAAGCAGTATTTAGACCTGGTTTGGCAACCCATTCCTCTTCTCTTCTCCAAGCCATCAATCAAGCACTTTCCCATATCCATTGTTCACTTCGTCTCTCTTTTCCTCTTTTCCTACTCATGCCGCAATCAACCATTTTTCCTGTCATCAAGAATCAATCGTTACAAGTTGCTCTCTCCCTGTCGCCTGCCCTGAATCTTTGAACCAATGCCGATGGGTTCTAATAATGCAAAACGGACGTAACGCGCTACCTTCTGTCTCTTGAATAGAGTCTAATGTATATTTTTTGAAAGTGATTTAGACGACTCATAGCACCCAGTATATGTCTCCTTACTGGATTCGTCTTCCTAATAAAGTGTTCCGTCAATGGACTTCTCAGCTTCCATCGAAGTACCAGGCGTCCAATCGATAAAGTGACGCGATCCCTCATGGTTGATCAGTAAGTACACACCATATCTCCAAGTTCCGCGATTCATTTTCTTCTCAGATCGCTAACCTACTATGTCCCAGAGACCGAATAAGACAAATGCTCTTCCTGCACAACATCGTCCCCAAGAACGGCCTTCGCTGGAAGTATTATGCCAACCATGGCATCATTCACCGGGACCGCCGGAACGAGGTCGTCTTCACAACTCTCCACGCCCTCGTGGACGACGTTCTGCCTGGTATCAGGCTAAACTCCCGCCTGGCCAAGGACCAGGTCGAGCGGCACCTTGTCGAGGTCGTGGACGCCGCCACTCGCTTCGTTAGCGAGACCCCTGCGATGATGGATCCCATGGATCCCATGGCAGGCCTCGGCTTGACGGGAGTCCATAACGAGGACTTCAACCTTCTGGAGGAAGAAGTATCCTTCCTCGAACGGGCCAGAGAGGCCACCAGGCCGGGGCAGGAGCTTACCAACCACGTCTTTCAAGCCTTCCACTTGTTCTTAGCGATTATTGAGGCGCGCAAGCACTTTCTTGAATTCGCGGCCGAGAATGAGAGTACGGACATGGTCCGCCATGTCCGATTCGGAAATTGGGTCCGACTCACACCAGGACGTACCTGTTGCTAGGCACGAGTTGCCGATGTGGCAAGTCCATGTTAGACTGGACATAGGCACGACCCTGGGATGGCATGTATATAAGCAAAGACTCGGGACGAGTATGTTCCTCTCCGAAGATCAACATCAACGAGAACTGTATCATTGTTCTCAGACTTGTTTTTCTTGGCCTCTTTGCCGTGACTGTCATCGCCTTACAGAGAATTTGGGCCCACAGGACCCTGCCCGGTACTCGCTGCTCGCCTAAGCGGCCGACCGGCTCATAGTAGTTGAATTGTTTTCAGTTTACATGATGGTACAAACAGGCGGCATGCTTTCACGAGAGCGAAAGAGAGAAAATGAAGAAATTAGTGCCTGCGAGAGAGGAGAAAGAATACATGAGCGATCAGCTCACCAACAACATTATCCACGTCGGAAGACAATCAAAAATGTCAAGCTAGAGAAGCAAAATAGAAAGAAACGGAAAAGAACAAAAAAAAAGAATTAACAGGCGATATTTAACTAATCTTGAGATTTAGACTCCACGGGCTACAAGCGAACGATCAGGATGTTCCAAATTGACCAAAGGTACTTTATTTGGCTGAAAAATTATCGACATACGGCACTGGGCAGTCTCAAGGCGGGAATTGAACCCACGTCCTCACGGGAAGGTGGTGCGCAAGCGCTACCAAAGGCCATTCGGCTATGGTCCCCAAAGTTTGCTTCGGGGTACCGCCTGTTGAAAGAATGCACCGCTGAGACATCTTTATACCAGTGGAGACGGGAGACTGCGGAATGACGACTTCTTGAAACCGAACTGCCGGGGCGGCAGTAAATTTGACAGTTGCCACGGCATGCCGGTCGGACTTACATGACGAACAAGTAACGCCCTGCATGTACTTGAGAGGACCTACCACTCTCCAGAAACATCCTCACAAAGGAAGTCTGGTAGTCCAGAGATGTGGAGGGCGCAAGGTAGGGAGTCCTGGCAAATCAGTCGGGCCTCCGACAGCTCGTCCGTCCAATTACCTTTGCGATTACCGAATCAGGCTCCGTTTGCATACATAGGTAAACAAACAAGCAAACAAATCACCAGTCTAGACTACATGTGTATGTCTTAACCGGCCCTGAGAGTTGAGTTAACAACAAATCCCGTATTTACTCATCCTCTGCCTTCTGCCTTCGTGCACTATCACAAAAGATCCGCCACTCTCTTACAGATTATTACTACCCAAGATCATCCTCGCCAACACCGATCATGTCTAGTATCAAGAGGGAATCGTCAGACAGACGAAGCACGATGTCGACGCCTGCCACCAGTCACCCGAAGCCCGACCGCGAAACTCTCACTTCCACCGTTTCCACCGCTCCCACCACTCTCACTACAAACCCAGACCCAAACCCATCACAGCTCCTCGACCTCCCAACCCTCACCGACACCCTCCCCCAACTCGCCCACAAACTCTCCGCCCTCGCCGCCGTGATCTCCCGCGGTGAGAGCATCGCCCTCGCCACAGGCCGTTCCTCCACCGTCACCGTCGCCGAGCACCACAGCATCCCCGGCGCCAGCACCCTCTCCCTAGCCGAAGTAGCCGAGCTACAAACCTGCAGAAAGGCGATCGACACATCGGCAGAGGTACAGGCCCGTGTTAGAAGCGAGGTGCGCCGGTTGACCAAGGAGATTCACGAGTGCAGCGAGGTCATACGCAGTCGCTTGGTTAGTTTGCAGGCCAAGAATCCCAAGTCGAAGCATTATGGGAAGGAGTTCAAGGGCCCCGAGAGGGCTGGTGGTGGGAGATCCGAGTCTAACATCCCAGCCAGGGCTGGCGCCCCTGTCTCGATCGGGTCACAGCTTTCAAGCTCTGGTACGGAGTTGATCCCCAAGGTCCATGGTCGCTCTCGTGGAGACCTTCTGCGAGGAACGCATCTGGAGGGCGTTCGTAATTCGGTGTCCACGCTTGAAGGCAACGCCGCAAACGGTGAGGATGTCCGGCTTTCACCCAGCCCTCCTCAGGGACACAGGTCCTCTGCTACAAGCGGTCAGCCATCTCCAAGACATTACCTCGGCGATGTGGAACAGAGTGAGAATAGGGGGGTTTTGGGGGAGAAGGGGGAGCAGCTCGAAGGGTCTGAGTCTCCTCCAGAGCCTCCGAAGCGTCAGCGTGTGCGTTAGAGAGGGGTCACGGAGGAGAGAAAGATCAAGACTCACATAGCTGCTCCCAAGGTCGACGCCACAGCGGCGTCAGCGAACAGGGCCGGAGGGCTAGAATATGCTGTATATTTCTGCTTCATAACGTACTTTGATCTATCCAAGGTGTATCCAAAAAGTCTAGTAACCTTCGGTCATGCTACGATCCAGTCCATAATAGCATGTAATCTTGATATCTCCAACCCAAAGATCATCCAAGTTTGTCATTCATCTCCTCAGTGGCACATCAATGCAATTAATAGCACACCCATTTAAGAGACCTAAAAGTGCCCACGACCCCCTAAACCTCGGGCCAAAACGACGCCTCAGCAACCATCAAGCTCTTCCATCTGCCCTCCACTCTCCTCAGGATAGCCCCCTTAGCCGCATTCGCCACCGGGCCTTCCCCACCCGCAGCTTCGAGTAACTCGGACACGGCACCATCGATGATTCGTCCCAGCCGGTTGACAAAAAGTGCAAATTCAACGCTGCTCCAGTTGGGGATGAACTCGTTTCTCAGCGCGCCGCCATCCGCATCCTGCTTCCCTGGTGCAGATCTATCGCCGGAAGCGCTGTTCGGGGGAGGAGGGGGTTGGAACGGCTGGATGCTGACGTGTGGCGAGGAGAATGCGGAAAGCGCTTCGCGGGTTGGGGCGGGGGAAGTGGCTGGAGTTGTGGTTGTGAAGGTGTGCGGAGGCGTTGTATATTTGTCCAGGGCACCTGGGGCGGTGTTTGAGGACGAGGACCCTTGGCCTTGGGTGCCAGCGGAGCGGGAGGTGGCGTCCGCAGAGTATTTGTTTTGTAGAGATTTAGCATAGGACCAGGCGGCTAGGTAGGCGAGCTCGGTGCCATAGAAGGTGAGAGCGCCTTCGAGCCATGGCAAAGCGGGAGGAGGGTGAACTGGTGGCTCCTCTGGCTCGTCTTTATTGTCAGGTTGCGGTTCTTTGTCCTTCTCGGTCTCGCTGGCTTTCGCGGTCTGGTCGGGATCGGGGGTAGAGGGCGGGTTGTCGGGAGATGATTTGTCGGCGGATACGGCAACGACGAGGCCGCGCGCGGGTGCTATGGGGATGGGGCCAGGTATGATGGTGGAGAAGAGCTCGCAAATCTGGAGCAAGCCCGGGAGCTTTTGGTCATCGGGAATGGTGAGAACGTTGGCGGCAGGGGCGTGGAGATGGTGTTCGACACTGGTACTGGTGCTGGTACTGACGCTATTCGCTGTTGCGGCGGGGCTAGTGAGATCAATTGTCAAGCCGTAACGCTCAGCCACTTCGATGAACATTCGCTCTTCCCTGCGGACGGCACCAAGGGCTTCGATCAGCCAGTCAACCAGCTGTGTTTCCCACTGTTCGGGTTCGGGCTCGGATCCATCTTGCCTGGGCGCCGGGATCTTCTGGGGCAAGTCGATGGTGGAAAGAAGCTTTCCGGCGGCGCGGATATAACTGAAGTGTCGATGTTAGTATCAGCGACAGTTGGGTGCGAGTGATCAGAGAAGCGGCCTACCTGTGGATATATAACCTGTCGTTGGCGAGCCAGCGACTCAGGACGTCCTTGGGGAGCTCACCCTTGGCAGCTGCCACGAGAAACGGATGCTGCGTGGCGGCCTGGAATTCGTAGCCGTACGTTGTCAGGAGGTGTTCGGTGAGACACCATTTGGGTCGCTTTGGCGGTTGTTTCAGTTCTGTTTGTGGTGTTGGTACCGGTGGCTCAAAAGGTGCCCGTGTTGGTCCAGACTGTGCGGTCGAGGACGCCATTGCGCGTGACGTAATTGGCGGGGTAGCGGAGTCAGGTCAGGAACCGATGGAGACGGGACGGGACGAACGTGTCGGATGCAGGAGATGCAAATGTTGGGGTACAGGAGCAGGATGCTTGGCGGGTGAAAAGCAAACAAAGATGTGAGAATGCGCGACAATCAGTGTGAGGTTGAGGACATGAAACGGAAGCAGCTGTGAACTGGAGGCAGAATGATATGCAAATCAAGGAAACAGCGAAGAGGCATCGGAATGCCAGACACTGTCACAGCCAAGCGCATTCCCCTGTCACGTGGAACGCCAGTTACAACTTGGGTTAGCGTATGCACCTCAGCGGAGCTGCGGGAGCCTCCACCAAATGGATTCAACGACCATCGTCAAATGCAATCCACTTTCAACAACAACATCGAGTCGTCGGAAACCTAATCGAACACATGTCGACTACGAGCACCCCTCGCATGTCTCTTTGCTACTTAACCAGCTGCTAATCTCCCTTCAGATATTGATCGAATACCATCTTTACACATCTCACGGCATTAGATGAGGAAAGATAGGCGCAATGGACCCCTGTCAAAATGTGTTTTCAGCGGACTAACAGGCATTACTGTGAGAAGGATATACCCCATAGAGTATTCTACAGGTGTTTCCAGCCGACTGAATGGCATGATGAATATCGTTTCATTCCTTTCAAGCTTGTATAAAGGTCTCCCTCAAACCGTGCAACGTGTACCCGGCGCGACTGTTGCCAACACCCTTTTTCCAGGACACATGCGTCCATCCGCCAAAAACCTCACACCGAGCGCTTACTGCTCGTCTTCCTCATCGTCCCCCCCCTCCATCTCAGGCTCTAAGCCGTACATCTCGACCGTCTCTTCGTAATCGAGGCCCTCAGACTGGAGCTGCACCGGGACGCTCGCCACGTCCCAAACCCAGGGGCATTCCACGGCCAAAAAACGATCGCAAGCTTGGGCCAACGGCGAGTGGTGGGCAGGGTCCTGCGGTCCCAAGTTCTCGGCTGCGAAGTCGAGAAAGCGCTTGCGCGCCTCGATGATTTCCAAAAAGAAGGCTTGGAAGACATGGGGAGTGAAATGTCTTCCCAACGCGGTGGCCTCTCTGGCCCGTCGGAGGAAGGAGACTTCTTCCTCCAAAAGATTGGGGTCGTCATTGTGGACGCCCGTCAAGCCGAGGCCTGTCATGGGGTCCATCCCTCAAATGCAATCCATTTTCAATAGCATCGAGTGGTGGGAAACATAAATCGATTACATGCCGACTCCGAAACACCTCTTGTCGAGTACAACACACTCCTCATATCCCCCGTTTTCCTTTACCTAGCTTCCGATATTCCTTCTAATATCGGCTACATGCCTTTTCCTTGGATCTCACGGCTGTCACGGCGACGAATTTGACCACTTCACTATCCGGTCCGTGTTCCTGCAAAAGGATACAAGTAACCGAAGCTAGCAATTCGGTTGCTCAAGTGGTCTTATATAGTTGCGACGGCGCATGCCTAAGGTGACCAGCCTTAGCAGATACTTCAACCGTCACAACGGCGTTGCCATAAGATGGATAGGGGCGATCAGCTGGGGGTGCTAGTCCCTATCAAATGAGTTTTCAACGGACTGACACGCATTACTGTGGGGGGAGAACATGCCTAACGACGTGATGCACAAGTGCTTCCAACCGACTGAGAGCGTCCTGAATGTCGTTTCGTTCCTTTCAGCTTGAATAGAATTCTTGTTCAAACCGTACAACGTGTACCCGACCGTTGCCAACGCCCATCGATGCCCTAGGGCATATGTAGGTGTCGGGTTGGTCCATGGGATTGGGCTGCGACCTACTAGAGTCCCGCCGGTCAAAGGGACACAGTCAAACTGTTTTGGGATCGACAATTCTTTCCTTGCTGGCCCTATATATTCCCTTGCCCTTGTTAAGATTCGATCCAGCTTTCTCTGGACACCCATGTTGATTTGTTTCCCCTTCAATGTTCTCACTAGTGAAAATGTTATTTGTTAGGTTGAAGCCTCTCATCGCCAGTAGTGTCACAAGGCGCGACATTGGTTATGTACTTGCAATGTGCGTATCTGGAATAGGGTTAGCTAAAACATCTCCTACATCTACGTGATAACATCCGAGGCTCTGCCTGCGTTTAGCTCGTTGATCTTCATAGTGGTTTTTCCGACACGGCTTTTATTGCACACGCATCGCACGGCAACAATCACAAGGGTCGAATTTCGTTGCCATGCTGCTAGCATCATCGAAAGAGGGGAAAAAAGACCAAAAAAGAGAATTCAAGGACGATACTTGGCTGTTGGAGTGTAGCAGCATGGACTTCGTGCGTAACGCAGGATAAAATCTACAACTACTGACTGTAGAAGAACTGGGGCTACATGTGGGAATCGAACCCACTGCCTCAAGGTGAGTGCGCCTTAGGCGAGCCTCAATGACCGCTCAGCCATAGTCCCAAAGTTTTCTTTGGGGTATCGCCCTTGTTGGAGAACTTAGCACTTGACCTTTCCTATATAGGGCCTGTCTGCAGGCTTGGTACTGGTTAGCAGCCACTGAGCTGTGCTGGAGGGGGGCCGCATGTCCCGGCAAGTACGTCCCAGCAAGAATGTCCCGGCAGGTCGGCAAGTTCCGGCAAGTCTCTCTGCCAGCTCAAGGGGGCACTCCCGCTATGGGCTTCTTCTTATTTGCTGTGACAACTTTCTACCTGGTGCTCGGAAGATGGGCTGATTTCCTTTTGAGACACACCAGATCATAATGCATGGCCACCTATGCGAGGATGTAGCACGAAGAGGGAACGAGATGATGGGCGCCATGATCCTACCCAGATAGATGCCCCTGCATTCGAGATGTCCCTGAGCGCGGATGTATTATTTGCACATTCGATGTTGTTGGCCAGCCGTGCCTTTCCGCCTATTCATTGTGCTTCTATTCATCGGCACCCGCGTCCAGTATGTCTAGGCTTCCCTGGTTTCCGTTTCTCCTCTTCCGTTCCTACATAACCAGGTACCTTTTTTTATCCTCGTCTTTCCGCATTCCACCAGATGTACTTGACGTCTTCTGAACGAGGGAACTTGACCTTGTGGTCTGTCATTCTCGTGATAAGTGGCAACAACATGGTCGTTCACGTGTTCACATCCATTTACTCGAGAGCAGCTCGTTGAGCCCATTCTAGAGAAGGCGGAGGGTTTCTTCTTCTAGATCACCCTCGCGATCAGGTTGATTAGAGAGCAAGTGGAAGATGGCTTCAGCTCGGCAGACATGATTCAAAATGTCAGTCTACTTCTGACCAAGTTGAAAGGGATGTTCAAGCACATCCTTCGTTCCTTGAAGCTTCCTCACAAAGGGTATCGCACTCTTGTCAGGACGGAGCTTGCCATGAACTACGAGATCAAGCCCGGCTTCCGCTATACTCCATGGATCTCGTATTCATTCTTTGATGACTCCATTGACGACCATCGACTTTTATCCAATATGCACGTTTCGGAACACTGGGTCCAGACTGCTGCGACAGTAGACAGTGGCACAAGTGGTATAAGCGTTATCTGAAAGGAATGACGACATCTGCTATTCAGCCTGCCCCTGAAGACCGGTCACATTAGTGGATTCTTCCCTCCTCGGTTGCCGCACCTTCCTCGTTTGTTGTTTGCCAACAACCAAAGGGCAAAAGCGTGCTTTTCATCTCATCTCGAGAACAATATGAGCTTTCCTATTGGGCTATTAGTAGAATAGAAAATTAGCGAACGCACCATGAGGAAGAAATTTCAGGCACCAATTCTCGCTCCTGCCCTTTATTTCGCCACTCGTGCCCGCTGATTTCTTCTTCAACCTTCGACCACGACTTTCTTCTCTTCTTCCACAACCTCGAGGATCACGACGAGTTCATCTAACCAACAACACAACGCACAAACTTCGTGTAAGTAGAGATATCCTATCTTCGCAGGCGCTTATGATAAGGTATATGGATTGCTGACCTCAACGCACTCTCAGTTTCTGTTCACGTTGTCACGCGTTTGACCAAGTTTTAATCCACTTGCTCCCCACAAGAATGTGAGTCCAAAGCTAGCTGCTAGCTGAGTCGCAAGGGCTAAGCGATTTCTCACATGAACTGCTGTAGAGTTCATGAGCATGACGGATGGCCGCTGACCCATTCTTGAATACAGACACTCCGAGTCAAGATGTCTGCCCCCGCCGTGCCGCCCTTCCTCCGCCGCATCCTCCCCGGAAAGGGACTGCGCTGGGCCTCCAACAGCGGCCGCAACATTCTACAGCCGGAGCGCCGTGACGAGGCTGTTAGCGCGGCTCTGCAGGTGCGTGTTGGGCGTCCCAACAGGAGGATGACTTCGCGCCCCGCCAAGCGGGAGGTCGAGCGTCTGCTTGTCGACATTGTCGACACGTGCACGCGCCTCGTGCGCGAAAACCCGGCCATGATGAACCCCATGGACTTTATGGCCGGCGTCGGCATGACCGGCGTCGGCAACGACGATTTCAACATCTGGGACTTCCGAGGACGACTCATTCCTCGACCAGGCTCGCGTGGGCACCGAGCTTGGGGAGCTCCTCAGCCCTCACATTTTCCAAGCCCTCTTTCTGGCCATCATCGAGGCCCGCCAGCGGTTCCGCACCTTCGCTGCAGAGCACCTGCCCGCACACAACCCTTCCCGCTGCTCTCTTCTGGCGGCTGCAGCCGACAGATTTCTGGAGGCTGCTGTGTTCTGGGATGTCGCCAGCGTCCCGATCCAGCTCCGCATCGAGGAGCCTGATGAGGAGGAGATGGATACAGAGTCGGAGGAGGAGTCTGAGGAGGAGTATGAGGAGGATGAGGAATACGGACAGGGCTTTGAGGGTGGTTTCGAGGAGGAGGAGGAGGATGATAGCCCCATGGAGGAGTGAGACGGCATGACGGATGGTCGACATATGCTTTTTGTACTGTGGGCCAAGGTTCTCACATGATTTGTCAGGAGCGTGATGGAATATGGATGGATTCATGGGTTAGAGCAGAATGATCAGTCACCCCTCAAAGTTGTCGTGCAGGAAAGGATACCTACTAGGGACCTTCGACAATAATGGCAACAACACCATGACTACCCCGCTTATACAATTGATATCTCTCAAGTGCATATATCGATGCTTTACTTCATTTGTTATCGTTTTATTAAATCAAGAGTCGTTATTGCAGTGAAGTTTCGCCAGAGTGTCTAAGATGCTCAGTTTCCTATCATCCACGATGATTTTTTTCTTCCTTCATCGTTGACATGCGGGTGTTATTGCCGAGTGTCCACCGGGCCTGGGGGCCAGTAGGCAACCCGTCGGGTGGTAGTAAGAATGAGCCAAACATGGACAGTCCAATACCGCTCGCTTGGGTCAAGAAAGGCCGCTGCAAAACTGTGATAGGCCTCGTAATAAGATAGAAGCACGTTGGCCAGAGTCTTTCGGGGATTATTTAATGCTGGAAATGTCTGGAATTTCCGTCCAGAGGCGTAATGAAGACACATAAATGCGTGCAAGAGTATCCCAAAGGTATAATATGGTAGACCGTCAGGTGTTCAACTTATTTTAAAACCGCTCGCCCGTATGCGCATTATGTCAAGGCGACCGGGGTGCTCCGGGTGCCTGCAACACCAATGCAGGAACCGTACTTGCAAAGTCGCAAGCATTCGCAAGCTGAAATTTCCAACTTCCTGATAACCAACGGCCGATGATATCGTTCAAGAGGTTTATACGCGTCCAACTCGACAAGCTCAGCTAGTTCACCGGATACCAAGACCAGAAATGAGAAGCCGTTCATGATCATTCAGTTTGCTGCATGTCAGCATGCGATGTAACCACACAGGGCGACGCAACAGGGGCAATATATAGGCAAAAGCACTGATGGTTTACGTACACGTGATCAACGACCGTCCATCTGAGCCATCCAGCGGCCACGCCAAGGCAGTGATCGTCAGGGTAGCTTTCGAGGGTTGAGGGGATCCTGCTATGATAAGATGCTGTGGTCGCTCCTTGATCCCAATTCCGGGCAAAGGAAATCTGTTCTTCGGTTGTAGCCGTTCCTACCTAGAGAACAAGGACAGAAAGGCCGTGACAGTTGACAAGACGACCTCACTACTGTACCCCCCGTCTGGATACGCGATCATCAACATGGAGACCATCAACCTAGTCATCATCGGCTCAGGTATAAGTCTTACTGGGCATCATGGTGTAACACGAACAAAGAGACTGACAGCCCTTCCAAACAGGCCTCTTCGGCCTCGCCATGGCCAAAACCTACCACCAATTCCACCCCACCCTTTCTCTCGCCATCTTCGACAAAGCCGAAACCATAGGCGGCGTCTGGGCCAAAGAACGACTCTATGACGGCCTGCGCACCAACAACCTCAAGGGCACGTACGAATACCTCGACTACCCCATGACACCCGAAGTCTTCGGCGTCCAGCCGGGGGAGTACATGACGGGGCCGGTGATGCACAAGTACCTGACGAGCTACGCCGAGGCGTTTGGGATCAAGGATAAGATCCGTCTTCGGCATACGGTGCTAGAGGCTGAGCATCAGGGTGGGGCAGAGGGAGGGTGGGTGTTGACCGTCGAGAGTCCTGGCGGAGAGAAGAAGATGGTGTTTGCAAGGAAGATGGTGCTGGCGACCGGGTTGACGTCTGAGTCGTTTTTGCCGGAGTTTAAGGGCCAGGAAGACTTTGGGGCTCCGCTGTTCCACAGCAAGGAGTTAAAGAAATACGGCGGGACGCTGGAGAGCGCGAAGGTTGTTACGGTGCTTGGGGGGACTAAGTCGGCTTGGGATGCGGTGTATGCGTATGCGTCGAAGGGGATTAAGGTTAATTGGGTAATTCGAGGTAAGAAGTTCGATGTGAGAAATCTGGAGGGAAAGGGCTGTTAGTTGACTGATGCTGACGGGGGCGCAGAAAGCGGACATGGACCGGCGTGGATGACACCGTCGTTTGTAACGCCTTTTAAGTTATGGTTGGAGGCGTTGGTTCGTAAGTAAAACTCAGGATCAGGATGTCAAACACTCGTGATACGCTAACCACAGATGTCATGAACCAGACACTCGGATCTTGACGTGGTTTTCGCCTTGCATTTGGGGAGCAGCCGACGGATACTCGCTAATCCGGCGATTCTGGCACGGAACAGCCATCGGACGGGCAATCACCAACGCTTTCTGGTGGGCTTTGGGCAACGACGTCAAGACGATCAACAAGTACAGTTCACACCCGGAGATCAAGAAGCTCGAGCCATGGGCGCCAGCGATGTTCGTTGCCTCCAGCTTTTCCATCCTCAACTTCCCAACAGACTTCTTCGATCCCATTCGCAACGGCACCGTCAGTATCCACATTGCCGACATCACGAGGTTGTCACCAAAAATGGTGCATCTGTCCAACGGATCCAAGCTGGCGACCGAGGCCCTGTGTTGTGTCACGGGGTGGAAGCACGTACCGCCTGTGAAGTTTCTTCCAGAGGGCATCGAGAAGGAGCTAGGGCTGCCTCATTCCCCGGACGGTGACGCTGAGTCTCTTTTTACGGACGAGATGGTGGCGCGAGCAGATGAGGAGATTCTTTCGAGGTTTCCGCGACTCAGGAGCCAACCGGTCATCAACAAGAGGTACAAGCCCATGACGGAGACAGAGGGTCTGTCGACAAGCTATGAGACCAACCCCCAGGCCCGCCTAACGCCCTGGACTCTTTATCGGTTCATGGTACCGCCGTCGCCTCGGTTCCTGGTAACGCGTGATATCGCCTTCATCGGTTACTTCTCAAGCTTTTCCTCTGGGCTCTCCATGTATCCCCAGGCACTCTGGATCTGCGCGTTTCTGGACGATAAGCTGCCACTAAGTGTGATGCCATCCAGGAAAGCCATGCTTGACGGGAAGTCGAAGCTCAAGGAAGGCAAAGTGGGCGCGAAGGAAAAGACGGTGGAGGAGATGAGATACGAAGGAGTCCTCCAAGCGCGATTTGGAAAGTGGCGGTATCCGGCGGGCCATGGACAGCAGTTCCCCGACTTTGTGTTTGATGCGTTGCCGTATATCGACTTGATGCTTGGTGATCTGGGATTGAAGGTTCACCGGAAGAGGAGTTGGTTGGCGGAGATGACGGAGCCGTATGGACTCGAGGACTACAAGGACATAGTGAGCGAGTATGCGGCAAAGTATGATGGGGGGAGGGGTGCTTGAGGGGGGGCCATCCACTTGGCGTTTGTTGATTTGTCCTCTCCGAGAGTATACCGCTCAAGATAAGATTTGATCTTGATCTGTGGACTGCTTTGGTTGTTTCATGGGCAGCCAACGTAGGCAGTCATACCTTATCTAAGTGGGATACTCATCCATCCTCAACTTCCCATAAGCATGTCCTATGTTTGACACTCCAATCGTACGTACCATGAAGAGGCGGTCGTGATCAATTTGTTGGTTGGAACCCCAAGGTCCGTTTGTCGTGCTCCATATTGCGGTTGAACCATCGAGGCTTGAAAGGTCAAGGTGAGCAAGGTCGGCGCGGAATAGCATCAACATTGCTTCCACCAGGGGCGGTATATTAGACTCCTGTCTTCCACCCTTCTCCAGCCTTTTTCCATCCATCAGCACCATCGAACATTGACACCACAAGTGAACCCAACACGAGAAACCAACCACAAAGCCCATTATCGCCAGTCCTACCTCTCCCACCCTCACAAGGCATAAGTCAGTAGTAACAAGCTTCCCGAGCGACCCCCCCCCAACCTCTAGCTTCCCTGTAGCGTCAACATGTATAGAATGACTAACCAGTATTTACCAGTCCAGCCCAAGTCCACCTTTCGAACTCACCCCAACCACCCGTCAGACAAACAAGATGTCCGGATACGTCTCCAGGCACAGCGTTGTTAACAACACTAGCACCTCCGGCTCCGGCTCCGGCTCCGGTTCCGGTTCCGGCTCAAGCGGCAGTAGCTCCTCCGCCTGGAAGTCCAACGCCTCCGAGATCCGTGACGTCAGCAAATCGTTCAGCTCCACGGCTTCGAGCTCGACCGACAGCAAGGTCAAGAGCTACGCCGCATCGGAGACCACCCGGTGGAATACCATGGCCGAGAATGCCGATTCCATGGCGAAGAAGTAGTAAGCTCATGGAGGATGGGCCGTTGCATTCAGCACAGGAGCCTTGAGAGAGTGAGTGATGGGGTGATGGGGGGGGGGAAGGATCGGAAGTGGTAGATAAAAAGAAGGAAGGGAAGGGATTGGGATTTAGACTAGGTAGGAAAGACCGAAAGAGTACTTAAGGAAGGATGGGCTCAAAGGTCGGAAAAGTCAGAAGGGACATTTTGAGCGTCGGTGACAACGAAGGGTCTGGGAGGAATCTGTGATGTCACAGGGTTTGAGGGTATGAGTTAAGAAACAGTTGCGTGGGAATTTAGACCAAAGAAGAATTTGGGAGAGGCGGCGACGACAATGTTACATTCCCCTTACTATCCATGGTCGAATTTCCAGTGATTTTACTGCAACAAGTTGTGACTGAAAGCTGGTTGGAAAACTGTCTGGCTTCCAACTGATTTGGACCAACTCAAAGGTGGCTGATGATGTTGTTGTGGCGTTAAAGGGAACGAGGCAGAAAGAGACTTAAAGTTTGACAAGTGAGGGACACCTTGGAGGGAAAGGGGGGTCAAATAACGGGGCCGATAACAGGTGTTAAGGCATTAACAGCAGCTTTTATTTGCAACCATCTTGTACAGCACCTTTGGTTAGAAAGTCTATTTAAACGGAAAATCCAAGTTCGGTTTACTATCGCTTTCAATTTATTGTGCTGTTGGGCTCCGTTCTACCAGCTTTTGAAGCCGTTATTCTTTCTACTTTCACCCTCTCTCTTTCCAATTTCGCCCTCGCTCCTTCCTCCTCAACCTTCAAAGCTACCATATAAGCCCTACTTTTCCACCACTCGCGCATACACACACGCACGCGAGCGTGAATGTTTATATGCCGTAGTGGTAGTAGTAGCCGTAGATATTTCGTAGACTTCGAGTTCGAATCGTGACTATGTCATTTCTTTCCCTATTCTCCAAAATGATGCATCGTGACCTTCGTGACTTTAAACTTTGGAGAAGACCTCGGACCTTGGAGAAGACCTCGGACCTTGGAGTTCGGACCTTGGAGTCAGAGGGAGAAAATTTTTTTTTTTTCCCCGGCCAAAAACCTCTACAACGGAACTACAACGGAACTTTTCTCTCAACGGTCGTTGGGTGCAATGTGGGGTTAGAATTGACAGTACATGTACAGGCGCATATTTTCCAAGTTCCCGTTAGAGGCTTAACGTGCCTTTGAACAAGCTGTTGAACGCCCTGTTATTTGACCCCCTTCTTCCTCCAGGGCAGGCAGGGCCAAAAGGAAGCCGTTGTTTCCTCTGGGGGTCAGGCCTCTTGCAGCTCTCTCACCACTGGAAATGGAAATTTTAGGCGGTATCCAGGGTATCATGCACGGCAGTAGGCCTCCCGCTCCGACTACCGCCCGGGGTCCACTGATCTCGCGGCGAGGGTTGCGCTTTCCCCCCATTAACGCACTGCCGCGTTTGCAGGCGCGGGGGCGCTGTGGCCACTGGCCAGGCAGGGGCCCTCGAGGACTTTGTATCTGTGTACCTTTTTCCACAATGCACAAATCACACCTCTCGTTCCCTTTCCAACTCAACCTCAAACTTCCACCCATTTCATTCCCGTCGTGCATTGCTGCCCAGAGGATGCCGCAAAATGAGCCCAGCAGAAAGCCCAGGCCCTTTTGTTTTTCGCAAGGCTGATCAGAATCATCAGATGCCGTCAAGTGCAAATCGGATACTCAAACGACCTGCGACGGAGAGGCACTGAACCTGCAACGATCAAGCTTGGAGCGCAGCCCAACATGCCGCGAGTCTCCGTCTTTCATCCCATCTTCTCCCTCCATATTGTGTCCCCCGGCCCCCCACTTCTCTGGTGCTGCCTTCGGTCTAGGCTGCCATTTGTCCCGATGTCTTGGACACCTATTATTCCATGTCTGGCGGGATGAGCTAGGACGGACGAAACCTTGGATCTTGTAGAGCCATACCTAGGTACCGGTACTGCTTGATGCCCACCAATGCCGGATACATGCCTGCCGTAACGTCTGCACCTCTCCCGTATCTCACAGCTGCTAACCTTTTCCAGCTGCTTTCGCATTCGCAGCCTTCATCGTTATGGACCGTTGCAGACCCCCCACAAGAGTCAACCTCTCGCGGCGCCGGGCCTGCGTTTGTCGAAACCTCCAAGATTCGGTACCTCGGTGACTGGATGACCCAAGGTACAAAGGTACAACTGCCACCTTCTTCGAGGATTCGAGTCCAGCTCTTCACTCGCCCTAGCTTGGCAAGTGGTCGCTCAAATAAACAAGACACTCCGAGTACAAGACACGTCTGGTTTGCTCTTTTGCGCATCGGCTCGTCTGGGAACAACACCTTTTATCTGGAACTGCGAGGCATTCTCTGCGATCACAGCATCCCATCACCACGAGGAACATTATCGTCTTGTCGCGACCTTTCCCAACCAATCCGAACAACGCCGTCCTGTACATTTTTGGTTTGTTCTTACGAGTCGTCGCAAGTTACGACCACTTGCTCGGTTACTTTGCTCGACGCCTCAGCACTGACCACCGAGGCGCGCGTCCAGAAAATAGGCAAACGTTTGCCAAGTCCGTTTCCTTCACCCTTCAAGAAGTCAACCTTACTTCTTTTTTTTTACTCTCAGGAGACCAGGACAGTCAACACTCAAACCAACCGTCTCGGCTTCCCACTGCCCACAAGAGCGGGCGAGTTTGAACTGCCCTCTTCCACCTTCTTCTCGTAACTTGTTCGACAGAAACACCCATTTTCAACTCTCTATCACTTCACCGAAGTCCCCACCATCATCGCATTTTCTTCACCACTGGTATCACACGGCTTTCCTTGCCCCCATCTCACTCCTTGCCTGGTTTTTAGGTTCCCAGACTACTCAGAACCGATTTGGGCCCAGTTCAAGAGGACACTTGTGACTTGACTCTCGAGTCATGGTTAGGTGATACCGTACAAGCACATCCTTGGTAAGTCCCTACGCCACATCTCACCATCTTTTCCATGATTTGTTGAATCTGCCAGCGTTATTCGGTTCCACGATTGTTCCTCGGCATTTTGAACCCGTTGTCAATGAGACTGAAAGCTAACACAAACGAACTAGCCTTACCAACCCACACATGTGGCCATGGCTTCGAACCAGGAACTCTATTATCACCTGGTCCTCGCGGCCAAGGTACCCACATCTCAACCCGATCCCTTAGAACCGCTCAACCGGAGCCTTATCGATTGTGCTATCAAGGCGTGTAACTTTCTGCGACAACAGTCTTCCGCCGGACCATGGGACTCTCTGCTTCCTTCCCTTGAGAAGTGTAGGAGTCTCAACCATGACGGCATGCTCAGTAAAGCATCACTTGAGGAGGCGTTCCGGGACATTGGAGACAAGACGCTCATCTTGCATGTGGCGAGCCAAAATGCCGGCCTCCTTATCCGACCCAGCCCAAAGTGAGTGCCCCCCGATCATGAGAGGAGCATCATTGTGTCCTGCTTTGGTTATTCTGCATCTCGTTACTAACAGTCCCCTTTAGCGGTTCAGTGATATTCGAAGCCTTCGAGGCCTCCCCATCTTTGGAGGCTGTACTGGGAGCCAAGAATGCGCTTCTGTGGGATTTCCCTGGTCGCGCGGCTCAGATCCCGGCCTGCGAATTTCAGAACGACTCGTTTAGAGCGAGTCTCGCCTTATTCCTGGAGAAAGCCAGCATTGAGACTCTAAACGCCCTCAATGCGCGAGCTGTGAAGAAGCAGACTGCAGTCATCGAGACGCGTGACACCGCCGACTGTGCGCTGATTTCTCAGCTGCTCATGTCCCTGTTGATTGCTATTGGTGGGCCCGTCAGCACTCCTAGGTTTCGGAAGAGAGTGCGTGACGATGTCAACTTCGACAACGCAAAGAAGCCATGGAGAAGGGCCCCTATGTGGCTGATATTGCGCGTTGCCGTTCGACAGATGCTATGTCTTGAGCTGGGAAACGAAACAGGTCGAGCGACTTACAAGATGTTCATCTGCGTCGTTCTCGCTCAATTCCTTGAACAGGCCTCAAAGGAGCTCGCGGCTGAAATGGTGGTAAGTAAAAGACCTTTCTTGTCTCACCCACTACCTACAAGACTTGCTAATTCCATTTTTTTCACGTTGTCCAGATGACCCTCAGAGCCAAGCTGTGCCGACGCCTCGCCAAGCTGGAGTCGGACAAGCTGCAAGCATCTGAGGCTGTTCGCCCAGTATACGATCAGCTCTTCGCCTGCTTGAGCCCCTGGTTCAAGACTACCATTCAAGTCGCCACTCAAGAAGCCACCAGGGTCTGGGAGCTGCATAAAGCTTCTGTCCAGAGAAAGATTTCCCGTCTCCCTGCCAAGTCAGAAATCGCCAACTTCAAACTCAAGCTTGAAAACAGTGGAAATTATTTGCAATCACTTCTCTACTTGAATCCGTATCCCCTCAGAGAGATACCATGTCTCGACTTGCGCGCGATGAAGTCTGGTATGCTTGGACAGGCTACCAAGTTCGCCGACAGGTATCTCAAATTGGCTGAGCTTGAAGATGAAATCGAGCAAGGCATCGAACAAGAGATGCTACGTCCTCCTAACTCCACGGATGGTTATCGCCTCGGATGTTTGCGCATCTCTGAAATGATCATCAGACTGATCGCGGGAGTCGACGATGCTTATGATAACGATCCAGCGCAAATGAGCCACCACATTCTCAATCTACTGGATTTGTGGGTGTCGCTGGACCAGTACGCAACTTCGTTCTGTCCTCTTTTGTCGAACTATCATCCATTCTTTACTCCCGAGTCACTTGACTTGCTCCATCTTCCTTCGTTGTCCGACATGTCCCGTCTGCATAAGATACAGGAGTACTTGAAGGAACGGGCAGCCACCGCCGCTGAATCCAAAACGATCTTCGCTCCACCGAGCCCATCTTCGTTTGGAGTTCGATACACCCGGGAATGCGACGATGGAGTCAGACTCAGTGTAGTGTGGAACATTATCGGCAAAAAATGCGACCGTACCCGACACGACAAAATCCAGGCATGGGCCTCTGCGGTGAATAAATATGAGGACCTCAATGAGAAGATGCATGGAGCTGGCCCTTGTCTTTGTATCCAAATATCCGAAACAGAGAGAGATGTGAGCAAATGCTTGCCTTGCTTGTGCAAAAGGCAGATGCGACGAATGGTCGTCGAGGTTCATGAAGATTACCTCCCCGAAGACGAAGATGAAGCAGCAACAGTTGTCTTTGAGCTTTGTGCGCCGGACTTCTTCACTGCCTATCGGAACGCGACTTGGAAGATTCATCAGACATTAGCCCTTCAGGGGGTTTCTTCACACACGAAACCTGCAGACACCCTTTTGAGCTATTGCCAGCTAAAGGACTTCGCATCTGAGAGCGCCCAGTCGAGCACGTTAACCTTGGCCTCAGAAATCAAGTCGTTTCTCTCTACTCATTACAAGAAACCTGAAGTGAGAAACTCACCTCAGCTGCAAGATATTGTTCTACCTCTTGCTCTTCGCTTCGAGTACTTTGACAAGGAGTTGAATTGTTGGGTAAAAGACCATGATCATCCGTTTCAGCTTGCCCGACTTTGTGGAGTGTCTCTTCCGAATGGTTTCGGGGCTATTGAAGGGGCAAGAGATGGAGGGCAGATGACACGTCTTGTGCGAGAGCCGTCGTCATACGAGATTGTTGCCAATCAAACCAAATGCCCTACTACCATGTCTCCAGCCGAGTTCACAGCACATCAACATCTACTCTCTGGAACCTCCAGGCGTTGGTTAACAATGCTATTGGAACTGAACACTCCGAACCTCAACTTCAGCTCTGAGGAGACTAGCCGCCTGTTTTCCGAGCTCATTACTCAAGCCGGGACAATGGAGAGAAGCGCTAGCGCCTTTCGAGACGCCCATCTAGTTTTCAAGGATGACGCTTTCTGTACTCGACTGGCCGAACAGGTTGAGCGCAGGCTGACAACGATCAGTTGGCGAGATGTCTTCTGTATGGATGTGATTATTTCAATCACTCTGCGACTTCATGAGTTGGGCTCGAGTTCCACAAAGCGCTCAGCTGACAAGCTCTTGATGAACGCTCGTCGTGTAACATTTCAGTGGCTCAAAGATTTGAGAGTCGAAGTTCGTGACGCCGCCCAGGAGGATATAGCAGCCAGAGCAAGTGAATATGGAAGATGGGCGGCCATTATCTGCCGCCGGACTTTTTCTGCCCACTCGCCAAAGTCGCCCATGTCATTGCACGATCTTGTAACGTTTCTTGAGGCCGCTATTGGCCTCCAAGAAAACATGTTAGTGGATATTGGCAAACTTCCCCAAACTTTTAAGCTAGTCCTCATTAGGGATTTGAAAGCTGCATCTAAACTGCAGTCCACGGTTTCTCGGGCAATCAAGGCCTATCCCCAAGTCATCGAAACGATCTTGGATCCGATTTGGCCCAATCCAACGAGTGCCCCTCGGACATTCTCTGACTTAAAGTTCATGCCATCCCCCAACTCCCGCTGGATCGAACAGCAGATCAAAACTAACCACGGAAATTTTGACGAGAAGTATACTGTACAGTTCAACTTCATCGAGGGTTATCTCCTTATTGACGGAAAACCTCCCGGGACTCTGCCCGCCGAGATTCGGGATGCCGAAATCGTGAGGGAACTCTTCGGCAATCAGCATCTAATCACACTTCCTTCAGCAATGCCGGGCATGAGCCACTCGCTGTTAGTTGAGGCCCATCATAAACATCAAGTTCATTTTGGCATCCGGGATGGGCAAGTCATCATTCGTGCCAAAACCAGAGAAGGGACTGTCCTGGAACTCATCCCTCGACACAAGTTTCGACAAGTCAAAGGGCATGATATTCCCACTAGTCTTATCAACGACTGCTTCCATTGGATGGCGATTTCGGACAGATCAAATCCACGGCTAGAGATAAGACATGGCAACCCTTGGAGACTGCACGATCACGACTGGGTGATAGACCTCAACACGAGAATCGCGAAACGCAGGGAACACAGACTGATTGACCCACAATCGAGGCTGTTCAAGAAGATTGAGGAAAACTTCAGGCACTTTGAGCATCCTGAACATTTACTTGTGTACCAGCCAAGAAAAGGGAGCATCATTGTCAAACTTGAAAGACTGGGTCTGACCTTTCACGTCAATCACCGAGGACTTCTAGAAAGTAGGGAATTGCGCTCCGAGATTGACCCCAATCAAGACGCTGGCACCCTTTATGGGTTTATGAGCAAGATATGTCTTCGTGATCTCCAAGATCCATCCCAGAGAAGCATCATCACTGCCATGGGCAGAACAACATGGACCCGCCACGGATCACGGACAGTGGTGCAAGCAGCGCCAGTTAGTCAGTACGGATTGTTCTCTATTGATAGCGTGCTGGGACGGCTTTGGTGTCTACCCGAGCCGCGGAATCTTTATGCGAAGGCGCTCTTCCATGCTCTTACTTCTTCTCCGTTCCCTGATCCACTTACTGGACGTACCGGAAGAGAAGAGGCCCAGCATATATTGCAATCCGGGCTTTGTCAACCGTGGCAGCCCTTAGACAACGACGGCCTAGCCATGCTGCAGTTCATTCATCAGTACCTATGCCCGCGTCGGGAATACTACCCGCCAAATCAGAGGAGACTGCAGACAGCCATTTGGGAAAGACACTTGTCATATGCTCAGCATGACGGATATGATGCAATTGTCCAGGCTATTATCGCCAAATCAAATCGTCTGTCCTCCTTCCACAACAACACATCAACACCACCGTCGTGTTCCAGTGTTTATATCTCTCATCTTCGGGAGCGTGGTTTGCTTCGGCAATCTTTGTATGAGACAAGCTCTTATTCCCCTTCCAGTTTGACCGGTCAAGGAGACGAGCTGTATCGTTCCAGAGACTGGGATATGACATCACAAAGATGTAGCAACATTTTCCGCATTGTACGCCAGGTTACAGAGAATGGGTTCAAGTTTAACAGGACGAAGCGCTTGTTAGAGATATTGGAAGACTGGAAAGTTATTGGAGGCTTTAAGGTAACTCCTGAACATGACTTCTTCTCCCTGATTGACGCCATTGAGAGAATACCGAGCAATCAGTTTGGAAGCATGGTTTCATTTTGTTGCAACATTCCGCCAAGCGACAAATACGCGTTGCCGTTCAGATTGGCACCACTGGTCTTCGGAGACAATGCTGACATGGACTTGGCTGTGTCGTTGGCGGCATTCTCCCGGATCAAAGAGCTCAAGGCTCTCGAACAGCCAAAGGGCCCTTTTTTCACGGATTTCCGGCGTCATGGGCCACCCACCTTGGAGATGATTCAAGGGATCATCCGACAACACTCCCCGGAGCTTCCCGTACCTATGAACCTCCAGTCTGCCAAGTCAAGATCCAAGTTTCAGAAGGAACAAGAATATCACAAACAGTTATGCGCTTCAGAAGAAAAACGCATTGCTGAACTGATTCACTGTCAATGGCCTACGGAAGCCTTGTCATTTGAAGGCATCGGATCTCCTGTCATTGACTGTTATGAGGTTCTACAGACTCTTCAGCCACGGTGGCAGCAGCTCTGGGACAACTACCAACTTTCTCTATGGGTAGACTCAGTTGATGATGTTCTATCACAACACTCCAGTCCCTATGAGCTTCCAACAATGTTGATTCCGGCATACACTCGACCTTATCAGTTGCCCAGGCGAAAAGCAGTTATCCCTTCCATTGCCAACGACCTACTCCCCAAATCAGGCCCACAAGACTTGCTTCTCTCAGCCGCACTCGACGAGAGTCAGTCCATGCATTTGAATGCATTGGGATCAAAGGCAGATCGCAGGCAAGGTTCAGTCCGCCCTGAATATCAAGAGCTTGAATCCATTCTCGACAGCCTCGCCAAGGAGTCAGGCTCTATTCGTCAAGAGTATGCTAGTGACTTACGGAGAAGCTTAAAGGCGCTACAAAATTCTCCTCGCCGGGTCAAACTGGATATTCGTCCCACCCTCGCTTTGATGGAAAGCCAGATTTCGTCATGCGAGCGGTCGATTGAAATGCATATGGAAGCAATACAACAGTCGTGGTACAGGGACGACAGCGGCTCCCCATGGTTGATTGCAGGTGGGCTCTGGCCGAGTGCGAGTAAAATTACAATGATGGAGCAACTTCGATCTGTGGCGGAAAATACATTTGGAGATGGAATGAAGAGTGCCCTAGTCTCCCTCGGGCTTGCGCTCACGAGATTGCAGAAACTGCGACGGATGAGGCATGCTCACCTTCAGGGCAACAACCAACGAGTTCTTGATGAACTAGCCAATCCAGGGCATACAAATTGGGATGCGGAGGAGTATCCAGATTTTCTGCTGCTTGAGTTGGAGAACAACATCCTCATTCGCGATGAACAATTCGAGGTTGCTCAGGCGATTGTCTCCCCTAACTCCAAAGCGAACTCAGTTCTGCAGTTGAATATGGGAAAGGTAAGTCGAAGTTCTCAATTTCAATGATCATTAACTAATTACATCAATACACTGTACAGGGAAAAACTTCAGTTATTACGCCAATGGCCGCAGCGATATTGGCAGATAAGCAGCAGCTGTGCAGACTTATCGTGCCCAAGGCTCTCCTCTTGCAAACAGCACAGATCATGCAATCGAGGATGGGTGGTTTGGTTGGCCGCGAGATTCGGCATATTCCATTTTCTCGGCGAACCAAAGCCGGGCCGGAGATGCTAAACGTGTTTGAAGAGTTACACCACGAGATACTCAATTTTGGGGGAGTAATTCTGGCATTGCCGGAATCCATCATGTCATTCTCGCTCAGTGGCCTTCAAAGTATGGTCGACTCCAAGTCGAAACAAGCGCGGCAAATGGTCGAATTTCAGCACTGGCTTACGGAAACCTCGAGAGACATCCTGGATGAATCAGATGTTACATTGGCCGTCAAAACTCAGCTCATTTACCCCAGTGGTACCGAAAAGGCTGTGGATGGCCATCCACACAGGTTAGATTATTTTATTCAAGTCGAGGGCACTTTCGTATGCTAACATCTTTTTCCCCGGCAGATGGCATGTTGCACAGGCTCTCCTCGGCCTTGTCGAGGCCCATGTCCCCGACCTTCGCCAAAGGTTCGGCCGCCGCATTGAAGTGGAAAATCAGGGCTCGGCGTTTCCACGAGTTTACATACTGGACGCGGAAGTCGAGCAGGATCTGAAGCAACGCATCATTGATGATGTTTGTGCTGGAAAATCACCCACTTTCCATCTTGCTGACTCTGTTCAGCCGAGCGTTAGGGCAAGACTGAAACACGCTTTGAGTGATCCTGTTGTGGAGGACTTCCAAATCAACAAGGCGAAGCGAGCGTTTGTTGATAGGAACTCTGCTGCTGACAAAATCTTGCTGCTGCGAGGTTTGATTCACAGTGGTATTCTTCTGCTGTGTCTGAAAAAGAGGTGGAACGTACAATACGGACTGCACCCTGATCGCATACCAATTGCCGTTCCCTTCGAGGTATGTTCATTGTATCCAGGACCCTTTTTCAGGGCGTTTAACTAACGTGCACCGCTGGTACTAGGCAAAAGGTGTCCCATCCGCCAACGCGGAGTTCGGTCATCCTGACGTCGCCATTATCTTCACTTGCCTCGCCTTCTACTACTGTGGTTTGACTTTGAAGCAATTCACCGAGTGTCTTGGCAGCGTTTTGAAGTCCGATGATCCGCAGTCTGAGTACGACATCTGGACTCAGGGTTGCGCCAATCTTCCTCAAGATCTTCGACAGTGGAACCTGATCAATGCTGAAGACCATCTCCAGGTAGACCAGCTGTGGAAGCTACTCCGGCTCAACAGGGCAGTCTTGAACTATTACCTAAACACATTTGTGTTCCCGAAACACTGCAAGCAGTTTGAAGTCAAGCTTCAGACATCTGGCTGGGATATTCCTCTTTTTCCCAGGACGACCGACAAACAAGCTCAATCAGCTCGAACAACTGGCTTCAGCGGTACGAACGACAACAAATACTTGCTTCCACTTACCATCAAGCAAGATGACCTTCCCAGTTTGTCGCAGACTAACGCTGAAGTCCTCTCTTATCTCCTTGAGAAAAGAAACCGGCGGTACGAGAGGTTGGCTGATCATAGCGGGAGAAGACTAACGGAGTATGGGCTCCTTAAACGCTTGTCACAGACAAAAATACGCATCCTCATTGATGCCGGTGCGTTTGTGCTGGAGATGAAGAATCATGAAGTGGCAAAGGAATGGTTGAAGCTTGACACTTTTAGCCCAGCGGCGATCTTTTTCAATGAAGAGAACAAGGCCATGGTGCTCTCTCGCGGATCCAAAAAGCCGGTTCCGTTGCTGGCCACCCCGTATGCGGAAAACCTGGCAGAGTGCTTGGTGTATCTCGACGAAGCGCACACCCGCGGGACAGATCTCAAACTGCCGCAAAATGCTTATGGAGCCCTGACCCTGGCATTGAATCAAACGAAGGATCACACTGTCCAAGCCGCTATGAGACTTCGACAACTCGGCACAACGCAGTCAGTAGTCTTCTGTGCGCCACCCGAGGTCGATCATGACATTCGGAAAGTGTGTCAGCTCCGTTGGTTGGATTACGTCGATTCCGGACATTGCGTACGGTGGCTTCTTGAAATGACATGCCGTGCTAATGAAAGCCTTCGCCCCTTGTACGTGGCACAGGGGACTGATTTCTGCAGGCGGATGAATTCTGCGTGGGAACATCCCAACTTTGTTGGTTCAACCAAACACCGGGAGGCCCACATGAGCGTGATTCTACAGAAGGAGAGCTCGACATTGAAGGAGATTTATGGAAGCAAAGCGCAAAGTTTAGGTTTGGACGGCGCTTCTCTGGCCATCACAAATCCCGAGCTGCGATCCTTCTATGGCACGCTCACCAAGAAAAAGAAAGACCTCACCCATACCGTGTCCGAGGCCTTTGCCTGTGCTCTTGACGAAGTAGAACAGGAGCGCGAAGTCGAGTTCCAGGTTGAGGAGATCCGTCAGGTGCGCAAGCCCACGCACTACGATGCCTTGGAATTTCCCGGGATGCATCCAAACATCGTGCGATTCATAGAGAAGGGTGTGCTCCGGGGCACGGATGGCTACGAGCATGCCTTCACTGCCCTAGGGAGGACGACACTGGGAAGAAAGCACGAGGTCCGCTCAACAGGCTCGAAACTCTACGTGTCAGCAGAATTCCGGCGCACTATTTCAGTCAGCAAAGACCCGAGCGATAACTTTTTTGTAAGGTTCCCACTAATCTCGTTAAGGAGTATGTCAAACAGCTAACCAATATGATACTACAGAGACCCGTAGAATGGATCCTCTACGCTCCCCGCACTCAGACAGCCTTGGTACTCATTCCCGAGGAAGCCGAGATTGCAATCCCCATGTTGCGTGTCGCTAAAACCCGTAGCCCGGTCCATCTCATCCCTTACGCCTCGCCAGTCACGCGAAACATGACCTCGCTAGGCCGGCTTACCTACTACGCCTTCCCTTCGCTGCCTAAGGGCACCGTCATCCCAGACTGGCTTACAATCGAGATCGGAATCCTCGCTGGCCGTCTTTACTTTGACTTTGCCGAGTACGACGCCGTAAACAAGTATCTCCAAGCCGGCAAGACCAACGAAGCAGAAGGTGAAGGCGCCGAGGACAATTGCAGACAAGCATCTTTGCCAGTGGATGACAACAATCAAGTGGCATTTGCAAAGAATCCCCTCGGTTTCGTCCTCGATTGGCTCACGCAGCGGAGACGGGGGCAGGATATTACGCATACGCCTATGGGCTATGTGTGTCAGCGTCGCAAGCTGAGCGCTGAACATCCGTTCTTCAGGTCGCCGGAGGCGGAGGTCCCGGAGGTTAGTGGAATGTCACCTAAGAGAAGCAACGATGAGGATGATGAGTCAGACTCGGACGGAGAGTATGACATGTTGGAGGAGATGGACCAGTCGGATGGTGATGGTGATGATGGGTCTGCGGTTGAAGAATGGGATCTTGGGGACGAGGAAGAGAGACATGATTCTTTCGAGGATGATACCAGTGTTACAGACGATGAAAAGTGATGATGTGGTGTTGGTTTGTCAAGCTGGAAAAGGGCGTTATTTGCTTTGAACATTTGCTCATGGCGGGTCTTTTGTTGTGGCGGAGTTTTATCGGATTTTCCAGGAAACCCGGTTTGGTTCTTGGTCATTTAGAATGGGGGCTGAATTTGTTGGAGTATCTTTGTCAGGATATGGTGTTACTAGTCGTTTGTTTTGCTTCTACAGGCTTCCAGGCTCGTGTTGGTTTTGTTCACAGACACAGCACATCATCGGGGTTCATAAAAAGAATTGCCACTTGTTCATGTCCAGTGTTGCAGCAAAAGCTTTCGTGTACATCCTGTTTGCCTATATAATGTTGTCTTTAGTAGGTATCTATGGGCTATGTCCATGCCCTTGTCTAACCATTTTACTCTTCTATCCCATCCTCGTCTTCCTCGTCCTCTATCTCATCGTCACTGTCTTCGCCCTCCTCAACGACCTGCTCATCAGTAGGGACCTTCGCCTTATACCACCACCAAGCAGCCGCCTTGAACCTGTCCACTGCCTGGGCAAGTGGTGAGTGTCTTGACGGGTCTTGATGAGCCAAGCGCTCATCGGCCAGGAAGATTTCACGGGCGTCGACAATAGCGACGAAGAGCGCCGCGAACACGTTGAGCGATAGCTCCTTGCCCAGTCTGGTGGTTGGATGCGCTCGCTCAATGAAAGAGCGCTGCTCCTCGGCGTTTGCATCGGAGACTTCGCGCGTGATGGGATCTGAAATGCCTTGTGCGGCAAGGTGGCGAGACTCCCAGGAGTTTGGCGGCACTGCAAAAGTGTCCGCGAAGCGGGTTGCCGCGTCAACCACCTCCACCAAAAGTTGCTCGATGGTATCCTTTGCTTGGCGCGACGTGATCTTGAGGTCTTCGTCGGGATGAGCCTCCCAGACGAGGAGTTCGAGGGCTTGAAACACGACCTCGCTTCTCCGTTCGGGCGACAGGATGCTGCTGTTGAACCCGTAGTAACGCCAAAACAGGCCATTCCGAGGCAAAAGCCGATTCAAGCGCACGACCATTTTGAGCTTTGACTATAAGTAAGAAACATGTTGTCAGCAACAGGCATGCAATAAACAACAACAAGGTCTGTGAAGAACACTCTGAACAGTGCCCGAGGAGGCACTGGACAGGTAGGGTACCCAGGATGATCACATGGTGATACATCTTCGCGTGATCGCGATGGTAATGCCCATAACGTGGGCCACGAAGGACTGAAAGGGGCGCTCTTACTGCTTGCTTTCGGAGATGTGGCTGTGACAATCTTTTCATTAGCGGTTGCCGTGGTGATGGACACATTCAAGCTTCTTGTTCCTACATACCTTATTGCTTGGAATCTGGCAGGGCAAACAACACCGTGCTACTCGTAGATGCGCTTCGAGACTGACGTGATTCTGATTAGCATTAACATAACGACGGGAGATAATGCTTGTGTGCAAGCATAGGTAGGCTGCGCATACCTTTCTGCTGGGTTGAGTTGCTGGTGAGTTGGAAAGGGGAGAAAGGTGAAACCGAAAGAAGAATGAGACGGCGGCGGGGTTGGGTGAGGAAAAAAGGAAATTCAAAACTTGCTCGTTAGTTGTGGGGGTTTGAGCCCTTTTATACTTGTAGGTAGGGTACCAATGACTCAATAAGAGGCGCCTACTATTGTCCTCACGTTCGGATGAAAGTGCGTACCTTACTGTGCAAACGCCCTTCCCCTGACGGTCAACACAAGAGAAGCTAGGCAGCATCAGATGAGGCGAAACGGAACGCTGAATCCAGGCAACAGGAGTGATGGGATGAACAAGTAGCTCGAGGGGAATTTCATCCTGCCTGACTGAGCTGATGGCCTCGTGACATCTTTCTCGGCAGGATCTAGTAACCTACACATGGGAAGAATGATATGCTCTTTTGCTCGAGACCAAAATGAGTTGGATGTCAGTACACTGTCCTGGGTTCCTTCACCTTCGCCGCCTCAGGGTTTCCCATTCACCAGGGCAGCCCTGCCTTTGAATACTTTAGGCTGCTGTGGTAGCTGGCACCATCTGTGTGGTCATGGTTCCCAAACCCAGCCCTTCTCATCTTCTCTTTTGGGATTCTTTCCATCCTGCTTCTTCAACTTGGTGTTTTCAGTCAAGTCTAGCCAAGTAGTACAGTCAACACCTCGCACTTGCACCGTGACTGATCTTGCTGTGTCATCACAGCTGCCCTGGTTTCATTTTCCTTCTTCCGTCCCAACTACAGGATGAAGCCCATTTTCCTGCCTTCTCCTTTCCACATCCGCCACGATGTTATTGTGTTCTATTGTATTGACCAGTGAGCCCTACGGACCCTCGAGAGCCCCTGCCCTCTACCGGTTGTTCATTGGCTGTTGCTGAGATAGCAAACTTGTGTAAAGTCAAATGTCATCCTATTTTCGCAACTGGCTGTTACACGTACTGGATTAAAAGTTGACTCCTAGAGGCATGTAAAGTCAAGAGTAATTCTACTGTGTACATACACGCAACCTCAAATCTACACGCACGTTCCCCCCCCAAACAAAACACAAGATGAATCTGCGCATAGCCACTTTCTACTCAAAAAGTCCGCATAGATTCTCATCAATAAGTCGTGCATACAACCCCTAGCCTCCATTTTGGCAAGCCTAGGATTAACCATTGTACTAATTCGTAGTATGTCGCAGAAATTGGGTGTTGCGAATGTAAGTACCACATCGAGGAACTTTAAAGGGCTTTTTGATGCGGGAACTTCCCGCTCGAGCCAGAGAGAGCCTCGTGCGTGCGTCAACGCACACGGCAGATGCTGGGGGCGGTCGTCGCACCCGACGCACTCAAGGTATAGGAGAGGTGCTTGACGAAGTGCCAGACTTCGTCAAGCACCCCCCCATCTCTCTCACTCTTAGCATCATCATCAGATAGATGAATCTACATCATCACCATCCTATTCGCGGCGTTTGCACGCATCAATGGTAGCTGCAACTTTGTTTCATCAATCCATCTAGGATTAACGATCGATTACACATCCAAGCGCTGAACGTCAACGTCCAAAGGCTAGCGAATGAAGCGCGTCGAGTCCGGAATACAACCAATCAAAACAACCCATCGATTACGACATTATCGTCGATTTGCCTTTATCACGAAGGGCATCGCTCTTTCCCCCATAAACAACAAAATCGTCACCCACCAGCCCACTTTGTGGTGCACCACTCTACCCTATATCTGAGAGACTCCCCAAACCTCCCAGTTCCCTCGAACCTTTCTCTTTTATTCTCCATCTTTTGGTAGATTTTCCTTTTTGGCGTAGCCACCCCTGACGAACCATCTAACCCTCATCAGTTTATCCTTGCCCAACGTCTTCTTTTGTTCAAAGACTATTGTTTCCAAGAATTTATCCCCATCGACCCATCCCTTCAACTCGGATTCGATATCTACCTCAACCTCGTCAACGATAAGTTTCAGGAGTTCGAATGGCATTGCTAGGAAATTGTTATCAAGTGTCTTGGTTGGGCGAGGGTGCGTGTAGATTTGGGGAGGGTACGGGTAGAGTTACTCAACATCAATTTACAGCACTATCGCATTCCATCTATGGGGGTTCAGTTGGTATATCTTCGTTGCCATGGGAATAAATCCTTCTTGTTCAACATTTGTACAACGTGCTTTTATTCAACAAAAAACAGCGACGCCCCCTTCCAACCTCACCTCGCCTTCCTTTTCGACGACATCTTCGGTTTCCTCTACCTGTGGACTCGGGTCTTCTTCACCATGCCGATCGCGGCCGCAATTCTGAGCAACACCTTCGTTGAGACCCCTCTACGCTTCTTCCGGCAATGGACTCACCGGCCATAGTGAGGAGGTCAACCATAAAGGTCCTTTCTGCTTTGGTCTCGGTAGTCACTGGGCTACATGAACGCAAAGATGGGCCACTTCTTGCTCAAACTCCGCGCGTCGGCCCGCTCAACTTGGCCTGATCTGTATCCTTTGTGTGGTTTACTCGGGGGCCTTGCTCCTCCTTCCTCCTTCTCTTTCTGGCTCGGTTTTCGCGGTAGGTAGCCAGCTTACCTGTTACCCCAGATCCTTGGACCTATCCCCTCGTTACAATAAAAGAACCGCGAAGATCCCCCTGTCCTCTCCAGCCATTGGAAGAGACAGGAGCTGGAGCAGGCATCCTACTAAGCGACGGTACAATCTTCCAGTTTCACAGCAGCAGCAGCAGCGTCAGCAGCAGCGTCACATCACCTTTGACGCCCATGACTAGTGTTAGCACTGGATGATTCCCAATCGTTAGACCGGCGGGGCGAGAAACGGATGTCGATATGGGCGTCTTCCATGGTATGGAACAGGATTCAATAATGATTGTTACATGCATTTCCGCCTCCTGTGTCGCCGTTGCTTCGGGATTGGCTTGGGAACGTGGTCGACACTTATCCAATTTAGAGTTGAGGTTGACGGGCGGGCAAGAGCAAAGTGCGCTCTTCGACTGAAAGACCGGCCTCGGTGACGGTGTGGAGAGGACGTGGCAGGCATGTCAACAACAGTCTGCCGCAAGCTCTCCTGGCGGTCAGTGGCAGTTGCGTGCAAGTGTCAGTTTTGGCCGACCCAACTAAAATGACGGTCTTCAACCCAAATTGGAAGTTGCACAGCGCTTGACCAAGTACTCCCGTCTGTCATATACATGCCACCCGCTCTCGAGGTGCTATACATTCCTTGCCGAGTAGTCGTAGGAATAAACCGAATACGGACAGTCCAATACCGCTTATTGTAGTTGGAAAAGGCCTTCATAAAACTGTAATAGGGATCAAAATAATTAGAAAACACATCGGCTAAAGTCCTTTAGGCATTCTTCCATCCACGAACTGCCTAGAAGTTGGGTTCAAAGGCATAATAAAGACGCATTGATGCGTGCAAGAGTACTCCGAAGGTGTAATGTATTGGACCGTGAGGTGTTCGGTCTTTTCTTACAACCGCTCGCTTTTCTACGTTGTCATCTCCCAAACTGAGCCTTCTTCTATAATGCCATGTCGTTCAACATGAGTTAGACATGGTCGGACCGCACGACTCCACTCGGTGGGTGGAACTTGGGCGATGGCCGGAATCCTTGTCGTGGTACCTACTCGTCTGGGCTCGAAGCGCCTCAGACCCCATGCTGCGCATGGGGTCTGGTTCAGCGATTAGTAAAAAAATTTAGCTTATACTGATTTTTGATCTGCACCACGAAAATGAAAGATATGAAAAAGATGAATATATCAGCAGATAGAGAAAGATAAGGCGAACAATCTGGCGCGTTTACATTTTAGATGCACGTGTTGTGTGGTTAGGAATCAATGTGTGAATAATTTTACCCTATTCGCGATATGTAGTTATGCCGGGCTACCTCTTTTTGCTAGTAAATATGCAGGTGTCAGAGGCCAGGGGATCCACTGGGCGTGCACGTGCCCAGCTGGACTGGGATATGCGGGATTTTTACCCAGATGCTAGAGCTTCGAGACTGCAGAGCTAGTCTTAGATACATATACAATTAAACTACATTGAACCTATATCGATCATTACTAGTAATATTATAATTAAGAGTCTTATTGATTCGACCGTTGAAGCTATTGCTAGTAACGATAACCGATTAAACGATTGCTAATAATGTCTACGACTAAAATTAATAGCGTTGCCTTTAACGGCCCTAGGGATTGGCTAGCTTAGGAAGATGCCTTTATTTCTATAGCCTAGGACTTGGGTCTTTGGAAGTATATCGATTTAAATAATTATATTCTTTGGCTAACCGAATTAGTAGAACCTAATATTGCTAGCTATTAAGAGGAGGTTCCCGTTAGAGAAATTAGAGAAATTAAGAAGGATAAGGAGGCTACTCTCTTTATTACCGCTAAGTTTTACGGCTTTTATTATAAGCGCGACTATTGTAATTATATGATTGAGAAGTCGGATTAGCGTATAGAGGTTAAGACTTTCTCTAACTTAGGTATTAAGAAGATTATACTAAGTTGTTGGATGTTTGAAATTATTGGAGATAATTATTGGGAAATTAATTTTAT